GCTAATGTGATGAAATAGAGAGCATCAACAGTGTTAATTCACAGTTTTTGGGCTGTTTTTTTGCACCTAAACCAGAAAGATGTGTACGTGTTCAGCACATTGATTTGTTGACATTAAGAATAAATACAGTAGTAGTATAGAGTATCCCTATAATTGTCCTGTAAGGATCTAGTCTGCTAACATGCAGTCATTCTGTGCTGTTGAATTGACCCAAATCAGACTAGGCTGAGGGGAGGGGAGGAAAAAAAGAGAGATGTGCATGCATGAGTGAGTCTGCAACACTGGATGACGACACTGTCGGGACATCTTCCAGCTTCTTCCTTCTTTGTATACAACACTCGACCCAACAGGTGCAAAACAAACCCGAGAAAAGCTTTCCACCCTGTTCTGACATCAGATAACGGGCAACTACCCTCGCTCATTTCCGACAGACGGGACCCAAATGTCTTCAGCATACTTTGCCATCATTACGATCTCTGCTTTTTGTGGGGTTTTTTTTTTTTTTTTTTTTTAATCAAGCATAACTCAAACAACAGCACGGTCTTGTTTGAGTTTGCTTTTTGTTCTCCTTAAAAGGAGGTCATCCAGACTAGAACTATCTCCTTTTGATGCCGCAGCCTTTAAGCGATGGGTTTTTATCTTCATTCAAATTACAAACAACAAACCTCTGAGGGCTTGTTTTCCTAATAGAACAGCACACAGTGTTTCTCTTCTTTGCTCATATCTAAAATGTTAATCAATACCCCGAGAGCTTGTGTGGCTGGTCTTTAGAGGAATGTGCAGGGAGCTGATCAACAGTCTTCATGGTTTCCCTAGATGCTGGTGTTTTTTTGTTAATCTGTTGAATGGATGACTGACTGGATGTTCTTTTGGGGAAGTACACAGCTGAAGGGTTTTGTTGTGAAACCATTTTCATAAAAAAAAAGTGACACCTTCTCTTACAAGGTGACTCATAACAGAAACAAAAAAGGAACAAAAAGGATGCATTTTCATGAGAAGGTTTGTTTCAAAAGGAAAAAAAAGATACACGTAAACAACCACCAGTTCGGATCTATAAGCAATTATTTGAATGTGAATGTGAATCCACCACATTGCATCAACATTCAGCTGTCAAAATGAGAGTTGTGACCCTTAACACACATTCTGGTACATTTCCTCCTACTGTGGGCGCACAGATTGCTCTTTGTCTCTTCTATAAGCGACTTCTCCCTGTTTCTCTCGCTCTGACTATATTATCAGTACCTGTATGTAGAGTATAACCTACACATGAAAGCGTCGGGCACATTCTCGGAGTTAAAAGGCATTCTGGGTAACAGGTAATCACTAACTGTAGCAGAAGTAGATGAGGTAACTTTAGATAAAATGGTACACCAAAAAGTAGACTGAATATTTTAGAGATATTGAATATTAAAGGATAAATGATAAAAGTAACGCTTTATTATTCTCAGAGTGAAAATCCTCTTTCCCACTTTCTGTTTAATCTTCCAGCAGCCGAGCTTGTATTGTTCTCCATAACTTTACTGGGGATTTAAATTAAAAAGAAACTGGTGCAATTAACTATTGTTTACACTCATTATAATAGTTTGGTCTATAAAACATCAGAAACTAGTGTAAAATCCCAATTGACACATTAAAGTTGTTTTTAAGACATAAATATTATCTGGAGCTGGAACCATTGAAATCTTTGCCATTTTTAAAAACAAGAAAAGTAATCGAGCTAAACACTAACATGCAGATATATACTGTTCACCATCTTAATTTAGTGTGTATCATACTAACATTTGCTTATTAACGCTTGACACAAAGTATATTCGAGGCTGATGGGAATGTGATTCGTTCTGCAAGTATCTGACTATAAACTAAAATATAAGAGAATCAAGTTATTAAGGTCTGTACCAAATTCTTGAGCAATGTATCACAGACTTTTTATTTAAAACCACAAATGTTAATCTCATGATAACAAAAGAGGTAAAGTCAGTGGGATCCATCCTCTGGGGACCGTGATTGTCTTTAAATAATTTCATGTCAATCCATCCAATTATTGATACTTCCGACTAAAGACCAAAGTGGTTCAGCTACAGGAATAATATATTTATTAATTTAGCTCTGAATGTAAACACTAACATAGCTCTCCGTGTTTCCAGTGACAGTAGGAAACCCTGGGTGATGAAGTTATCGGCCTCCACGTGTCCCTCCGCCGTAAGACCATACAGATGGTCTCCTTCTGCTTGTTGCTCCTGAAAATCATCCATCTTGTAATCTGTCCATTAATCACAATCATAAACGGCAGGTGAACAGTAGGCTCCAGTAACTACGCAACACTGACAGCTGGATAGTGTAAATGTTTAGAGGGGGCTGGGGAGGCGGAAGACAGCATGTTTACTTGTTTGTGCAGGAAGAGGTTGCTGCACAACTGGAGTCAAACCTTTCTGGACACAATTACCAAAACTCTTGTGGTTCGGTTACCAGAACAAAAACAGAAAAAAACCAGAAAGAAATTAGGCTTCTTTATGGTGCAACTGGGATGCAGAGTTACAGTTGGAGGGAAGGGGGGGTGCAAACAACAGTGTAACGGGGTAGATTTGCCCCTGCATGGAAACCACTGAGGAGCCCGCGGTCCATGTGCACGTCTGAATGATGATTAACTGTAATTACCAAAGCAGTACCTGGCCTGCATGCCAGGAGGCAGCCCAAGATTAATGGGGCTCTGCTGAAAACGGAACAAAAGCTCACATTTCCGAGGTAATGAATCGCTCTGGTACTAAGGCGTCTTCACATGGTGCGCCCGGGCCCCCAGGGAGGTTCATTACAACGGGAGGAATAGATGGATCCTCTGCAGCATTTTCAAACAGGGAAAGCAAGCGGGTGAGCAGGAGGAAGTCTTAAATCGTCCCAGACATCCTGGTTGCTACACAGCCTCTATAACCAGAAGAGAGATAAACAGCCTCTTCAGTGCTCCTTAAATGGGTGGTAAACATTACAAAGCAAACCACCTTGTTTGCCTTGTCTCACGTGTACACAAGGTGTTTAAACAATAAAGCTTGGCGTGGTGCAAGCTGGTTAAGTAATGAGGATAAATTTGGCTAGATGGATGGGTTTAAAGGAGTAAATGGTATCTCCTTACCCATTCATAAACACCAAACCTTTCTTAATAAAAGACTTTTAACAGAGCTGACATGCCACCACTCGGCATTATCTGTATTAAAGGAAGCAGGTTTCATTTGTACAGGAAGCGCGCAGTTTGGTAAAAGCCTGGAGGGCAAAGTTTTATTACAAGTGTCTCCTGTTATAAATCACTGTCCGAGGAATAACCGGCAGATTAATGGTGACATTATTTTGTTCGGTGTCGTGGAGGTTAATCTATGGTTTCTGAAAAATGAGTGACACAAAACGGAAGACAGCCACTGGACAATGTGTGAAAGAGGCCCACGTGACATTTTAGCATTGAGAGTTTGGCGGGGAATGAGGATTGGGGTGATGTATGGAAATGGGCATCAATTATTGGAAGTCAAACTCCTTGAGGCAACAATGAGAGGATTTACGGGCTGCAACATTTTTCATGCCCTTGTACATGTTACTTCCAGATATGTAGGTCGATAGCAAGATAAAATACAACCTGACGGGAGGTTTTAATGATTCCTTCTGCACACAGGCCACATATTTCTTGTCCCATTAAGACATGTAAATACTTGAGTAAACACAAGTCGAGGCATGCCCAGCTTTACATCACGGTGTGTGCTTTGGAAACCCAGAAGCCTTTTTTTTTGTTTACGAGCTTCTAATCATGGTAATGACACTTTGCTCCCATACAGGCCATTTCTCAATCGATCAGAGACAAAGAACAAAATAAAGTGACAACGCGCAGAATTTGTGCCTGTGCACGTCTGACTGAGATGAAAGAGATGTGAGATTCAACCTTTAAACTGCCATTTATCAGCAAAGACAACAAAGGGAGTCAATGCCATTATCCTCCCTGTCACCCTACAGTCTCTGTGTGAACATAAACATGTGCACATATACACATTAAAAAACCTGCACTGTTGAATAATTCATTCCACTGGAAAGGAAACAGGAATGTACATTATGGATGCAGTTAGACTAACTGAACATACTTCATGTGCAGGAACTTGAAGACGCTGATGTTATAAAGGACCATACCAGTGTTTTAATGTGTTAACCCATTAACTACAGTTATTGTAATCATTATAGTACTACTGACCATCATTTAAAAGCACTGAGCACTGTAGTGGTTCAGATAACGTCTGGAAAAACTCATTTTAGAAAGGACTATTAACAAGTCCTGATAGAGCTAATTCCTCTACAACATTGTCAACTTCACAATGTAAACAAAAGTATTTTATTCTTTTTCCTCTTCGTCATGTATTGTATGTGTCTCGTCCCCTCTCTCTTCCTTGCCTTTCTTGTCTCTCTCTAGTGTGCTGAACAAACACGGGGCGATGTTTGTTTTGACTCCCACATACGCCGTCCTGCTGCTGTAAAAAAAAACAAACTCACAGTACACTAAAAATGTAATAATCCACAGCTGAAAATAGTCCCAAACATATGCACCAATTACTACTATTTGACAAGCGTCTGCTGAATAAACCACAGTGCTCTACCTGTTCTAGGAAATTACAGAGCCTTTTTTTGTAAATGAAAGTATAATATAAAGACTTAGATTTATTTTTAGGAATCAGTGGGCTTGAGGAGATGGAGTAGAGAAGCAGAAAAGTGCTGAGCTAGTCTTATGCAATGTTGGTTTTGGCCTTTTCATGGGATTTGTTGACAATGAGAAAAATGTACCCTTTAAGTGGAGTTTCTTTTCTTTCACCAATAAACATGATAATCACGTTCATTCAGCATTTAAATATGGCTTATGTGGGTGTGAATGAGCTAAAAAAAAAAAAAAAAAAAACCTGCATAAACACTGATATTGCCCTTTGGATGATCCATCAAACGATGTAAACTTGTGTATTTTGTACAGCAGAATGAAAGAGGACTTTTAAATCTTCTGTAGGTCTTTATTTCTTGTATGTGTTTAACAGCAGATTATCAGAGATGAGTTCGTCAAGGGGAGACAAAAGACTTTTTCCTCCTGCTCATTTCTTAGCAATAGATACTCGGTAACCAGGAACGACAGTGTGGACAAAAGACTAGACATTAATTTATCTTCCCTATATGACCCTGATGCAAATGAGGAAAATGAAAGCAAGCAATCAATTCCCTAATTGGGTTTGCGCTATTTTAACATGTTAAGGGTGCCTGTGTCTAGATTAAAGAGAAGGTCAATTTCTCATTGTGACAATTACTGTATTCATTTCACAGTGCAACAAAGGGAATCCAGCACGGGTTGGAAAGAGACTGCAGTGAACCAGATGCCTCCCCCATTGTCTGAGTCCACCATCATAACATCTTGTTGATCTCGGTTATTATACTCATTACAATCTGCAGACACAACAGTTTGGTCCAAAAATTGTACGTTTAAATTGTTGGTCAGCTTGGCACTTTTATAAGACAGGATTTTCCAGTAGTAGCAAATTAAAATCTAGATATTTTTAAATAAAATTCTTCATGTTTTATCACATCATAGAACAAAAACATTGACATATGATTAATAAAGAGCAACATTTTGCTTCTTTTTGTTTTTGATTTGAAGTCTTAAAACCCCTGAAAATGAAATTCAACTATTTCTCTATAAGTAAATAACTTCTCTAAATATTCCTTACTGAATAAATTAAAGTTTTGAACAAAAAACAGACAGATTTTAACACTCAAAGGCCCAGCTAATCATCTTCTTAAGGACTTATTACATGTGTTATCACGTTTGATTAACGACATCAGGTAACAACCCAACAACAGCCATCTGATTTTGATTTAAACATTGACTGTTGCCCACTTTAAACCAGTGAAAACAGCTCAAACAGAACAGTGAAATAACCAAAACTATTCTAATTTTAACAGAAAAATGCGTGCTCATGTAGGACCACAAGTTTCAAGGCCTTTAAACTTGCAAAGCTTTTACTACAAGAATCTGTTGGAAGGCTCCAAAATACACACAGTATGTTTGAAGTGTCATTCCTTTAAAGAGGACAAGCAAACAGCAGCAGCCTTGAGGTTATGAAGTTTGAGCAGAGGCCTGCGAGCCGAGTGGGGAGCAGTGGAGCATTTATACTGGCTGCCTTAGAAACAAATCAGACTGTTGATATACAGCGTGAGTCAGCTACTCCCTCATGTCACATCAATAGTTTATTTACCAGCGGAGGGAAAACCACAGAATTAGAATAAAAATTAGATTATGTATCCCTGCGCTAAAAGCAATGCATTCAATTACTCCAAACCCAACACTTCTCTTCTGGGGGGGGGTGAGGGAGGATTTTTCTTTTGCTGCATAGCCATACATCAAAAAGCAAAAAAGAGTGGGAGAGCAACATGTCACGTCTGCTGGTTAATTTCTGTTACAGTGTTTCTCTGCTTCCCCTTTCACTCCTATTGGGGAGGGAGAGAGAAAGAGAGAGAAATCTGTTAAAAGCTCCACAAACCAAGCAGCCTTTTAACAAGATGCACTTAATCTTCCTGGTGTTTGCTTTAGTTAAGTGAGGGATTGGCTTTGTCCGAGCCCGGAGTGGTGGGATGTTGATTCCAGCCGGTTTGTGAACCCTAACGTCTTATCAAGTCTTTATCTGCATTTGAACAGGTTTTTTTCATTTCTTTTTTTAAAAGCAGGGCAAAGCCAAGCGGACAAAGATTAAATATAGACCCATTTTGTGAGTTGGTAATGTATCAACTGCATGTCCCAGAGCTGCCTATGGGTTCAACCAGAGTTCATGTTATTAGTATTACAAGCCTTTCATGCTCTCAAATCTCACACAGATCAAAAGGGCTTTGTGAGGTATGCCACCATCAGCCAATTAATGCCCACGACTACAGCTGCTCTGTCTGTAAGGTCAAGAGTAAGCACTTTTCACAGCTAAATGCCTTAAACTTTTCTTTTTTCCCCCCTCCCCTCACTCCAACTTCATTTTTAGGTAATTATTCACCTCTTTAGGAAGGTTTTGTAATTCACACCCCACACATTGCATAACAGGAGTCACAAAAGTGACCTTGAACTGCTTGAGTCACATTACAAAACCTGCTGCGCTTTATCGAAGGGGGGGGGTCTACACAAATCCCACGCACATTAATGGCAAGGAGACACAGTATGGAGGATTGAAAGGTGTATTTTAGGCTGAGAAATACCTCGCTTTAGATAAAACCTGCGGGGACAACAGTTACTTATGAGGCGTTTAAACTGGCACGTCTGCTCAAACTCAGGCGAAGACAACTGCAGAGAGCTCCTCGCTCAAGGACACTGCAACAGGATACACAGCTGCTGCCGGGATTAATCCGGAGACGTTTTGGTGGGGGGGACAGCGAAAGACCACTGGGTTTTCTCATCCTCAAGTCACAGCTTCCTCTGACCTCATAGTGATATCCCAAATTACACCGAGTTACATGCTGAGGCTTGAATAATCCTGCTCACAGACTGTGCTCGGCCTGAAGCTGAGATGAGGCTGACTATATTATTCTTTGTAGTGATTCACATCCATCTACACTCCTCCACCTACACAAGTCTTTGGTCTTGTACTGTGTGTGTATATATCAATTTGTATGGCACATTAACTCTCTCAAAGTTGAGGCTTTTAATTCCCTCTGGACTGACCTATGATAAACTGCAGCCACAGTGCTACTAAAAGGCACTTATTGTATGATAGTTTGTTTCCACACATCACTACACTTAAACAGATTCTGCAACAGACATGCCATTACAAAATGTATACGTAATGTACAGAACTACTGAACTGAACCATTAGTCACTCTGCACATGAAATGTCCCAGCAGCCTAATTACAGAGTACAGTTTCATAATTAAACATGGCACAATAAATGTGCCAGTAATACAACTACTCATCAATCACAGCCTTTAAAATGAAAGCAGAACAGTTTGTAGCCCCCAAGTTAAGGGATAAAAGGTAACGCTGCCACCTAGTGGTGACTGAAAAAAAAAACCAGAAGAATCTGTTAAAATCAAATTTAAAACAATGCAAGAAAGTAAAAAAAATAAAGTGTTTTAACACAATCTTTAAACAGATTAGATAATTACAAGTAATCCCTGACAAAAGCATATTGCAAAGGAATGCTCAAAGCTTGATGCACATGAATTCTTACTATAATACAGTAGTATAACATAGTCTGATGTGTCCTTTGTATCCTTTGTATTCGTACAATGGTAGGGCCATCATGGTGTGAACATTTCCAAAAACAACGTGGCAAATTCAAAACACAACTATTCTTTTTTTTTTTTTGCAGCCAAAACTTCACAACAACCAAAAACAAAGACAAGTCGAGGTGACTAAAAGCAGCCCAGTCTGGCTCCACCATTGTGTCAAATGTCAAAGGAGACGACGCATGCTCGTAGTTTTTAATTTCCTAGATTTCCCAGTCTACTGGTGAATTTGTCCCTGTCGATGTTCTTGTTCTCTGGGACATGTTTGAAGGTGCAGTCCGGCCTCGTGCAGCCTGTGGTCCTCCAGAAAAAGCACTCTTTCTTGTACGGGCTACAACAGGGGAAAACAGTTTCTCACTTCAAGATTCAATTCTAGGGAGTCTATGTCAAAGTTGAGTGTGCAGGGGTGTTACATTTATCTTTATTGTTAACATCAGGAGCATGGTTCCTTTTTTACCTATAATAATTAAACAATAATGTGAACAAATAAACAAATCTACTAATATAAAACAGAGAAAATGTAATATTAGTAATTCTATACTTTGCATTAGAGAAATTAGGCGTGTTTTTTTTTAGAAGTCCTGTGAGTGTGAAGCTAACAATAAATGATCCTAGGCATATATGGTAAAAAAAAAAAAATCCTACTTAATCCACTCAGTTTTAAAGTAGAAAAAAATAAAATGTCACAACAATCTAAACTCGTAACCAAAGTGCTTTTGTAATACAAGGGAGAAGAATATCACGTTCTTACCCGGGGCGCGAGTAGGGGTCAGTGGCGGCCGATTTGGACATACCAAGTCCAGTGTGGATTTTACTGGGATATCGCACAGACAGCGGAGCCCCCTCTACCACCAGTCCCTGCAGAAGAAACAGACATTTAACAAACATGTTCACATAAACAGAAGTAAACATCGGTAATTTTAGCTCACAGAGTGCAGTAGTTGACGTACTCCTGGTCAGACCAGGACCAGATCTTCATATTAACCGATTCTGAACATCTGCTTCACTATTTAAATACTTGAAAAGCCCACACATACTCACACTACTTCTTTCTCTTCAGCTATGGCCACCCCCACACACGGTTATTATTTAGCGTTGTATCTATAGCTACAACTATCAATTAATCTGACAGTTATTCTGTCTAATAATCGATTAAATATGTGGTCTATAAAATGTCAGAAAATGGTGAATGTGTTCTTGTGTCCCACAAAAAGGCCAGACTACTACTACTACTACTGACTAAAGTCCAAGAAAAGCTTGACTTTTAATTACACTTATTTATCTTTTTAACAACATATTTACCTAAAATCACTGTTGGAAAAGAAATGCTTTAGGTTGACAGTGAACAGAGCTATACTGGAGAGCCACACAGCTTAGAAAGAGAGGAGAGAAGAAGCTTTACAGAGAAACAACTGATAAGATTTATGTCAGAGTTGATCTGTGTGATGGGAAAATAATGCCGCAGTTTGAGAGAAGCAGACTTTAAAGCATGAATAACTTTACAGAGTGAAGGAGCTGCGGTTGTCAGTCACAACTTTAATAACGCAATCAAAACAAGTTATACCCATAGACTCCAACTTCCTGCTCAACTTAGAACCTGCCAAGAAGTGAATATAAGCAACCTTAAAAAAGGTTTTCTGGTTGACTTCTTTAAAAAAGGGAATATTTTACATTTGCCTGGGAAATATAAATCATTGGGCTTTTGCTGTCTGTACCGTAATATAAGCAACCTACTAATTTTTTTAAGGTTTCAAATGTATTCAAGACCTTAATTTTGTGGCTCCAGCTGAAGAGTTTGGTTAGTGTTAAATGTAATAGACACTGAACAACTTCCTAAATGAACATTACTGTTGACAACCTGAGTTTATTCTACAGTTTTAACAGTTTTAAAAGTGGTTTTGAGATTGATGCATCAGCTAAATGCCTAAACAAACATGTAAATACCATTTAAAGTAAACAGATACATACATTAAAACTCTGGATGGCTCTGTCACAGTCCTCCTTTCTGGTGTAGTTCACAAAGGCACACTGGTGTTCCAGCAGCATCTTGATGCTGTAGACGGCCCCAGTTCTGTGATAGAGAGAGAAAAGTGTCTAAGCACACAAGCTTCAACCTGTAATATCCCTGCAGGGCAGTTTGCTTTGTGGCTTGGGGTCAACAAGGGCAAATCAACACATCAATTCACAATACACTTGAGCCTTCTGATGGTCAAATGGTCAATCACAGCATCAATATGTCAGTGTATTTATATTGTGTTTTTTCTAAATGAAACACAGGAGAAAAATCCAGAAACTCAAGCTGCACCTGTGAAATATCTTTGCTTTGTTCTCGCTGTTACATTACTTTTATTCTACATACTTCAAGCCACCCTTTTCACTCTGTGTTCTTGTTGCCGAAACCTTCTGCATCTACGTGAAACATTAAACTCAGAACAACATCTGATTCTGACAAAGTACTGAGTGAAGCCCTCAAACAAAAAAAAACATGCTCAGAGGCCGCGAAGGAGATCGGACTGTAGTGCTTCACCTGCTGAAGAGCTCGTGGAGTGTCGAGTAGGTGACAGTAGGGGCCAAGGATCCCACCCAAACGGAGAAAAGCTCCCTTTAAACAAAACAGAAGAGAGATTAAAAAAAACAAAACAATTTAGAATTATTCTGCACCACTCTGGTACAATTCAGCAAATTATCTTAAAAACCAAAAAAGTCCAGTCTATTCTTACACAGGTACTCACCTTAAATACAGTTTGTATATGTAAAAATTAGCTATTATAATGTAGTATTGTGATCATGCACCACACTTTATGTTCAGGACTAATTATTAATGCATACAGTAGTAAATTAATGAACTAACTGAGCTCCGCGAACTGACGCACGCAAGAAAAATCTACAGAATTAAAACAGAATTTGAAAAATTACACAAATACAATGAACATCAGGGCAGCGGATCCCAACCTCTCGAAGGTATCGTATGATAAATATAATCTTTTACACAAATAATGACTGACTTTTCCATAATCTTTACTTTTTAAAGTTGTGACACAGCTTATAGAATCGCCTTCAGGTGTCTACAACTTTCATTAGGTAACCTTGGATGAGGTGGACATTGTGTCACTTTAAACCAGATAAGTGATAGATAAAGGACCCCTTAAGGATCCCCTATCTATCACTAAGTGATATATTCTTCTTATTATTATTATTTATTACAAGTTGTGAAAACAATGGCGTAAAACGAGCAGTTTGGATGAATTTTGAGCTGATTCTTTCCTATAAATATTCCATCAGAGGTCAGTTGTCTGGTGGTTTTAAGAGGTTTGTGTATTTTTCAACAATCAAACATAATATCTAAGCAAACAATTTAATTTAGTTTTCTTTACAGAATTAGACAAAAAGATATAGACCTAGTGTGTATATGTTTTCTTAAAAATCAAGAAGGCCTTGTGACCCCCAAGTGAAGCTTTGGTGACCCCTGGTGCATTATTCATTTTAAAATATAATGTAACTTACGGTTTCATTGAATTCCTTGAATGAGGGGTCGGCGACTGAGACTTCGACCTGCTTTGGCCCAGAGCATCAGACTCTTTGATCTGCTGCGATCTGGGACGGCTCGTCTGTAGCACAGTCCACTCGCCCTCATCGTCATCTTCTACCTTCACCACTGGTGGGACTGTTTTGTTCTTACTTGCACCGACATCTGCAGAGAGCCAACAAACAGTACGAGAGTTCAAATACCAGGACACCGCTCATCAAGTAACAGGTGATATTTAAGAAACATTTTTCAGACATTTACCTCTAGGACCCGGATTACTGTCACAACTAAACAGAGCTTCAACAGCTTCCTCTAAGGTGGCGTGCGACTTCAAGGCCTCAGAGCTCTGCGCCCAGGTGAATCCCATTTCCTAAAATGGAAGTCCAAAAACAATCTCCTAAGCGGACGTGATACCAGCATACAGACATTAAAGCCTTTAATTAAAGCTGTACAAGAATACAGCTGGTTAGCATTGAGAGAAACACACATACAGGTTGCATCAGCGTTCTCTGACAACTACCCTGAAGACAGATAATTTATATCCTGTGTCCCACAGCGAAGTCTGTCTGAGAGGTTTCACATTGGCTCAATACATGTCTGCTTCACGAGGTAGGAGGCAAATTGAATTCTGGGCTTTCCTGGATAAGACAGGTTACACTTCACTGTTACTTGGATTGCTATTGTAATGACAAAGGAGCAAAAAAGGTGGAAAGCAGCTGAGTTTCTAGATTGAGTTAAGCTGTGACTCCTCACAGGGCTGTCCAAACTCACATGGATCTATTAATCAATGAAAAATAGTTTGTCTCAACACAGAACTCACGGTTATAAAAGCCCCTTTTACACAAGCATGTTCAAAGCTGGAACGTTGCACCGTATTGGGACCAAATCCGGCGTTGCGGTGGTGTGTGTTTAGCTTTAGGATGTAAAAGCACTGAGGAAACATTTATAGATAACGTTTTATCTGACTGATTTGTGGTAGATGAATGTTTTAGATGGGGTAGTAAATGGATACGGTTTGTTTAGGGGTGTTGTGGTGTTATGGTTGGGGGGGATGACTGATAAGAATCTGGTCACAGTCACAGGATCAGATCAAAGGACCATTTGTGTTAAAGACCTAAAACCTTTCATATGTGATTTACAGCAGTATGTTAATAGGATACCAGATGTATTTTTGTTTGGATGTACTGAAAGGTATATAAAGCAGATCATTCTGGAAGTCTAGAGAGAGAACATCTATGCTGTGGTCTTCTCTCCATGCTGCATGAGTAACTTGATTCATCACACCGGGTTCCTAATTCTTCAGAGAGCTAGCAACTCTCAATATTATGGAAGAATTTGCCCTACAGATTCTCTGGTTTTCTTGCTACTGGTGCGCCCTCTCATTTAAATGAAATTTGTGAATGTGAACCGAAACTGAGTGAAATATTAAAATGGCAGAGGGAACAAACTGCACCAGAAGTGAGTAAGCATTCGCACTCTTAAACCTATTTTTTTCCTGATCCTCCTTTTCCTATGATTAACTGTGTAATGTTAATGATGTTCAATTGTTTGGAGCCAATAACACAAGTTATTTGTAGTTATCTGCTTTGTAAATGCTGTACAGAAACTTCTCCTACCATGAGGTGCAACGTCTGTGCTCGTTTCAGCTCTTGTGTGGCTTCAACGCTCGAACTTTCCAGCTGTAACACCTCCTTATAGATCAGCGAGGCCTCGTAGTATTTCTGGAGATGTGAGGGGAGAAATCATTAATAAATTAATGAAGCGCATTAAAACACGTCAAGCCAACTGCAGCATGAAGAGATATTATACAGCCCTGAACGAGTAGGAGCAGTGTAAGCAAGGTTAACGGGATACAGGTGCAGTGATTTACCTTGAGCCCACAGAGAGCTTTCCCTTTCCTAAATAAACCTTTTATCCAGTTTGGCTCCATGCACAGTGCTATGTCAGCATCCCTGAGAGCGTTTTCATACTGCTGCGTTCTTTCATAACAAAGGGACCGATTTCCAAATAACCTGAAAAACAGAGTAAACATAATTCAAGGTCATAAAATGGTCACTACTTCTGGTTGTTTTAGTGAAGGCTGAAATCAATTTAAGACTTACTTATATTCCTTTGGGTTGTATTTAATGGCGTCCGTAAAGTATTTCACCGCCATCTCGTACTGTCCAGAGGCAGCCAAACGATTTCCAATACCTGGAAGGAAGAACAAGGACGGCACCTTCAACGTGTTTGTTTTGTCAGAGTTTCAATAAAAGAAATGTTACTGGAAAGATAACTCACCAGCAAGCTCTCTGCTTCTCTTTGCAAGATCGTTTGCAGTGGGATCCATCGTTTTCTGTTCAAATTAAAAAAAAGGGAGCACATTAGTCTGAAGTATGCCGAGCACTTCAGGAAACATTTAATTTGCACGCAGCTTGTCAGACACCAAGTTGTGATGATTTTAAAAAAGGCCCAACCAGTTATTGTTCTATCACATGAAATAAATAAAAATGGTGTATTCACAAATACAGTTGAAGAATCAGACTTTTAAAAAAGGATAAAACTGGTTTTAGTGTTTCTTGGCTGATCTTTTGAAGGCCCCTTCCTCTTAGATGTGTGCTTACAATCTGGCACTTAAGTCACTACGTTTTTAGAGTCTCACTCTCACACCCTGCACGTCGTTATTGGTTGAGGGTCACACACCCACTGCCTAAAGGTTGACGCCCTTTGAGGAAATACAGGCAGAGGACAGTCTCTGCAGATACAGACACCGCCACACATTTCTAGTGGGTCATAAGTGATGACAGAGAGGGATTATATTTGTGACAGCTGGTTTCGACCTTTTATTAGGATCCGATTATTTCCGTTAGAAACACAAAAACTATGTTTTCAGTGTTCTCACTTTTTCATTGGGTTCCTGTTTCACTTCCTTCTTCTTTTGAATTCCGGGTCTCTCCACAACTTCTGGCTTTTCTTCCTTCAACTGCTCAACTTCCAGTATTTTAGCTGTTTTTTCCTTTTTTCCTTCTCTCGCAGGCATGTGGTTACACGTCTCCTCAGGCACCGGTTTAGCCATAGAAGCATATGAATTATTTAAATCCAAATCCTGCGGAGGACAATGAAACACAAGGTGGTGGTTTTTAGGATAATCGTACACAAACTACTCACTAATTTTTTCATCCCCAATATATTTGTCCAGATGTTTTTACAGATGCTGATTCAACTGGACCAAAAATGTTAAAAATCTGGCGTCAGTTTCACAAAGACAGACTATGACGGTGGCTAATAGTCAGATTTTAGAAAGACAGATAAATTCACCTGTGGCACAAAGCTGTCCAAGTTCTTTACCATCTTAAGTCATTTGCTATCAATTCTGGGTCAATTCAATTTTAAATTAAAAAAAACACTTTATACAATAATAATAATAATAATAATAATAATAGAATACAGCGAGGAATGTAACACCACAAAACACTTCCTGTAACATAAAATCGCAGTGAGCTGCTGTGACTGCTTTTTGTGGTTTTATGCGTCTCAGTACTTCTAGTTTGTCGAAGCACTTTCCCTTCTGACAACATTGTAAAAACAAAATCAGAAATTATGAGCCATGTTTTGATCTTTTTTTTTGTGTGTGTGTCACTTCCAGTTACCATGGAAACACCGGTCTCTTAACACTTTCAGCTTAGAGTGAGTCAGTAACACTACAGACCAGTTTAAAAAATATTATAATGCATCAATTCAAAACAAATCCTGGTGATTAAACAATTATTTTGTAATAATAATAATAATAATAATAATAATAATAATATCACATAGTAAGGTTTTCTCTCTTTTTTTTAAGGTATATTTGCATTTTGTATTTGAATATCATCCATTGAATTACTGTTGAGACATTATATCTGCACTAGCTTTTAAATAAATACATTTAAAGAAAACTTTCTACACAATGTGACAAATTTTAAAAAAGTAAAAATGTCCACAAACCTTTTGCTCCTCATTTTCTTTCGTATTCATCTTTGGAGGATTTTCTTCTTTATTATTACCACCGCTCTCGTCACATTGAACTTCCTCTGTTGCATTTTGTGTTTTACCAGATTCGGGAGATTTATCTGCTTCTGCATTATTTTCAATAACCGGATTTTCTTCCTGATTTTCTGAGGAGTCTGACTTCCCTTGTTCTTCCTCCTGTGATGACAAAAAAAGAGATTATAAGTAATCAATGTGGCTTTGATAATGCTTTACTTTACACTTATTCTTATTTGTTGTTATTCACAGCAATATGAGTAAAACAAGTCTTACAGGTAAAATGTCTTTTACTGCATTCTCCTTTTCTAATCGTTTCTTTTGTTTTTTACGCTGCAACAGAAAGAAGACGTGTTTGTGAGCCACGAAAAACCACACCAACAGTTAAAATGGAGGTTAAATCCTAATAATTACGCTCATACTGACCATTTTTTTACGCTTGTTCCTCTCTGTTTTCTCTTTTCGTCGTTCTTCTTCTTCTATCAATTCTTTTGCATGTTTATCTGCCTCCTGAAAAAAACAAAACTATAAGTTCAAGAAATTCCCAGAAGAAATGAAACACACGCCAATTTGCTAAATGTAACATTTCTGTTTTGAGGTTAAATATAATGTCCACAAACTACACGAGTCAGTCAGTTATATCACGTTACAACTCAGGGATGAAATAAAAAATAGCTTTCTGGTTTCACTTTCAAAGAAGTGAAACAGACGTGTAATAAAATACCTCGTCAGTGAGTTGTCTTATTCGGGGATGTGGTTCTAAAGGTCTGTGAGCAGAATTGTGTGGATACAAGTGATCATCGTCATCATCGTCATCATCAGAATATATGATGTCGTCCTCCAGGTCTCCATCCAGGTTCCTTAAAAAATCTAAACCTGGGAGATATGGAGACAAACACGAGGAGGTCGTTTAGTGTTTTCATTTCAAGTGAACACATGAGTCATCTGAACCGACCCAGAGAGATTGCAATCAAATTATTAAAATAACAAAAAGGCACATAATCCATTTAATCGCCGTCTTCCTGAGAGATTCTTGATCTTGATGGGGCAAAAACATCTCTCCATTATGGGTCAGTACACAATCCTACTGCTACCCAGACAGACAGACGACCACCCACCTAGAGCCGGAGGATCTGTCCTAGGTTTCTGCCTTTTAACAGGCAGTTTTTCCTTGCCCTTGTCGCCAAGTGCTTGCTCATGGTGGTACTGTTGGGTCTCTGTAATTAATGTTAAAGAGTTCGGTCTAGACCTGCTCTATTTGAAAAGTGTCCTGAGATAACTTCTGTTATGAATTGGCGCTATACAAATAAAATTGAATTGAATTGAATTGAATTGAATTACTGTATGTGAGGTAGCAGAACTTTTATCATCAGTCTGAATGAGCTTGGTGAATAACTGGGGCCAGTATACTCCACCAGAACTGGTTTTCAGGTGGATCTTCCCTTTGCCACCATCCTCTCAGGTTTTCCAAAGTGAAGTGAGATCTCTTAAGTCTTCTCATCCTGCACTTGGCATCAAAAGCTACCCACAACCCTTTGCAAACAGCTCCATCAAGATCAACAGCGTGGCAACATTAAACCGGATGTAATCTGTGGTTTACAGACACAAGAAGAAGCTGATAGCCTTCCACACCCTCATAACTGGTCTCATGACTTCTGACAATATATAGAAATCAATAGTAAAGTCCAACTATCTAGCCGTGATACTCTAGCACTAACTCATGTAGCTCTTAACCAATGTCGACCCAGAGAAGGAGATAAAACCTAATCACCAACCAGCATATTATGTTACTTATATTTAAAATCTTTAACAAGCTATTTGGTGGAAGCCTGGAACTGAAATAGAAACCACAAAACAAAGCTGAAACATCCTGACTTCCTTTGTGCAACAAAACCAGTAGACCAGAGGTCCTGTCTTCTTACTGGGTAACAAAGTAATTTGAGGCAGCAACACGCCGTCTCCTTGCTGCTCCAAATACAACAATGAATGCAAGACGACGCGAGGATTTCACTGCAGTGAACATCCGACATCTCTACATAAAATAAACAAACTTTTTTTTGCAATTCAACAGAGTGCCAGTGAACTAGTCTGTTGCGTTTCACTGTGAACTAACCAGCAACAGCCACCGCAGAGAATAACTCACCAAATAAGCCGGAGGCGAAGACATCCAGGAACGAGCTCCGAGGATGACGTCCATTTATGAAATCTACCATCGTTTCCTGGGAATGACAAAGATCAGAGACTGAAAATGCATCCATCAATGTGTCCACGCTGTAGGGCGCGTCTACGGTTATTATCTATATACTGTTATAAATAACACACTGTGCAACCTTTAATTGATTTGCTGTGTGTAAAGTAGGTTTACGGCCGTTATCTTCAGCAGCTCCCACAAGAGCTGGTAGATAATGTTGTAACATGGAGACGTGGCTTCTCACTTCTTTGTAGTTTTGTAATCTGCAACTATGCTGCTTAAAAATAATAATTTATGTATTTTTTTTTTACAACAAAAATCCTAAATCTTCTCTGGTTGCAGCTTCTAAAATGTGAGGACTTGCTGTTTGTTTTACATCACTGTAAAGTGACTATATTCGGACTGTTTTGAATGAACTCAGTTTGGTAAAGAGCAAGGGAAAAAAAAACAAGCAAATTAGAAGATTTAAGCTATTTTTATATTATATTATATTACATTATATAGACTAAACAAATCAACCATCATCTGTTCTTACTCCATTAAAACACACAGTTTGTTTTTACTGTCATACAGAGCAATAAACACAAGAGCTGACGTTGTAATACTGAAATTGTTTGATGTAATAAACCCACATATCATTTCCTTCTCTGCATTAATTCATTATAATATAAATAATATAATAAAACAATCAATAATCTCAACTTTAATCTGACAGTTGTGACCTGCCTGACAACTACAGAGGTAGATCATGTGTCAGCAGCGTTGCTTTTGGTGGCACATTACCAGCAGCACAGGAACTGGAACTGGAAATACCGGTTATGCCACAGAAAAACAACAAAATAAACAAAACATAAAAAGTATTTTCTGTGAATTAAACTCACATGTGTGCGCATTAGCCTCGATCCCTCTCGTATTCTGGGTACAGGAGCGCCAGCTGAAACAAAAAACCCCAGCTAGTTTAGTAAAGAAATGACTAATCTTACATATATAAATATAAATAAATATAAATACACAAACAAAAGGCAGCGGTTTAGGTCATACAAACACATCAACAGCGTCCTTGGGTTGCTCACCAGACGCCACAACGTTTAGCGAGCTAACCCAGCTAGCCACGGAGCTAACTAGCGGCACATTGGACGAAATGACGTCTTCAGTTCTCTCCGATATTAAAACGCTCATTAAAAACAAAAATGACAATCGCTGCTTCACTCTTACCTCTAACTATCTCCTTCTTTTTGGGCATGGTGTTGACTTATTTCCCCTGTTTTTTTCTTTTTCCCGCGGCTGTGTTTAATGTGTCTGTCTGGTTCAACTGCGACGAGTCTGCTTGTTTCCGGGTTGGAGCCGAGAGCTGCTTGGGTCTCCCGCTGCCCTGATTTTAGGCTTTCAGGCTGCTTCCCGCCTCCTAACAAGCTCCTTCCAGTCAATTTGTTGTTGTTTTTGTTTGGTTTTTTTTGTTTTTTGTTTTTTGTTGTGGTTTCGGGTACTGGCGTTAATTTGGTGGCTATGCTTTGATATCGTGTCCGCCAGTCATGGTGCTGCAGGTGCCTGAATGTGCAACTGAGGGCTTAAAGTCCCTGTGTGCCTTTGACAGTAAGGTTTGTGTTGTTTTGATTATTGATGATTTTAAAGAATTATACGTTTTAAATTAATAAAAAAACAGACATATAACATTATTTTTCTCTCTATATATATATGTATTATCTTCTATTTTCATTCATTATTTTAATGGCTTCTATTGTGCTCTTATTGTTGTATTCTGATATATTTATTATTTAGTTTGTGTTTTACAGCTGTTATTCTGCTTTGTAGTTTGTTTGTTTAAACGGTGCTATATAAATAAAGTTATTTAAGTTATTATTATAGTATAACTGCAATACGCAACATGTAAAAATATAGTATAAGACAGTTATATGTCAAATTAAATTAATTAAAACATCAGATACATTCTTATTTTCTCATACAAAGAAGGTCTCTAGTGCATATAGAGTAAAAAAAAAAATCAAACCCCTCAAAATGTTAAGAGATAAAATAGTCTTATTATATGTAAGTAAAAGTATTGAATCAATACCTGATCAATAAACTTCCTCAGTCACAAGATGTGATATGATCCGCTTTAAATTCAGAGAGGTGCAAAAACTACAGAGCTCCCACTCTGTTTTATTTCTGAGTCCTGATGTGAAACATTGACCCACTCGTGTGTTTCTACACTTTAAACCGCCACAACAGAGAAACCAACATCAGACAGCAAAAATAAAGCAAAATAACATAAAATAATATCCGTTAACATTAAACAACAGAAACCTGAAGGGGCACTATTTTTGTTTATAAGTGTTTTTTTTTTTTTTAACGGAAACGCAAACGAGCCATCCGTTCAATAGACGATCTTTGACGTCATTCCGTTCAAATCTCGCGCCCTCTGCCCTCCCGCGCGAGCTTCCGGGTTTTCCCCCCCTTTTACATTTCCTAGCAACGCTCCTTGGATACGAACTGGAGGAAGCGCGCTCACTGTGGCGGACTAACAACAACAACAACAACAACAACAACAACAAATGGAGCCTCCACAGGTAGATTTAAGTCACGCACACTGTTGTTGACGTCTTTCGGTACGTTTTTCACGCAATTCTCACTCGGTGAAATCTAAAGTTCACGCAACGTTAGCCGCTGTCAGCACTAACCGCCGTGCTAACGTTGTTAGCCGACTCACCAACGGCCAACTCGACTTTTCTCCTCTTGAACTTAACGCAACTTATTGCGTGAGTAACGCTGTTAATGGCGACTGCTCGGTTGCAAGTGAACGTTTCACAGTCTGTATGCAGATTATACTCAACGTGTGTTGTCGTGTGTCTTTCACCAAGCCAACGGTAACCTGTTGCCATCGAAACGAGCTAACTTGTAGCTTTGCTTGTGAACTTATTGATATGTTAATATGTATAAAATGTAATTAAGTTAAACTCAAATACTGCTGATTTGTTTTTAACCCAGTAATGGTTCGACTGTGCATTAGTGAGTTTATTTGGGATTCAGTTATTTTACAGTTTAATGTCATTTTCCCATGAGTTGTTTAACGTTATTTTGGCTGTCATCATATCCACGAAAATGCCTGGATAGATAGTAAAAACACTTTTATTTATATAGTCCACCATCACAGGTCACAAGTCTGCACCAAGGGCCTTTACAATCTGTACAGCATATGGCACCATCTGTCCTTAAAACCTCAGTCCGGATTAGAATAACCTTCCCAAAAACCTGTTAATTAAAAAAGTGTATAGATAGATAGATAGATAGATAGACTGATTGAAAGAGTACTTTATAAATCCCAAATTGGAATTACAGTTCTTTGACAGATAGTAAGAGATGTGTCATATAAATCCTAAAAACAAATGATATATGTTAGAACTACAGAAATCAAAAACATCATAAAATACAAAGTCAATATTATACATTAAATGTAGGACGATAATCTAACTCTACTATATATTAAATATACACTGTACGAAGACAGTCCCCATTAGTAGTGCAAGTCCAGTTGATAATGCTATATTCTATCCTTAGATGTTTACTGAATACTGTATATGTAAACAAATAGGTCTGTAATGTAGTAATCTAGAGTTGTGAGGTTGCATAATAGATACAAAGGACATTGTGATATTATTCTGAATGAACAAAGGAGCTGAATAAGTTTCTTGCTGAAGATGCAAATGCTGTTTGACCTGCAGATTGTGGAGGGGGTGTTAGATATTTTCCAGGATGGATAACAGTTTGTGCAGCACGCTCCTCTCCACTAACACCTCCAGGGACCTACAGACTTGTTCTTATGTGTGCAGTTATACAGCAGCGTTGAATGGCACAAGTGGAAAGTAACCGTAAGTTGTTTGATGATGTGGTTTGCAGAGGGTGGTGGCCTCTCCTCAGTTGCCACCAGGTGAAGATGTGAGTCAGTCTGTTGGGCAAACACCCATAAACCAACTGGGAGTTCAAACTCGAAGCTGTGCCAGACAGGAAACAGATGGCTGGGAGCATCAACAGCTGTGGGGGCACTCTTTGCAGCCAGGTATTGAATAAAACACAAAATATCGCTCTCTCTTCTGCTCTGTCTGTGTGCTATTGTATACCTCTTGTTTTGACTCAAAATATGAGTAAACTATGCCTCATGGTATTGATATAACTTTCTCATGATCTCAGGATATCTGTGTAGGTATGAAAAACTATTTGTTGTAAGTCCTAAACTTGTACCTGTGGATAACATTCAGCATTTTCTGTATCATCAGACTTTCAGGACAGTAACCTCTCTCCAGCCTTTCCTCTGCTGCCTGCGAACTCTGGAGTGGAACACATGTCCACTGAATACTCTTTATTTCAACAAAGTGACAATGAATTTGCTGCTTTAAGGTAAAAATAAAAACAATCAAAAGTCAGTTATTGGCTCTAAACATAGTTTTCTACAACATGTCACGTTGAGAAGTTTCTGATCTCTTTTTATTTGCTTTTCAAAGGGCGTACCCTGACATTTCCATGGCATCAGAGAGGTTTCACTTTCAACCCCAGCACTGCACCACTCAGACCTCTGAGCATGCCTCACTGTCCCAGCACCCTTTGGCCCAGGCAACCATCCTGTCTGAAGACGGAGCGAACAGCTGCTGCTCTCTGTCCCAGCACAGTCTGTCACCAGGAGACGAAGGAAGAGGAAAAGAAGCAGTTCACTCCTCACTGACTACCAGCACTGACAAACAGGGAGTACCATCCAGAGATGATACAGGTAGCAGGAAGAAGGACTCTGGGACACTAACTGGCCCATTAGACAAGCCAGTAGGAGAGACTGCTGAAGATGAGACATACTTTCTGAGTAAGGAAATTCCTGCCCAGCATCTTTTGGCACTCCTTCAGAAAGATATTGGCATGCTAAGCAGCAGTAGTAGTGCCGTTTCCTCTGCCTCTGAGACCTCTGTGAAGACTGCTGCATCTTTTACCGAAGACCATAAAAGCACTAAAGTTTGCAAACCAGGCTTTGACCAAAGCACGGTTAGAAGAGAAGGTCCTCCAGGTGAAGCTTCTCTTCCCCAGCAGCAGACACAACAACCTGACAGAGATTTATCATCTGAGGTCTGTAACATCACCATGGGGCTCCGCAGCACTCAACCTGACGACAGTAGTGAAGTGTTACACAGAGAGCTACTGTCTGAGGTCGAGAGGCGCAGCAGTCGTGAAGCCGAATCTAAAAAACAACAGCGGAAAAGTCCAACACCACCTGGTCAATCTCTCACGCCGTATCCCGCGGAGACATCTAAAGGCAAGTCAAGTGTGTCCAGAACAAATGTGGGTGGTGTGCCATGGACGGGGCCGTTTTCAGCAGGCGTTGAACGTGGTCTCAGAGAGCAAGACCTCTGGTCCTCAGGGAACCAAACAGGGATTGATGGATCCTACCTGGGTTTTCTTCCACAGTCTCAGTCCACACCGGGCATTTTTAAGGCCCCACTCAAATCCAGTGTCAAGGCTAAATTAGGGCAACTTTCTGCCATAGAATCAAATAAAGAGAACTCACATCAGTCAAGCACAGAGATCTCTCCACAGCCAGCTCTTCCTGTGGCTGAAGGCCGTCAACCAGACACATCAGATCAGTGCAAAGAGGAAGCTAACTCTGCTAAAGTCCAGTCTCTCCCAAGTCTCAACTATATGGAGAAAGTAGATGCTTGGAGGGCAAACCAGAGTTCAGGCAAGACATCACTATTTGATAGCTTGGCACTGCAAGGATTTTCTGGCATCTCTCCTAAAAAGAAAGCTTACGATGCAGTATCTGACACTCTGAATCGCATCCTGAGTCAGCAGGCGAGGAGTTTACAACAACCTCCCGTTTCAAGTCCTGCCAACCAGAATGTGACACAGATCTCCTCCACAGCTCCTTCTGGCTCCTCTTTAAAAAGAGGGGAGGCGGTGGGCAGTGCTCCAAGTGACAAAGATAATACTGGGTCTGCACTAAGACCCTCTGCCTCACCCTTTGGTAGGTCACAGTCCCACTCCTCTCTGAGCACGGTTGTCATGTCGGCCAGGAAAGATCAGCAGACAGAGAGACGTACAGAAAAAGAAAAGAGCCAGACTCAGGGCGATGTCCATCAGCAGAGTGCCACAGTTCAACCCTCGGCTCTCATGAGCCTCGGTCAGTTCAGTGATGTGTCACTTGATCGAGATTTGACACTCTCAAGTTCTCAAGATAGCTACAACAGTGGAATTAAATTAGGAACTTCCATTGAAGCTTCTTCTGTTGTCAGCCTAGAGGTCGATAACTATGCCCCGTACTGGACTTCAAAACAGTTAACACCACCACCTCCACCGAGGCCCCGAGACCTCAATATTGAAGAACGAATTCCGGTAATGGAAAAACTGAAAATGATTGATTGGATTTCTTTAAAATATTGAAATATGTTGATTGGAAAATGTATTATTGTTAGTCAGTTTCAGCAGATAATAAACGTTACAGTTAACAGTTAACAGTTAGATACATGGAAGATTTACTCCTGATTCTAATATGTTCTGTATTTGTTTTTCTTGCAGTTGTATCTCCATAACCTGGGTATTGACCAGTCTCCCTCAACAATCTTAACTCCATTTGCACCCAGAGGGCCAATCAGAGAGCCTGAATTCTCCCCCACTGATCTCTGTACAATTAAAGGATCTATTGGAACCCCAACCAAGAGCATCCAAACGCCTGAAGGTACTTTTAAAACTGATGCTCTAAACAGAAACTATAACAAGTAATTTGACTTGTACTAGGAACTAAGTGTATCTTTTATTTATTTAAAAAATAGTCCAATGTTTTATTTTCAGGTGGCAGTACCCATAAAGGAGAGTTTTCCAGGTCCAGCATCCTGTCAGTGGACTCCAGTATGTCCATAACGTTTAGCCTGGACAGTCTCGGTCCAGCTGTATCCATCCCTGAGCGGGCCAGGCGGGCCTCTCCCTTATCCGATCCAGAAGATATCCAGAGTGAACACAGACTGGCATCCTCCTCCCAGCCTGATGAAGACTCTTATCCCTCCACACTGCAGACCATCCAGCAACAGCAGAGAGACAGCAGCTTAACCAGCAGCCAGAATACTATCCAGCTAGGGGTCAGGTTTGACTCTGACCTCTCGTTAGCTACCGAGGATAGGTGTGGGGATAGAGACTTGGAGTCGCCCTTGCAAACGAGCCGTAGTATGGAGCAAAGCGCAGAAGCCTCTTTTGTTAGCTCCAAGGCCTTGTTGGAGATCCGTAAGCTACTCTCTCAGGCAGAGAACGTGGTGTCTGCTGGGTCTTCTGTGGCTTCCTCAGCCTTCCCTGCAGCGCCCCGTCTGCTCTCTGATGATGACATATTCCTCTCACTGAGGAAGAAAACCAGCAGGCTCCAGGACTCCTCTTTCTCCTCCTCCTCTGCTACTGGAGATCCCAGAACTCAATCCTCCCAGTTGTGGGGCAGGTCCTCGTCCGACTCCATGCTAAGCTCAGAGAAACTGAGAAAAAGTTCTATTGGTCAGGAGAGTATGACTTCATCTGGGCCACCTTATTATCCATCCACACAACCTCTTATTCCTGCGATGTCCACAGGCGCATACAGAAGACCACAAGATAGCACTGTTGGTAGAGGTCCAGGGTCGTCTCTTGTCCTCTCCCAATCAGCCCGGCGGGCAGAACCTGAAGGCTGTAGTGCTGCTCCCCCTGACAATAAAGTCCCACCGCAGCCACCAATTATTACGCCTTTACCAGCTCTGAGTACACAACAACTCACTTCTACTCCTACAGACATGGCGGGTGTCACAGAGGAGGAAAAACAGACTACTCTGGAAGATCCTGTACAGAGTAGCTCCTCCTCGCCCATCCTCGAGGACAATGATCAAGGAGCGGTGAGCGATGGGAGCAGTGAGAGTTCGCTGGCAGTCAGAGTGGCCAAGTTACTGCAGAGTGAATCTCCAGCCACCATGGTGTCCAGTACACCCAGCCTCACTGACCAAGAGGAGAGCAGAGCCAGAGGTAAGAGGAATCACATGTTGTTGAAATGTTACACCTTAATCTTGAGTTTTCATGGGGGGAAAAAAAGATTAAAACATCCAGACAAACTTTTCAAACTCCTGCAAAACAATTAACTTCCATGTGTGATCCATCTTTATCCATAGACACTTCCAATCATGTTTTCCTCAAAATATGTATAGATACACTGAGGCTCATTTCCTCAGACAGAACTCAGTCAAGCTTGTATGCATTGATGTGGCTTGCTGGATTAGGATAATTCATTCTTAGCTCAGTCATTGGCTATCCATATTGACATACTGTCTAATAAACTCTCACGAGCATTAATGTTTATATGTTGCAGAGTGGATTAAGCTGAAGTTATCAGGAGAGCAGTGTGAACCTCTGGAGTTGGACAAAGAGGACAGAAATCGGATTGAAGAGATCAAGAGAGAGCTGCTGCTAAAAAACCCCATAAAGGTAAACCACTGATGAACTTCACTTAACAACCAATCACAATTATAAAAGTTTCATCTACAACAAATAACTTACATTTATATATAATTTTATAAAATACTTTCTTATAACAATTACAAATGTTTATTATAAATTTATAAGTTTATAAAATAATTATATTTTGTTGTTATTTTGCCTCCAATCTCTGGACAGCACCGGTCTAATGCTTGAGGTAACCAGTGTGTTGCAGGCATGGTGTGTCAACAAATACATGTTAAACCTTTGGCAAATTTTAAACTGTTCCCAGTTATGTTTGCAGTGCAGTTTTTCTTTGAATCTTTGTGGTGGATGAATTCACAGGGTAACAAAAACTTGGACCTTGCCTGGTCTCACAGTTTAACACGGACCTCTTGTTTTTTTGCTTTTCTTTCAGAGTCAGGGAAGCACAGATACAGAGAGCAGTGCAGCATCCAGTGTTAGAGCCTTAAGGGGGCAGGATCTGTCTCAGCATGTCGAGACATTTACAGCCCTCAGTGATGCTAGTAAGCAGCCACTCCAGCCACCGCAGGGCCTCAGCACAGATCTCTCCAGTGTGCAGCTTCAAAACCCTCCTCGCCCAGATCTAGAGGCTCAAATACGTGAGATTGCTGCCAGAGAAGGAGTAACCCTCCCTAGGACAAACCCTCAGGCCCTCACATCTATCACCATCGCCACCCGCAGGCGCTCAACCTCCCCCTCTCCCTCCACGTTGCCTGCACCTCCCCTCAGTCCTGCACCTGAGCCGCTCCACCTGACCGAGCTCTCTACAGGAGCAGTCGAACACCCTAAAACGAACATGTGGATCCCCCCTACTGTGGATAAAGAAGATAAGGCAACCACAGAGCCTGCATCTGTGTTTGAGCCAAGCAGTAGTCTTTACACCAGAAACCAAAACCTGACAGTACCAGGGAACCAGAGGAGGCAAGATGCTGTAGGAGGCCAGTTTGAAGAACCTCCCCCACCCTCTCTGCGTTTAGGTAGAGAGGATGTGTACGCTAAAGATGACAAGGTATCCGTCCAGGACAGCTCTGTTTCTGGTGTTGGTCATGAAGCTGAACAGGCCACAGGTTCATCCACCCCTGAATCTCCAGCCAGGACAGGTCACGTCTCACATGTCCATCTCACTTTGTCCCCGAAAGCCACCGATCACAGCTCGGCCACCTCTGTCCACTCCAGTCATGCTGATGCTGTTACAGGGCTGCCATGTAAAGAATTTGTCCCCCTCAGACACTCCTCTTCTGCGGCCAGCAGTCCGGACGAAGGTGTCGGTTTGTCCAGTCCACCAGAGTGGTACAACACCAAAGAGCCAATAAGACAACGGGGGCCTGAAAGAGTCGACACCTCCACCCTGTTCAAAACTGCTGCGCCTCAGGGAAAGATGACCTCCACATCCTCACAAACACCACGTCACAAAGTCGTGGTTCCACCAACACCCTTAACAACAGAATCACCAGGTTGGCTTGTTATGAAATGTATTTAGATTATATAATGGTATATAAAGAAAGACTTATCTCATGTTGTTTTTACTTCTGTATGAGGAGTTTTATAGTTTTATAATACAGTTTAACCAACCCAGTATTCACAAGACTGTTGATCTCACTATAAATGAGGGCAGAGTTCTGCTCTAGAGGATGATTGAGAACATACTGTGTAACTTTATTTGTGGTTTATAACTTCTGATTCCATGAGACAGCGAGATTAGTTGCCCAAAACACAAAGTCCAAGTGGAGGGTGTGGAAGTGTGTCTCCAAAACAATTGGAGCCGGTAGTGTGACTGTAAAAATGCTGCTGCTGAATTCTTTATTCCTAAATTAATCTTCTCACATTTACTGCAGTGCCTGTTCTGTTGCCTTATAAACCCCGCGGCAGTGAGGAGCTCTTCTACGTCCCTCAAACAGAAGCTGACTTCACCACCGACCCTTCTGACACCACCATGGAGAGCACACACACAGGTAAAACGCTGAGAATCTATAGATAAGAAAAAGCAATGAACCACAAGCACATGATAAATGAATATACCAGAGACGCCACCCACCCCCCTCCAAGTTGATTCATGAAGTGCCTCCTGATTATGGGATAGACACTAACAATTTGACCCACAAAATTGCACATGCTGGGTTGTAAACAAGTAAACTCAACGCCACATGTATCAACAGCCTAAATTATATGGTAATATGGTAATAAACCCACATTTAACACAAATAAATCCAAATGGACAAATTCCACAGCATCTCCACTACTGTCTGATTATTAACTGATTACCAGTTGCCTCATATGCTACTTGTACGTCATTTAAAGCAACTCAAATGTATGTTCTGTTTTCCTTTTTAATTTAAATGAATGTAAATTGGTCTTGGAGGGGTTCCCCTGTAGCTCACCTGGTGGAGCAGGTGCACATTGTATAAAGGCAGAGTCCTTACTGCAGCGGTTGGGAATCAAACCTGGGCTCTTTGCTCCGTGTCACCCCCCTCACTCTCTCCCCTGCTATTCCTGTCTCCCTCCAGCTCTCATTAACAAATAAAGCAGAAATGCCAAAAAAATATCTTGGGGGGGGGGGGTTAATCAAAGTAAATTATGAAAGAATTTATCAAATCCAGAGAATTGAAATTGCCAGTTGAATCTGCAATGAGGAGGCTCTGCTCTCATTTCCCCTGTGCCTGTATGGGTGGCAGCTGGTCTATTGTAACATACACCAGGCAGTGCATTAATTATTCATGTTCAGGGGCAGAGTGAGACAAAGGCAGGGCTCGGGCCCCAGCAGAGAAACAGAGGGAGAGGGGACTGCCTCTGAACATCTTCTGTTCATTACTGGCTGAAAATGAAGGATTTTGGTCACTTTTATTCAACTCTTATCTCACAAATCATCATAAGGTAATGAGCCACTTTTATGCTCTGACCAGGCTCAGACGACGCCGTGCCCCCACGCTTCAGCAGTGAGGTCCTCGGGCACAGAGACCCGGGGTTGGACCGTGGAGTCACCATCAGACACACAGAGGGAATCTACAGCAAGAGGTTGAAAACAGCCACCTTCAAAATGCACAAGCCTGAACGCAGAGGTGAGCTGAACATACGCACACACAGATGTGAATTACTTGCACTGTGACGTCAGATGGAAACACGTGTCATTTGTCCATAAATTGCTAAATAAAGTCTGTCATTGGTTAATTTGAACATATGTTACTGGTTAAATGTAATGAATATAATAGAAACATTCAAAATATATACACGAAATGTTGCTACACTGTGTCTGGCAGTGCAGGTTGGGAACAGGTTATAGTCGTATTGTTTTCTGTGTGACAGATTTTACTGTTTTGGAAAAATCCTAAAAGACCAAGTATCAAACAATGGGCTTGGGCGAATGTTTGTTTATTTATGTATTCTGCTCCATACATTAACCCATAACTAACTCATTGAAATACTTGGAAATTTAAAATTTCAACCCTAGAGTGTTATTGGTGGATATAAGAAGACATTTTTTTTGTTTTGATTTTTTTGAAAAAGTCAGTTTTAGTCTGAAAATCAAAGTCAATGATATCTACGTGGGCTGGCACAACAACAATCTGTGGCACAGCAGGCCTCCTCTTCCCATAGAAGGACTGAGCAGACAGCTGCTGCAAAAGAAATATGCCACATCAATATACTATGAAAATATGTAAATATGCATGAGTACTCGACTGGATGTCCGTATTCGTTCAACGTATAGTGTAATTACATATTTCTGACCAGACATAAAAGTGATGTTTGGAAAACCAGCCACGGCTTTTTACCAGCTATTATTGAAATTACTGCAACATCTTAATGTTTGTGGATGTGTTTTTTTCTTCATGTTGGCTAATCTCTACAGTCTAATAATTTAATAATTTAATGCGAGTACTTGAATATGGAAGTTACTTAAAGTGGCCATTCATGATGAAGAATGAATAAATGTATTGTGTGAAAGACAGTATCTAATATTATTTGATCATTTTATTTAGTCTGTGATCAACTTGGTGTTCTGTTTTGTTTTTAATGCCTTTATGCATCTTTTGTTTGTCTTTGCTTGGTTTATTTCTGTATGTTTGCACATATACAGTGAATAATATATATATATATATTGTTGTGTCTCTACTCACTGGTGTCTCTGTATCAGCAGATGCAACCTCACAAACAAGTGTGACTCGAGCTCCAAAGCCGTCTACTGAAGTCGCCTTTACCAGAGCGCCTTTATCGAGCAACCAAGAAGCCTCCAAGAGAGACCAGGGGACCAGCCCAGTGCAGTTCCTCAGCTATAATCAACCAGAGCCAAGCCGTGAGAGATTTCAGTCAGTTCATATGGAAACGGTCTACGTAAAGACGAGCCGTCGTCTGGACCGAGGCTCTTTCCCTCAGGCAGGAGGGGAGCGAGACCAGGAGAGGAGAGACTCTGACCTCCTTCAGCCCGCTGCCCAGCACAGCAGCAGCTCTCTGGACCAGCTGTGGCAGAGGTTCTGTGATCGGTGGAGCCTGGAGGAGTCCCAACCGACCAGTGACAGAGAAACGTCGCTGCTGGATCGGCTGGAGCGTCTGTCCCGTCTTATTCATAGCACAAAGGAAACCAACATTTCAGAGGCATATTGCCATCCAGGAGAAAAGTCAGGAAGGAGGGGAGAAGACGCTACCGGTAAAGAAAGAAAGAATCATATTGGAGAGGTGAAGAGGAGCGTAGGTGGTGAGGACAGAGAAATGGAGCGGAAAGTCATTGGAGGTAGAAAGGTTGAAGGTGAGCCTCCCATCCCTCATCAGGCGTGGACACAGAGGCTTCAGGTAGAGCAAACGTCTCCTACAGACGAAGGATCTCTCTCCAGCTTCTCTCACGACTCCTCCCAGAGCGAACACCTGTTTCCTGCAGACAGAGACGAGTCCGAGACCTTGTCCACCATGTCTGGCTCCATGTCCACCGTGGACACGGCGCGGCTGATCCGAGCCTTCGGCGCCCGCAGAGTCCAGCACCTGAAGACGAGCTCCAGCCTCAGCAGGCTGTACAGCACCATCAACAAGCAGAAAGAAGGGAGGGAGCAGAGGAGAGGAAGAAACAAAGACCCGCCTCACATCATCACGCTGTCAGAGACCACCGGCACCGATGAATCTACAGTACGAATATCTCTCTGTTATTGCCCTCATTCTCAGTGTGCAATGAATATTTCTCTTAACTGGCCTTCAGAACCCTTAAAAGCTGTGAGGATTTGAGAAAAATAAAACTTTTAAAGGTTTAAAGTTAACAGAAAATGGAGAACTTTAGAAATCCTTTTCACTTCAAATATAGCACCAACATGTATCAGTACTCTTTCTCTGTCTGTCCAAGCATCGGCACTATTTGAGGAATTCAATCACAAAACGATGGCTCTGTTATATCCCTGTTGTGTCTCAGTAAACTGACAGTGAGTCAGCATGCAAAACACCAAGACCCTGAAACTGAAGCAGCTAAATAACTTCAGACATCATTCATTTATTATTCACACCTGTGCTTTTCCCACTGTGACATGTCAGTGACACAGAAATACAGTAACTTATAGTTACAATAGGTGTTGAACAGCTCTAAAGCTTTGATGTCGTTGCTTTGTTCTTCAGGTTGCTGCTGATTCTGCATCATCAACCAGCACGAACACCCTCCCATCACAGCCCGGCCCCTCCAGGACTCTGGCATCCAAGAAGGCTGTTAAACTGGTCAGCAAAGGCATCCAAGCAGGTCAGTGGTAAAGTAATTTGGAGATGTCTTTGGTGTCTAAAAAAAACCTTTACCAAGATATACTAATACATACTACAGCGCAACATATTTCCCACACTGTCTATATGATGAGTCACTGAGCTACTGTTGTCTTTCCTCAATCAACAAAAGAGAATACAGAGAACAGAAAATATATAAAGAACTGAAGAACAGTCAGCATCCCCACTAATTAGTGTCAAAATGTTACATATTATTATTATTATTGCATTAGTTTGAATATAAGACCCCAACGTTTTCTAACACTGGAATTTGGAGGTTTGGAAGATGAAAATCAAGCTTGAAGCCTGAAACTTCTATATTACCAAACATCACATGTGAAACTTGTTCAGGTATATTTTAGGTGCAACAAATTCTTCATTCTGTTCATTATTTTCACATTCACACACTTGACACTGATAATAACTTAAATTCTTGGCAGCTGGACGGATGATTTGTTCTTTCTGTTTCTGGAGTAAAGCCGTCTTTCTGCTCATTTTATTTACTTCGATTACACAAGCTGCAGAAAAACCTGTATGTTAAACTGAGTTAAAGTAAGGAATTACATTTAGGGCTGACTAACTCTAAAAGACACACAATAAACTGACTTGAAGGAACTCATTCAGGCAACAAACAACCCATAATGCAACTCTCTGCTGTTGTGAACACGTGTTTCGTCCTCCAATATTTTCCTATTCCTCATAAACAGACTGAAAACAGTGACTGGAACTGGAATAAAGCATTGATTTTTGCAGATATAATGTTACTGTTCCCGTCTTGCTGAGGTTTAAGAATAGGGCACATTTTTATTTATCTAAAATTTATTTAAAATAAATCTCAACAGTAAAAAAACAAATAAATTAAAAACAGACATATTCATATCATTACATGTAAATCTTCACACTGTTCTCTTCTTCCTCAGGTGACCTGGAGCTCGTCAGTAATGGGACCCGACGCCACACCAGAGATGTTGGAACCACATTCCCGTCGCCTGGCGAAGCCAGAACTTCCAGGCAGATTTCATCTTCCTCATCCAGCTTAGAGAGAGGAAGAGGAGGGCGGAGGAGTCCCTCTAAGACTCAGGGGTTACAAAAACAGAGAAAGAGCAAGAAAAACCCACCAAAGACCTTTCCTGAAGGTACGTCAGGCTCTTGTTTTATGTGTGCAGTTCATTGTTTCACAGTAAAACTAAATCCTTGTGTTGATTTGATCCTCTGCAGGTGTTTCATGGTTCATCTCCGCTGACAACCTGAGGTCAGAGGCGAGGAAGGAGAACCGGTCCGAGGAAGAGGAGTCGACGTGGAGGCCGAGCACTGCCTGGTTTGAACCGTACAGCAGAATCCCACCGTGGAGAGAACCGCTCAGGCAAATCCACGAAGAGAGAAACAAACAGCCCAGTTTTACACATCACACTGAACTCGATATAGATCCAAGAACCAAAACCATGTCCTCTGGTCTGGCACGTATCTCTCTTCAGGTTGGTTTGTATTTGTCTTTACAAAACATCCATTAAAAGTCTGTCGCTGAGGACAATTGTTTATTAGCACAGAGGGAAAAAATTTATAGAAATCTCTCGCCTGAAACATCTAAAACTGTTGTGTTCACATAGAATAACTTATCACTTATAGCTGATTGAGATGCAAGATAAAATGTTGGGTGTCTATTCTGATACGTGATTTTAATTTTACTATCAAACAACAGTAAATGGTTCCCTTTTTTTAAAATCTCTTGCCCCTGTAACTGCAGGATGCTCTGGAGATGCGTCGTCCGGAGTTCATCTCTCAGTCCAGACGGAGGGTGAAGCGTCTGGCTCTGCAGGTGGAGGAGAGGAAGCTACAGGAAGCCTTCAGCAGAGAGAGAGATGAACTCTTCAGCCGGCCTGGAGGACCGGGGAGGCTGCCGAGGCCTGCAGGTACTCAGCAGGAAACACCAGGAGGGGAAGAGTGCGATTGTAACATCCAGTCTGAATACTTGAACTCACAGCGGCTCACAGAATCACTAGTGTCTCTGTTTCTAGAGTATGGAGCCTCTAGAAACTGTTTCTTAATACAGTTTGATTATAAAGAGGAGTAATGGGTTAAGAAATGATGAATTATTAGTTGTATTTGTTGTAAAACTGGACTGATTATTTTTCTTTTCTCTTTTTGTTCAGGCACCGCTCTGCTCAGGAGGGCTGTTCCCAGAAAGGAGATGATACAGAGATCCAAACAGTAAGATTTTAATTTCTTCTGTTTTGAATATGATTTTCAATTTAAACTGTAAATTTATATGGATTCCTTAACAATAACAATAATAGTATCAACACTCTGCAGTCTATGGTGATCGGATATAACTAGTTTTGTCTGTTATTTTACCAATTTGTACAAAAAGCTTTAAAAAAGGTCAGAAAAATGAGTTTGTAATGATACATTTGAGCTAGACTGCCTGTCTGGACATCAGACTGGATTTAACATTGGTGTTATAAATGGTTAAAAGCAAGTAAAGTATCATGTAATATATTTTTGTGATATGAATTCTGGTCCTGAAGCACTTTTATTTAACACAGATGTTGCTGAATGGTCTCAACTAAACAATATTAAGTTTGGCTTTCTTAACATTTTGTCTTAAAGTAAAGTAATTTCCCCACGGGGATTATTAAAGTATTTCTGATTCTGATTCTGATTAACGCCGCCTGTTCTCCAGGATTTATGAGAGTCTGCCGGAGGTGCAGAGGAGGAGAGAGGAGGAAAGAAGAAAAGCAGAATATCAATCTTACCGGCTGAACGCACAACTCTACAACAAGGTACAACACAAACTGCTGATTCATCCATCTGATTTAAAACCAGCTCCTGAAATAAACTGAGCTGGTGGATGTTATTGATGATATTTGTGGCTCACAGACAAACTTTTTGTGACAGTTTGTGTATTAATCAAATGAATGAACGTTGTTTCCTTTCAGAGGATCACCAGTCGTGTCCTGGGCAGAAGAACAGCGTGGCAGTGATCAAACAAACCTGTGAAACTTTTTACTGTAGATTAAATCAACGATGTGAAAACTAATTTTTTACAATTTTATTAAGAACAAAGCTACCTAACTTAACTGATAATAGCTTTTATTTATTTGTAACCACATTTTGTTTTGTTTTCTATTTGAAAGATTATGTAGAAAAGTAGAACTCTACTTTATCTGTTACTTTTTCATACTGACAGTGGAATGTTTTTAATTGGTTAAAATGTGTTTTAATGCAAAAAAATAAACCAAATATCTGAGATTCTTTGAACATTTTTGCTAAATTCCATGTTTTAATCCAAGGCAGTGAAAGCCGACAAAGATACACTGGCTTTAATGACTTTATTGATCAGTTATCGGTTGTGCAAGAGCAGGAAGCCACACGAGGAAAAGGTAAGACAAGTTTAGACAAGCTGCAGATTTCAGTACATCAGCTGCTCACTGAGAACAGATAAATAACACAATGAATAAATAACAAATGTCTGCATTCTCCCCATTTTTAACTACAGTTAAAGTAGATGCACTATGCCCAGTTAATTAAATTAATCATAAAACTTCAAGTCATGACAATACTGTGTAAACATAAACAGTCTAACAAATCATTAAATAAAATAATTAGCACGGATTAATGAACTAAAAGCCTTTTTTTTTTCTTAAAATCAGCCATTGGCAAACGTGGTGAAAGAGAAACGAAGATTCTTTGGCAAAGATGTAGTTTTGCTTTAAACGAGGTTTGGTCTAAAGAAAAATAAGGCAGGTGATCGCTCTTTACCACAAGGCTCTCTGCAGGTTTAAGGCTCGGACAAAGTCTGAAACAACATCAGGAAATCTGAGCAGAACAAAAGGTAATACAGTCGTTTCTGGGTGTTTCTTTTTTTTTTTTGTAGTTCAATAACTTTACCAATACAAACCGGTGTGTCATTTTATACCAACAGCATGTAAAAGTAGACGGTAACGACTTTACAGGAATTTTACACCACGAGTGTAATAAATACTAAATAATTTAAAACCATATAATGTTTTCTTCTGTGTTTTTTTTAAATAAACATGAAAAAAAAAAAAAAAAAAAAAATCAGCAAAAGCCAAAGAATTGTATCCCAGTTTTACACAGTAAATCCCTTGAGGTTAATCAGCTTCTCTGGTTCTGTGCAGTCCACAGGGTTTCAATCGGACCACAGAGCACAAACAGTAAATCCTCCACACGTTCTTACAGCCAAGTAAAGCAACTGTGAAGGATTTAGTGCTCCTCTGTGGTTCCTCCTGTCACTCAGGACTCGTTATATGTGCAAAAAATTGTCATTGATCAAACCACAGTAAAATGCCCACTGTACTTTAAATGGACAAAACTTATTTGTTTTTCTTCAGTGTAATTTCTAAATCACATAATCCTTCTTTCCCTTTAGACGGTTAAGTTATATATAAAAAAAAAAAAAAAATGGAGCACACAACAGTGACACCTGATTAAAAATGTACAACACAGCCATGATCCTTCTTCTCCTGTGTAACAATAACAGTAGCGCCAATAGTGTAACATAGAAACATGGAGCAACATCCAATGTTCTGGCCTAATATAAACCACATTGTGTGCAGGTTCCACACCAGGGCCAAAGAGCAGCTTCATAAATACTCTACGCAACAAAATAATTCAGTGTATCCGGGCAGCATGCAGCAGTGCGGTCGCAAGTATCTCTACTTCTTTTTCTGGCCTTAAAACACAACGTAGACGTTACAGTATGCAGGGTTTGTAGTCGAGAGCTCAGCAGTCTCATCGAAAACCAGGTTGGGTTGAAAAGTCAGTGGAACGCCTGATAGTGGACGCTTCTGTTACTGTGGAGGTTTTACAGGATGTTTGATCACTTTAGTGGTACGCACTCAATAAATACGATGCTGGATGTGATGGCTTTTGCTTTAAAATGTTTAGAAATGAACAATTGTACAATTAATTCATCGTTTTTGATCAAATTTTAGAAAATGTTAAATTATAATTTACCAAAGTCGTAATGGGCATCTTTAGATTTGTTTTGTTTGACAAAAGTCCAAAACTCAAAGACATTAAATTCACATTAAAGATTCAGTGCTCAGTGAATGACTTAAACAATGAATCCATTACAAAAAACAATTTTTTTGTTTCCAATTATTCTTCTGTAGAGTAACTAATCGATTAATTAACGTATCATTTCAGCTCTAATTGTAGCTCTCAATCAAAATGGCTGAGATGAAGACAAGGTAGCGTCAGAACCGGTTAGACATCTAAAATCCAAAGTGATCTCGAGATCAGACTGGTCTCCAACCCGTTTCTCAAAGGTAAAGCTCATCTCCTGCAGGTTGTGATCTCACCACTAGTGATGTGAACCTCCTGGTTTTGGCCCTGGAGTGGAAACCAGGCTGCCAAGCTGATGATGGAGGGTGTTGTTGTGTTGGTGCAGCAGGCAGGATCGCAGGGCGGGGTGAAGTTTTAGGTCCGCAGCAGACTGTGAACTCTCTGCAGCTGAAACTGAGACAGGACGAGTCGGTGGACCTGCTCCTGACCGCGGGGACACGGCACCATGACCCGACCCACCAGCACCGAGTCGCCCTGCTTCTCCTCCTTCGCCTAAAGACAGAAAAGGGTTCGATATTAGATCTGCTGAGAGACGGTCGAGTGCGGCAAGTCCCCTTAATCCACATCTAGTGGCCCGAGACGGAAACCTGATGGATCATTTACACTTCTGCCTCTCCAGTGGCTACGTATGTGTGGAGCAGGTAGAGGAGCGGGTAGAGGAGCGGGTCTACACCAAGCAACAATGTGTAAGTGGAGCTGCAACAGTAGGATTTTTATTGATGAACGACTGACTGGATAGCGTTTAATTTAGGAAAAGAAAAGAAGACAAAATAATTTAGAAAAGTTTGCTTTCTGTTCTTTAGATCTAAACAGAGGCAGTGTAAATCCTACAAGAAATTAAATTGCTTAAAATATAATTTAGAAACACTATTATTTGAAGGCAAAGATTGGACTTAGCACAAAGTAAACATGATTTAATTTGTTAAAATTGTTGACTGAATCATTTAATTTATTTCTACACTTTTCTACTTTTTTTGGAAACATTTAATTTAAACATTCTTAAGCAGAATCAAATCTTACTGGGATTCTTTTAAACCCGGTTCCATCATTGGCTTTGGGTTGAGACATGTAAAGAATAACTTTCCTAATCTCTAAAAACTGGATTAAAATGACAGTTTTACGTCTGTAAAATAATTCTAATAAAGATGAATTCAACAGTGGGTAGGAGATAGTGATGCTTCAATACAGGAATCACAGTGTTACACAACCCTGACTGTGACACCAACAGCTTAAATTCACTTTACAATCCAAAGAGAATAATGAATCGGTGATGAGCTGTAACTGACAGTGCGTCTGTAGCGGCGCTCTTACTTTGACAAACGAGGTCGAAGGGAACGTCGCAAAATCAGACGAGACTCGAGCTCCGGGTTGCTGGTTGACGACATGCTCCGCTACTTCATCCTGGCGGAGAGAGGAAATATGGAGAATTTGATTCAATGATCCTGTAAGGTGAGTTGTCTTTTTTTTTTCTGTGTGTTGAGTCGTTTACCTTCAGTCTGCCCAGAGTGTCGCTCAGAGACTGTAATCTAGCCGTCTGTTCCAGGAGCTGAGCACTAGGTGTCACTGCAGGACAAACAAAACACACAGTGTACTGCGAATGTGAAGACAAGGAGGAGCTGCTGTGAAGATTTGTGTTCTTAAACCAGACAACTGTACATTAATATTAACCCGACAAATAACACAGTAAAATAAAAATGGTCTTTTTGCCTTTAGTCAAACAAAAGAATCAGAATTCAGTATTTTAAATTCACTAATACTAAAAAATATGTATAGTAAACAGACAATGCAGCATTTACATTACTCATAAACTATGAATTTAATCATTTTTATGGAGACAAACGAGGAGGGAGAGTTTTGATGAGCGCTGCCCCTAAAAGCTCCACCCATCAGGAGTGTAGAGCAGCCTGTATGTAGCCTGAGAGGTAAAACCCAGGACAAAAACAGCCCTCACACCTCACATACCTGGAGATTTCCCAGTGATGTCCACCACCTTAACGTTGGCACTCATTTGCAGCAGAGTCTCCAGCAGCTGGTCGGTCTTGCGGTAGAGGGCGCTAGAGAGCACTTCGGGACGCCCTCCGTCTCTGGAGGGAAGTTTGGTCACATGAAGAGGAGGCAGAGAGGCGAGCTGAGCGCGCATCTTTTCAGCCTGTGAGGGAAAAGTGGAGATATCAATCCAGAGTGCACTTTATCACTTTAATGTAAATTTAAGACTTTAAGGACTTTAATCTTCAGGATTGACTTAAAGAGGTTTATGATAAACATCAGTGTAAAAACTTTAGGTTGTTTAAGGTTGGAAATTAAAAAATCTGCCAAACTGAAAGAAGATTTATGTGATTATGTTCAGAGATTAATGTGCATTAGATATCAGCTCGTCTTGGGTTTGACAACGAGAGAAACTGGTCAGTTAAATAAAAGAAATTGTTAAAATTGTTTCAAAGATTTAACAAACCTTGCAAAATTTGTTATTATAGGACTAATTAAACTAATACAGTGTGATTTTATTGCTCATTTGTATATTTGTTTATATTATACTTTATATATTTGCTGTCCTCTTATTTTATTTCTAATCTTACATTTATTTGTCAGTGGCCAGGTATAAAAACATTAATCTCTCAGAAGGAGAAGAGATGTTTGTACCAGAAATCACACATGACGATTCGTACCTTCAGTCTGTTGTTCTCGTTCTTCAGGTGTTTGATGCAGAGTCTCTGAGCTTCAATCTGCTGAGTCAGCAGAGGAGAGTCGATCACCTGGACACCCGAACCGGAACCGACACCGGGCATCATGTTCGCTGCGGGAGCGAGAGCAGGTACACGTTAGGAAACGCTGCTTGTCTCAGTGCAGTTTACTGTCTTTATAAAACGAGTTCAGATGAAACACACGGTGCAACAACGTGTCTGATGTTGCACTTTTTAGCATGCATACTTCAGTGCAGCGTTGGAATCTGTCACTTTATAATTCTGAAGAAAATATGAAATAAAAATGTAATAAATGTGTATTTTTACACATTAGTGCTGCTACTTTTACTTCAGTAAAGAAATGAATATTATTTACTGAAGTAAAAGTTTTCCAATCACAGTTCAGAGGTCAAATCATTGTTCAACTTTTCTTCTATGATGTTATAAATTATTAAAACCAATTAAATACTGAGCAGAGTTGCTAAATATGGATTAAGACCATGCAAGGAGATGATGTACATGCCAGAAAATGCAGATGAATGAGATGAATATCACATTAATAATAATAATAATAAAACGTTTCAGTCTTAATGGTTTATTAACAGGGTTTCTGCAGGGTTCAAGTTTAATTTCATTTAAATATACTTATTAATACCACATTAATGGTAATTAATATACCGTCCAATATGAAAGTATTATGAAAAACCAGAAGGGACGATACAGCCTAGATTTATTTATTATTATATCACATTTTTTAGTACTTTCCAGCAGTATGTGACAATAATTACTAATGAAAAAATGAAATAACGACCTGGATGAGCAGCAGGAACATGGATGGATTGATTTATCAGTTAAAAATTATATTTTAATTCAAGTTAATTTTGCTAAAATCAACATATTCAGAGCTAATGAGCGTCCTAGTTTCCATAACGAGCAGCAGTGTTTGATGGTTCTGACTCCTGCAAATTAAATTTAAGATTTTAACACCTTCAAAATGCTTTTTTTGAGGAAACTGAACTGCTTTTTGAGGACTTTTCAAGACCTGCAGACACCCTGAATAAAACATGCACAAGTAAATAACAATAATCCTCATTTTTAGCATGCTGGATCATCAACGGATGTCAATACAGGCAGGTAGATACCTTTTTGTTCCTCTGCAGAAGGTAAAGTACGACATTAAAAAGAAAGAGGTTATAGAAAGAGAGAGGAGTAAAGACAAAGAGGAGGTTTTTAGGTTGTTAGGGTCAAAAGGAGGAATATAACACAGTAGTTGGAGTTAAAATGATGATAAACTACCAGACCAGGGTCACAAAGTGAGCTGATGTGTCGTAATGTGGCTCCTTTACCGCCTGTTGTTGGTAAATGTTTGTAGTTTTCCGTCCACTCACCTCCTGCTATTCCTGTGACGATGGAAGCGATTCCCGACGGGCCGGTTCCTCTCAGCCCGTCGATGGTCATCTTCGACTGGCTGTTGATTCGCTGCTTCAGCTCGGCCTTCTCTGACTCCAGCTGGTCGATGTCGGCCTGCAGAGCGTCCATCGTCTCCTCAAACTCCCTGCGGAGAGGAAGGACAACACGGCACAGCTGTAGACGTCCGACACAGAACTTTAAATCTCTGAATCTACAGTCGGACGTCGGTCTTACTTCTCTTTCTTCTTCAGCAGAGTCTGAGCTTCGTCCAGTCGAGTCTGAATCTTCTCGACGCGTTCGTCTGCGTCTTTGGATGAACTGTCCAGCTTCTTCTCCAGCAGACTGAGACGGACGTTCGCCTCGCTCAGCTCCTCTCCCTGAACACACACAAAACACAGGTTTCATGCAATAAACATTTTTCACTGCTGATCAAACTGGCAATTATTTATAATAAATTTGGTGGATTAGAAGCCAGAAGTTAATTAGAATTAACGCTGTGGTTTCATGGAGCCCTCGGTGGGTTTTTAGGGGGTTCTTCAGTCTATACAGGTGTGAACATTGTTATTTAACTAAAACCACCTGAGAATAGATTGAATCTTTTATTTTCTAGTGTTTCTTAGGAAAGTAAAAAAACACATAAATCTGACAGATTTGCTCATGAATTCAACTTTTCCTTTGTAAGAGAAGGAATGTGGGATTTTCTCCTTCACAAGTTTATGAAGTCTCTCTCTTCTCTTCAGCAGGTCGGCGTGTTTTGCCTACCTTGATCTTGAGAGACTTCTTCAGCTCTTTGATGACCGTCTCTCTGTCCTCCAGCTTCATGCCGAGACCTTCAGCATCAGTGATTTCAGCTCGAAGAGCCGCCGCTCGCACGTCCACGGGCGGCGGGTTCTGAGTGGTGACAACAGAATAAAGTCAGAACTAAAACCTGCTGAAGACAAACCAGGTCCGGGCGAGAATTCAAAGCTCTTCACACTGAAGTACCTTGTTTTGAGGTTTCTCTGAGTCGTATTCTCCCTCCTGCATGGCGGTGGCCATCTTGTTCATGGTTGCTATGACGATGCCACAGGACTGCCGCAGATACTCGTAGGGGTTGGCGCCCTGGGATCCATAAATCTGATAAAGTGATCGTAAGCTGTTTAACAACCGGAAGAGTCAGATCATTTGTGTCTGTCTCATAGGTCAGTGACAGCGTATACCTGCTCTCCGGCCTTGAACGCCACGTCCTCCAGTTTGACGGCCGACAGCCCCTCCTGTTCACCGAGAGGCGACATCATCTGAGCTCCAGCTGCCGCCACCTCCTGCAGCACCGCCACCACCCAGGTGAGGTGTTTCCTGCAGTCTGAGAGGGTGTCTGACACCTGCGGGTCAAAGGTCAACATGACTGAAGTTATCACAACAAGTGTATTTATATACTCGACTTTAAAGATTTAAATAAGAATTAAAATAAACTTCTAAAATTGAAATGATTCACTAATGTCAGCTCGGCCAAATCAGCTGGGGGGACGGTTAAGAGTTATTGTTGCCATGGTTACCTGTTGTCCGAAGTTAAGCGCCGCTGGGATGCCCGGCGCGTCTGTTCCTGGCATCCTGCGGCGAATCTTCTTGCAGAACTGTCGGATGTCGCTGCAGGACGTCTCCAGGTCCTTCAGCAGCACGGCGAGGTCGGACTTCTCCTGACCCGCGTGCAGGAACGCCCGCAGACGACCGACCTCCACCGCCATGCAGTCCAAGGCACTCTGGGTAAACTGCGACGTGGACACAACAGGTGGCGTTCAACTGGTGAAGACAGCAGCTAAATATTTACATGAGTGTGTGTGGATTTCTTTTATTTTGAAAGGAAGCTGGATCCAGATCCCTCTGGTGGTGTCGGTACTCACTCTGATGTGATCAGCCAGCTGCATGGTGCAGTCCTCATTATGGTCTGGCAGGTGGATACTGTACAGGTGCTGAGAAAGGTCATTTTGGAGATAAGTATAAATTCACATACAGTATTATGGTTTGTGTCCACAGTCGTTTTATACTGGATGTGCAGTTATACTTAGTTATACAATTATTAAGATAAACTTGGTACATTACATAAATCATTTAACTGCTTAACAGAAAATCAAGTGATGACTGATGTTTAAGACAGATTTGTAGTTTGCAAATGTAATTTTTATACTTGATAAGTCACTTTAAAGTTTCCCTTTTAATTGAATGTTTACATTCAGTCTTTCTCACTAAAACTTTGTATCCTGGAGGTCAAACAAACATGTTAAATGTATTTTCTTCCTCATAAAACATTTATAAAGCCAATTTTTATACATATTTTAAATCCTGTAATGTTTACATTCATGTTTACTAGCTGACAGTCTTTCTTGTCTTTGCCATTGCATTGAAACTATTGGTAGGACTGTGTTTCGTGTACATGCGGTCTCACACATAAAAACTGCTCCACAGGGAAGATTCAAGTATAAAAAACATTCTGGGTTTCTTGTCAACTGACAAATTGACTGCCAATGGATGTCTGCAATGGATTTAACAGAAATAATCAACTGTGTGTGTGTGTGTGTGTGTGTGTGTGTGTGTGTGTGTGTGTGTGTATGTTGTGTGTACCTGATAGTATTTAATGGCCTTGGTGAGCGGCTCCACGTTGACCGTCTCGTCCAGCTGGTCTTTGTGCAGCAGGTCGATGAGGAAATCCAGAGAACGTTCATGGACGCTCATCTCCGGGTACAGAGAGCCGATCTTCTTATAGACATCAACACTGCACTGACCCAGAGCCCTGAGACACACACACACACACACACACACACACACACACACACACAAACTGAGCTGTATTTCTTACAACTTATGTAAAGATGTATTAATTATTCCTCCATCACTCCTGTAGGCATCGTTCTCTGAAATCAGGAACTAAATATCTGTTTGATATCAGTTTTAATACAACTTTTCAAAGGTGCCTTCATGTGCAAGTTTTAAAAATACATTTTTATAAACTTAGAAACACATATTTCTTGTTTCTAATACTTAATAAATGAATAAAAAATACATAAAAGTTCTGAAATGCTGAAAAAAGTATGAAATTAGCTCATAAACGCACTATAAAATAGAAATTATTGAAGGTCTTGAGTGTAGAGATGAAGTTTAACTCTTTTAACTCTGGAAGAGCAAACAAGAGAAGACAGATTTAAATAAAAAAGTTAATCTCTCAGTGCCCAGACTCTCTCCTGTTGTATGTTCGTGGTGCAACGTACTGCTCGTATTTGTGTAGCGTGGCCTGCAGCAGATTGAGCGAGTACACCAAACCGCCAGCGAAGCTCAGCTGCTCCCCGACGGCTCCCTTCAGCCCCGCTCGCTCCACACAGTTCTCATTCAGGTCAAACTTCTCCTGGGCCTGTTTGCTGATCAGCTCGGCCTACAGACGCACACGAAGATATAGTTCAACATCGCACAGAAACACGTCGACTCTGTGGCGCCTCTGTTGGAGGAAATGTGGTTTAAGAAGTGTTTACCTTGCAGATGAGCCTGGGGATGAGCAGCAGCACCAGGATGCAGTCGTGGTCTCCGCCGTGACGAAGGAAGGACTCGGGCATGAAGGAGGTCAGAAGAGAAACGTGTCTGTTGGCTTGGCCCACCTCCATCTTCCTCAGCTCCATCTCAATGGCCTGCGCACACACACACACACACACACACACACACACACACACACACACACACACACACACACACACACACACACACAACATTAAATATACTATAGAGCCTCAGAGCGAAGTTAAAATCTAGCCATGGTGCAAACTTTTAACTCTAAACTTGAAAAAAGGACATTCAGGCTGATACGGAATCACATTTAACGTTATCACACTACAAGAACTCCTCGTTATTCAAAGAGCGTGTATAGTTTCTGACCTTGGCGTAGGCCTTCGTCTCTGCAAACTTAATCTTGAAATCGAACATCTCCGCTGGCGGCTGCTGCTGCAGCTCTGCTGAGGCTTCCTGCTGGCTGGTCAGCTCTTTGTTTACCTCCTGCAGCAATCACAGAGAAAGAATCAGGACGGATCACGAGACAGAAACATGTCCAACAATGTGCTACATGCTGAATATGCGACTGTCTGTACCTGCAGGTGAGCTGTGAGCTCGCGGTATTTCTGGATGGTCTGCTGGTAATCAGCTACAGTCTCCTGAGCAGCTTCAACGCGTTTCTCGGCCTCTCGGCCTTTCGCAGCGCCCAGATCCAACAGCTCCCTCAGCTCCAACTCCGTCTCTCTGGCGTTCTCCTGCAGCTCGTCGTTCATCTCATTTATAGCTTCCTAAAGAGGGCAGACAACGACCAGCAAACAGCCTTTACTGGAACCCTTTAATGATCGCTGTTGTAATGTCTAATAATTAAGTTTCCCATTTATCTTTTTTTTTATGCCTGTGGTGTTTGACTGCACCGCTGGATCACTGCTGTTCACACAGACTCTACCTCTCTTTATTGCACACAAATTGCTAATGTCTCTACCAGAAATCCAAAATATATTAACTCCTCCTTTTGTTTTTTCAGCTCATCTGAATAGATTTTTAAAGAAATTGTTTTGTATCATTTAACAATCATGTAGACAAACTGTCCTTTCATATAAAAATGTTGCTGGTTTTCACTACACTGCAAATCACATTAATGGAGATGAACATTCAATTACTTTTTTAAATCTACTTTAAGCCACAGTGTATAATTTGAAAACTCCCAGGACTGTCCCTCATTTTTCTAATCACCTTTACTTATGCCACCGTAATGCTTTGAAAGATGCCATTATCATTAAAATCCTGCACATACTGTAAATGATTACTTTCCCCCGAGACAATGACGGACCAATCAGGCTTCTCATACAGGTTCATTTGTTCCAGTCGAGGTCAACAGATAACAGAGGTGGACTCTAATACAAACACTAACTCAATAATGCCTGCAGTGATTACAAACACCAGAGGGCAGCACATACATATTAATGACCTTGGCCCATATCAATACTGGAATGAGTCAGCAAATTGTGGCACTTTAATTTTTGTCCTATAAATACACTCAGCGGGGCTGAGCAGGAGTCTCTAGTCATTAATCTCAGACACATAAAGACCTGACTCAACTTTGTGTTTGTTAACTTAATATAATATTATCCACGTCTGTTTGTTTGTCCCTACCGTCTCTGAGACTGATGATCTTCACTCACCAGGTCAGAGACCGTCTCTCTCAGCTCCCGGACTTTCTCCTCCAGGTCCAGGTTTCTCTCCGTCAGCATCTCCACCATCTCCTCCGCTCCCAAGGCCGCATCCACCTGAAACGCAGCACGTCATCACTGTCAGAAACGGCAGCATTATTCGTCTCTTTGGTTTTAAAAAATTCAATATAAATATAATCTCATACGGAGGTAAAAAGAGGCTGAATTGTGTCACACTGACCTGTTCTTTCAGCTCGTCGATGGTCTTTTCTGCAGCCGTCATCTCTTCCTGCAGTTTTTCTTTCTGGCTCCTCAGAGTGTCCAGCTCCACGTTCTTCTTCTCCATCTGCTTCTGCAACTTCACGTGTTCCTGCTTCTCAGATGCCGACAGGTCGCGCATCCTGACACAGAAAAAAACAGATTGTTTGTTTAGATCTGGATCATACATGTCTTTTCCCTTCTCACTTAACTGTTCTTATGTTTATTTATTGTAATGAAGTAAAGGACTCATCCTGGGTTTGCTGCAGGGTCAAGAGTCAGTTTAAGGAAGTTTAAACACACCTACCTGACCAGTGCTTCCTTCAGTCTGCCGTTCTGCTCTTCCAGCTGTTTCACATGATAACTGGAGGCAGCGCCATCCGAACCTGTGAGAAAAAAACCCCAAAACAAAACTGAGCTCTAACAAGATTCACTACTAAAGACCAATAACAACTTTAACTTTTAATTCATGTCACCAAATTACACTTCTAAGAACTTATGTTCGACAGCAAGTTTTAATTAAACAAATGGTGCCGTTATTCTGAGTCGACTCTTTCTGCAGTTGTAAAGAAAACGAAGGAAGCATCGATAAATCAGCCGCCATCATGCTGCACTCAGAGGTCACTGATGACCGGCTCTACATTACTTCAACAGTCTGATCACGTTACAGAACAACATTTGTAATTTCTGCTCCTGTTAAACTTGATAGTATCTGAACACACTCTTAAAAAACACTCCTTTTGCTTGTGTTGCTATCCCAGCCAGTCTGTGCTTTGTTTATAAAGCCGGTCTGGCCATGTATGCATGTAAGTGCATGTGAGTTCCTCCATTTCCAACTGAGGAGAGTTACTGAAACTGTTATTTTTCTACTAACAAAGACAGTTTTTGTGAGTTTTATTTTGTTTGAGGTGTGTTTGTTTATCCATTAGATTATCAGTTACTGGGTAGTGAACATTGTTTTGGTCTGAGATGCTGGAGCTCTGGTGCGACATCTACTGGCAAGCGAATTTCGTATATACAACCTTTAAAGATTGAAACTGTTGCGTATTAAAACAACAAATAACGTTTCATATAGTCACTACCTGCAGCAAGAGGTTACCGACCTGTTTAACATGTAATGATTATTTAATTTAATTGATTAGTTTTCCTAATTTCCTCTGCCTCTTAGTCGTACCTTTCTCCTCAATCTCGTGCTTGAGGATCTCCAAGTCCATCGTGAGCTCATCCACTTTCTCCTTGAGTGAGTCGACCTCCAGCTGCAGAGACTCGGCCCTCTCCTCGGCCATCTCCTTATCCAGCGTGGCCATCTCGATCGCATCCGCTGTGTCCGACATCTCCTCCATGTAATGCTCCTTCGCCTCCAGGGCTTCTTTAGCCTCCTGCACAAAGAATCAGTTACATATAGTTATGTACATTTGTCTATATAGTCGTAATACAGTCTTTAATACCTTATTTTATTTAAGTTAATTATTAATTTAAAGGCAGTATTATGTTGTTTTTTCCTGCTGCTGAATGGATGTGGTTGGTTATGCTGCTAATATCAATTCTTCCATTTTTCATTAGCGTGGGTTTGTCTCATTAGCTGAAATACTGCCTCCTCCACCCCGAGTATTGTTCTTGGTTGAAAACATGATTACTTACAATTACTGTTTTAATTAAGAGACAGCAAACCACACTGGAAATTATCATCAGATATAATCAGTATCTACCATTAACAACATTAATTTCTAGCCCCAATCATACATTTTGTTCTTTACTATTCACTAGAGTTTAAACTTAAGAGCCAACTTAGTTTTAGTCTGAAATATTTCTTAAAAGGCACAAACCAAAGTTAAAGGATTGGGGATCATTGGGTACATTTTATGAAAATTGAAACAGTCAAAGCTCAGTTAATCTGCTTCATCGTGATTTGAGGGTGTGGTTTAATCAGATTTGATCCTGGAAACATGAACAAACAACTCAAACTATCGAGATTTTCATTCAAATGTTTTCCAACTGAGCCTCGCCCATTTTAAACCAGTAAGGAAAAGCAAAGACAAAAACACAAATGATGAAATCTCTCTTGGAAAACAGCCAAAACTGTTTTAACTTTCACAGAAAATATTGTGAGTTGTGGTTGAAACACTAATAAATGTTTTGTCTATTATGAAAACAAAAAGCTATTAATCATTTAAAATAAAACAATTTTGAGCAGGTTATGTTACCTTTCCATTATATTAAATCCATTAATTTTTTATTCTTCAGCTTCACTTTTATCATCATGACTTGTTCCTGCAGCCATTTTGTGGCTGCACTGATATAATATGTACTTACCTAATCACCCACCCACTCATTCATCAAGCAACCTCTCCACCATCTACTCATCCATCTACCCATCCACTGCCCCTTACCCTCTTGGCCTCTTTGAGTTGCTTCTGCAGCTCGGCCTGCTGCTCCTGCATCTTGGTCTTCCACTCCTGCAGCTGCTCCAGCTGGATCTTGTGCTTCTCCAGCTCCTTCAGCTTTGCCTTGTCCTCCGTTCGCTTCATCTTCAGCGTCTCCAGCTTCTCCTCCAGGTCCTTCACCTGACCACGAAGCGCCTCCTCCTCCTGATAGACGAGACACGAGAGGACGGGAAGGCAGATTTTTAAAAAAATGGAGGATTGGTGAGGAGGGCAGATGGGAGGAATAGCAGAGATTTAATTAGTTTTAACACATGCTGTCGATGCAGAACGCTGAAATAATCACACGTTTAAAAACAGTAAACGCACTGTAAGACACACGAAGAGGCTTCAACCCTGCTTTATTACATCAGTGTTTCTTCTCAGTGAATAATGAAAGCGGGTGGATTACTTTAATGTGACAACACTTTTATCCTTTTTCATGTGTTAGGAAGCTTTAATTTCACTTGTCATGCAGTGACTCCACCTGTGGAGAGGAGAAAGTCAGCGTCAACACACACACATGCTTACAGTATACACACACACAGAGAGCAGTATGTATCTGCACACACACATCACCACACATCCTTTAACAGCAAGAGATCTGAATTCAACCCTGCAATAAATGTGCATTTCTTTTCTTTTATTGCAGAAATCTGCCTGCGAACTGAGACAAAGCAAACACCAATTAAAGACCAAAAGTCACACTTAGAACATCTTGTTAAAATGTTAGTGAGAGGCAAACAACACTCCTATAGCAAGTGCAAAAAAACATCACGTCACGCCACATGACTGCACCTGTGTTTCCATAGTGACGTCCTCCTGGGGGGATTAAAATACGAGTCAGACTGATCACGTTCGCTTTAAAATTAAACAGTGATAATAATAAAGTGATAATTCTTGACATTTAACTGTTACCTCTCTCTATCCCCAGCTCAAATAACACACAAGAGACTCAACCTGGACCCAGTTCATGATTATTGAAGAGGCTGAGAAGCAGCAGACTTAAAGCTGAAAAACACTTCCTATTAATCTCCAATTATTGACGTAAAACAAAAATCTGCTGCACAAAACACTGAGTCTGGTTATCATAAACAATCTCACTAATTATCACTTCAGAACAAAAGCAGCAGACTGTTTTTTGATTGACTTCAGTAGAAAGAATAAATATACCTTTGGAGAGTCAGCACTGTTGTTTATGTTCTGTCTATGAACTATCTATTAACACTTTGGTTAAATGCATTCATAATATACATTTATAGCTCATTTAAAACCTCTTACAAGACGTAAAGTACCATATTAACATTGCTTTCAGCTAAGTTGCTTTTTGTCATTTTACTAACTATTTGATTAAGAAGGAGCTCCACACTCAACCCTATATGAAAACACTAAATAACTAACTAACCTCTGTAAACCTCAGGTGCTGAACACGATGTAATGTTGCAGTTACAAATAATTATTTAATTAATAAATAAGCCCTGTAGTAGACTCATGACCTGGGCAGTATTTACCCTGCCTCACACCCAGTGCATGCTGGGATACACTGGATTAAATATCTAAAATATTGGTTCTACATAATAAATTACAACCAAATATTCTGTGTTTTTCCCGCTTTTATTAGCCTGGAATTCATGTGTTTGTTTTTTATGTTGCCTTATATATTATAAGATATCAGTTAAGACCTCTGGCTGAGTTTGATGACACAAACACAAACTGACAGCTGTGTCGAAAAGAAAAGTATATTTATAGGAGCTATAAAGAAAATGTCACATCTGATTTAACTCCCACACATCTGCTACTACGGCTTATGAGTCTAAAGAGGCCCTTGATCTTGTTGGCACCACAGTGTGAACTCCCATCAAAGATACCTGCCAGCCATCTTATTCCTGATTACAGACACGTTATAGTTTTTTATAGAGAAAAACGTATCCTGATTGCCGACATTCGTCACCTGTTTAAGTCACCTGCTGCTTAAAGAGTGAAGACTTCCAGTATTTGGAGGATGCAACAAGTTCTTAATTAATTGGCGAGCATGTGTTTCCCTGTCCACACCGGCTGTACAACATCCCATCTGTGCTGTGTGTGTGTGTGTGTGTGTGTGTGAGCTACAGCGGGATGTTGTAAGTTGATACCGACCTTGCTGGGGACGGGGGCCGGAGGGTTTCCAGGGGAGTGGAGGGTGGGGATGATCGGAGCGGCCAGAGGGGTCTGGGCCGGCGTGCTGGGCTCGCTGCTGCTCATCTCTCCGGCAGAGGCCGAGGCCGAGCCGGACGCAGCCCCCTTCCCGCCGGGGCCTCCAGGTCGGCTGGGCTGCTAAAGAAAGCGAGTAAAAATAATAATCTGGATAAAAAAGACACTGAAAAGATCTGACTGATGATGTAATAATGGCCATAATGGAGGTCCCTTATCTCTGACGTAAGAGCTGCTGTGAATTGTGTCCTGATTATATTCAGTTTATGATGTTTAAACTGAACATAAAGAAAACCTGACTGTCTTTATCTAAAGTTTCTGATCATCTGTGTACATTCCTCAACATCGCAGCCGGTCAGGATGGAGAATAAATAACGTTTAGCTTCTGACTGCCTGAACTCGGCTGGATTAAGCTTCTCTATCTGATGGGAGATAAAGACAGCAATATGTTTTAAGCTCTGCATTACCAGAGTCAAACCTTCCTTTTATTATTCAACGTAATATTTTTTTTTTTTACTGGTTAAGGAGTATGTAACATGAATGCACTACAAGGAGTTTTTAACTGGTTATCTTAGTTTAATACTGATGCCTCTATATGACCCACATAAACAAACCATCAGGGAGAAGATTGACTGTTTGTATATACTTATTCTTAATGTCATCGGGTCGGATTCTATCAAATTCACCTCGAAATCCATGAAACAAGGCGGTGGAAACTCTACTTCTTCTGTCCACAGGGGACGCCACAATCAAAACAATATTAAAACTCTTTGTTGCTGCTTTAAGTTACAAATATGGTGGAAACCTGGATTGGCATGTAACGCATTCATTATAAAAATAGCATTAGTAGAGGCTTTTGCATGCTAAATTACTTTATTTACTTTCCTGGATTACTCGCTGGTAATCTGGTCGCTGGTTTTCAAGCTAACTGGCTTTTTTCTTGTCAGGTGAACTGAGTTGTTGCCTCTCAAGCAACTGGTAAACTTTAACAGCGGACTAAGACCTGCACATTTAATAATTCACAGATTTTCACAACCAAAACTATTTACCTTCACTTACATAAACACCAAAATGACCTGTACTTAACAGCATTGCAACCATTATTTTTAGGGATGTCTAATTTTCTTGTCATGTTGATTTAACTCATTTAATTCTTAACTGGACCTCCATGATAGCCCCCGGACCGGATTTAGGACGCAAATACAAAACTTCAACACAGTAAAAAAAATGCTCAAAATTAAATAATACATTAAACAAAAATTTGAAAGCAAACAAAGTAATGTTTTAATTAATCAAAACAACAACAAAAAAGGACAAAACTGAACAAAAGCAACAATAACTGCAGCGGAAAACACAAAATATTTGTGCAAAAGTTCAAATGGATGAAAACAAAGAAAGAAACGTGTGTAATGTGTTGTAGTCAGTAGAAGAGCTATTAACCAAAATTATCTTTCCTCTAATGGAAGTAAAATGGATTGTGAATCATGTCTGATGATGTATCGTCAATACTGTGCTGGCAACACACACACACACACACACACACACACACACACACTGCTGCATGAAGTGAAATAACAATCGACACATAAATGATTCACACTGATAGAAATGGGAAGCCCTGAAGACTCTGAAGACTGGGCTCACCTTGGGCCTTCTGGCCGTGGTCTGAGGAGCAGAGGACGGAGAGAAAAAGAGAGGAGGAGGAGGAGAAGAAGTGGGGAAAGGTCAAAGGGCAGTAGAGTAGGAGAGGAGGGAAGGGAAGGAAACAAACAGCCCAGGGTTAGTGATTCAAGGCAAAGTTCATATTAAAACAGGAAATCACACAGAAAAGGACAAAATGAGTGGATGAAACTTTAATGGCTGACGATAAAAACCCCTCAAAGAGTCTGTTATCATGTAAAATCCCTACAGATCTCTACTCTGTTGTTTTCTCCTGTCCTAGCTGAGTCTGCGGGGACTCATCTCTTCCACCCACGTGACCAAATACCCCTCGGTAACAACATGGACGCAGCGACTGGTACGGCCGCTGTGACCTAAATGACTGCATTGTGTCGGGGGGGGGGCGCAGCAGATGAGGTTCATCTGAGCCCAATCCTGTTGTAGTGCGCTCATTCTGTAGACAGCGCTGGGATAATGGCTTGTTATCCTGCTACATCGCCTGTTTCTGACATGCTACACAGCCGGCTGGATGAGTCGGAGCTTCAGTGAAGTGGTGCAGAGAGATATCCACACTCTGTTCTCATAAAATGTCCACAGAGTCTGTCTGAGACCTGGGTTACAATGTTTAAACTGCTGGGAGACGCAGAGATTTGCCCTTAAAGACAACAAAGAACACCCTTAAAAGTGGAGACAACCCCACATCCATAAGTTATAACTCATATTTAAAGATGCTTTAAAGGTTTCTCTGCAGGCTGAGAATCTTTTTACAACCTTCAGGCTTATGAAATAAGTTTCGTGTCTGGACTCTATATGTTCATGATCTATAATCTATAATGTTGCGTTTTGTTATTAAATTTGATGGGAATTAATTTGAAGGTTCATTCTTGACGTTGGAAAAAACAGCTGAGAGAACATTTGGTAGCTGTTATTGAGCCTTTCCATCATATTAAGGCTGCAACCAACAATTATTATCATTATTGATTATTAATCTGCCAGTTATTACCTTGATTAATTGGTTAGTCTTTGAAATGTCAAAAGAGAAGACATCGTCTTATTTGGTCCAGCTCTTCAAAATCAGTCTTATTCAATTTACTCTCATATTAAACTGAGGAAAGTGAGAAAATGCTCACATTTGTGAAGCTGTAATTTCCACATTTGGGATTTTTTTCCTTGAAAAGTTACTGAAATTATAAATCAAATCATCTTTTGATTGATTAAATCCATTAACCACCTAATCACTGCAGCTCTACAAAAGGAGTTTGCTTAGTTGTCATGAATTTGTGCAGTAAATTATCAAATAATCACTATTTTGTTGTATTTTGTGATAAATATTGGAATTAATTTAATTATTTCCTAGAAAGTTTCCTGAATAGTTTCTGTCATTTGGTACTAATTATAGAAACGACAGAGACGAAGGTCTGAAGGAAGTTCTCCATAAGTAAATATACTTATAAATTACCATTATTTATTATATATATTGTTAAATTAATTATTCTTCTAAACAAATTGCACATGTTTAGTAAAAGAGCTCCATCTTAGCGGTTACCTGTAATTATTCACTGGAGGAAACAAACTGAACTACATTGTTCTCTCCAAGAAACGTACTCAGACATAATCAGGAAATTGAGAGGAAAAATATGGATTTATGGAGCATTATCTAAATATCAACAATCAAATAACTGACCCTTTTTTTTGGGGGGGACTCAATCTGAAGACACCCAATAACAGCTACTGAATGGACATTGGTGGGGAGACTCGACTTGATTTTGAGGTGAGTAAATACATATTTTACCACATTTTGTCACCATGTGGTGATTAAACACTATTTAACTCAGGTCTGTGCAGACTCTTCTATCCTGATCTGAAGTCCTTCACTTCTCCCTGGCTTCCTTCTCTTCTGTCATTTGCACACTGCCTCTCGCTCTCTGTTTCAGCTTGGGCACGGCCATCTCTTTGGCTGGTTATCGTTCTTTATTGGATTAGAGCTGGACCATTCAGCAGAAATTAGCACGAGCTAACAGCTGTACCAAATAAGAGCTGACAGCCCTCTTAAGCCATCGTGCCGTTGCGCCGTAGATATCAGAACAGGCTGTACTAGAAATCACAGAATCAGACTGTTTGCTACGTCTGCAACCAAGAGTGAAATCACTTGACGGACAAAAAAAAAAAATCATTGACCTCGTAAAAACCCCCTGTGGAAGGCATGACTTCTGCATGCTGAGCCCAAATACAGACAGAGAAACTGAACTACACACACACGTATGTAAAGGCATGAAGTAACTGCAACAAAAAAAAAGGCACTCTGAGTTAACAAAAATCAATACTGAAGGAAAAAAAAACCAAAACCAAGCTGCAAGTACACTTCTACTTCCACAATAGCGAATATATTTTTAAAAAAAGGAGAAATTGCCACCAAAACGAGGATAAAAATGAGGAATAACTGAAACTTCCAAGCATGACCTTTACGGCAGCTCTGCCAACAAAACAAATGGATGGTGACAACAACAACATCCCAACAGATAAGGACGATCATATGGAGTTCTGTACCTTCCGGGGTGCAGGAGTCTGTCTCATCATATTTGCAAGAGAAGAAGACACACACACACAGTCACCAAGATATATACACACTCTCACACACACACACAGAGGAAGGTGATAAAACAAGCAGAGATCCACGGAGGTTCAGGACAGACGGACAGACAGCTGAAGCCGAACAGGCAGCCACTCAGGCCGGGAAGCTGCAGTGGTGCAAATGGCCGCAGCGATTTTTTCCCAGGTTCCCTCCCTCCCTCCCTGCCTCGGTCCGTCCCTTCCTCCCGCTGTCGTCCTCCTTTATGTCCTCCTGCTCAGCGTCTCTCATAATCCATTTGCCGGAGCCCTCGGTCGGTGCCTCCCTTTTCCTTTCCGCTCCGATTACGACTCTGACATCTTGCTACAAGCGAGCCTCCGACCTGCTACTGCTCACAGGAGACGCCTCGCCTCCCCTAACCTTCCTCTCCTCCCTCCTCCCCTCTGTCTCACCCCCCCTCCCTTCCTGCTGCCTCTCTCTCTCTCTCTCTCTCCTCTCTCGCTCTGCTTATTGTGATTTGTCAGCCCAGCCAATGCCCTGCTCCGGCATTACATCACAGTGCACCCTCCCTCCCTCCCTCCCTCCCTCCCCATGCTGCTCACCCACTCATCACCACCTCTACCAGAGACAGACAGGGAGGGATGGGTGAGACAGTGTATGTGTGTGTGTGAAGCAGTGGCTGGGGGGCAGACAGAGAAGAAGGATGTGAGATAGAGGAGGGCAGGGCTGTAAACGGAGGTGAGAGGGAGGAAAATGAGCAGCAACGCTGATGCAAGCCTCTCTTGTCTCCTAGCAACAGTCTCCGAGCCCTCCTATGGGCTCATTTAACTGAGACAAAAACAATGAGCATCAGGAGGAGGAAACACCTGATCTGTGTTACAAATTAAAGAAGGTTTAAGTTGTATCAAATATACCTGTTTATTATTTTATATTTATTTTAAATCCACTGCCCCGTTCCTCCTGAAACTGTCAGAGGTGATTTATTTTTAGTAAATGTTAAAGGATGTTCGCTAAATTTATTGTTTTCACTTAATTTCTTCAGTCACACCTGTTAATGCATCTTATCTGGATATTGTCTACAGTCTTTTGTAGCACATAACGGTGGTTTTAGTTTGTATTTATGATTATTACAATGTTTTTGTGCTGCACTCTTCGTCTTACTTCTCAAAGAAAATAACATTTTTACCTGGTTAAATAAAGTAAACATTTTAAATAATGTTTATTTATATTAACACTCTCTTATTCAATCCCTCACGTTCATTTTCATACATAATCTAATGCAATTAATCTGTATAATCCAATTAGCAGTTTATGAATGTCATAACCAAAAACACACAAACAGCTTCTATTTAAAATAATATTGTACATATTCTCTCTTATTGTCTTTATATCATTTCATATATAATTTAGAATGTTATAGTTTTCTATCTATTCTTTTTGACTTTCATCTTTAATTATATTTCTTCTTTTTCTGTGTTTATTTTTATCATTAACAGGAAGGCAAATCAACCTGATTCTGTAAGATTCTGATCATTTAAAGGAGCACTTTAATATTGTATTTGCATTCAGTTGAAGGGGAAAGATTTGTGATTAAAGGGTTGAAATCGAAGCAGCAGAGGACGAGACATTCTTGACTTTAGTCTCAACACATTTCCCACAATGCAACTCAATAGCATCTTTTGTGAAACCCTTACTGCCTGGTTAAACCCTCAAACCTCAAAGACCGTAGTCTCTAACCTCAGACCGACATATTAACACATATATTCTGTATATATGTGAGAACTCCTCGTGAATAAACTGAGTCCCTCCTTTAAACCCAAACTGCCATGAAGCTGTCCTCGTGGATTTACAACATTACCCACAACAGCCTAATATTTAATGGATCGCTGCCACCGTATTAGCCTGATAATGACACTGGAGCGCCATTTCATTTCACTTTATTATTCATATATTATCGCACTGAAATCACTGAAATGAATGAATGTGGGCAGCAACTCAAAGGTCTGCTATCACAAATCTGTGATGGGTGACAAATTCCTATTGTCTCACAGTAAAAACCCTCACATTGCCCAATAATCATGTCTGTCCTATAATGATTACTTGTTCTAATGAAGGCGAACACAAACTACAACCACCAGTATCAGAATTAAGTCTCACACAAAACGGTAGGCTTGAGATTAGGAGGTAAGACTGATTGTCGTAAAGGGAGTTTTTAGTGATTTAATAGGTCAATTCCTTCTTTAACAGCCAAGAACCATTTGAGTAGCTATCGTAATATCTTTCTCAGCACCACTAATCTCCTTCTCTGCACCAGCAGCTCAGCAGGAAGAGAGAAGAGGTGTAAGAGGATTAATTCAGTGGGGATACTGTGATTAGCTTGCAAGCTTTAAACCTGAAATACTTTGTGGGCTTGAGAAATGGCAGAAGGTAATTTGAGACTGATGACCGAGGCCATATAGTGCTTTTTTGTAATATGATATGATAGCGAGTATTAAGGAATTGATTATTTAAGAAAATAGATTATTACGCGACAGACAGAAGCAGGACTTGAGCAGTCTGAGCTGCTGAAGCAGAAATAAAAACAGTTTATGTGTATCCATTACAGAGCAGTGGAGGGAAATCTGTCCTGTTGAAATATTAAACATCTTTCTCTGTAATCCGCTCACTTTCTCTCCATCACACTGCTAAGTGCTGCTCTGAGAGGGCATCCACCGCTGGAGTGATGGGAGTGAGACAGACAGACAGAGAGGATGATGGGATGGGTGGTGGATGTATCATGTTCCTGCTTTCCCAGCACACAGTGGGAGAGAGAGAGAGAGAGAGAGAGGATATCTGCCTCTGGGGTCACTGCTCTGCAGCCTCCAGCAGGACAAAGAGGGGATAAAATTACTGCCCAGGAAGCATTAACACAGCAGAACTCAACACGCTCCGCTTGTACTGCAAAACGGCGACTGCTCTTATTACGTACTCGAGGAAACTTTAGAAAGACCGACAAAGTTTATCTCTTAGTTTTAAAGTTATATTACTTCTGCATGAAGGTAATTTCCTCCTAGGGGATGAGGAGGACATGAACCTCCTCACACAAGCATACGTCATCGTATTTATAGCTAAATTAATACTTTGGGTTACACTGTTTACACAAAATTAAAGGAATTTACCAGCCAGAAAACAACAATTGTACTCCACTATGTGGCTGGTAAAATCTAAATATTCACTAGCTCAGTTAGTTCCCAACCTTTTTCTTTAAGGGACCCTTTTTCAGCGCTTCACTAAGTGACATTACTTCATATTATATTAAATGCATAACCCTAACATCAACTGATAAACAACAATGAACAAAGTTTGAGCAGATAATTTCCTGTGAATATTGATCAGAGATGAGTTTCGCTGATATTTTTAAGAACTTTTTGTACAATTCTCTGTCTGCACTGTTGTTTTTTAACAATCGTACGTATTTAAGAGGCTTTTTTGACATATTTAGTATTTTCTTCTCCCCGGACCTCGGCCATTTGATTTAACTGTGTACTTTTCTAAAGCAGGCTGTTTATCAGAGATTGAAGCTCTATAAATATAGTTTGTGTTCATGTCTTCAAAGTTTAGATCTTAAATAATAATCTTTAAACTTTAAAAATAAAATTAGATTTTGTTTTCTTCACAGAAATGAATATAATGCTGAGATAAAGGTCTATGATGTATATCTTTAAAGTTTTCTTACACTTTTTAAAATCAAGAAGGCCTTATAACCCCCCCATGAAGCTTTAGCCATTTGGCCGGTGGATAAAACTGTTAATTTTGCACCCTGACCCCGTGTGAGGATTTGACCACATAATGCAACTTTTTAGCAATCCCTTCAGAATCAGGACAAACAGAGAGGGACTGTTTGTCCTGATTCTGAAGTTTCAGTTAGTACTCACACACATATCTCTCTACACAGTGTCCTATAACTGTCCAGTCAGTATAATCCAGAGGGGAGAAGATCTGATACTGTGTGCTCATCTGAGTCAGCTTCAATTTAAGTCTGCAAGGAGACATTTTTCACCCCGGGTTTCCTCCTCTCAGGCGTCATAAAGGTTGCCTTATACGTCAAGGTTTCTGTGGAGATGCAGTCTGAGAGAACAGGCTCCTCCTGTGCATGCTCTCTGGGTTTAATCTAGATTTTTATTTACAATTAAAGCCGTAGTACAGACATTTTTTGGACTTGGCCGAGAGTTAGATAAGAAAATTTATGCCATTCTCATGTCTGTACAGTTAATATGAGTCTGAGTCACTGTTTTACAGGTGTTTATGTGCTGTGTCAGTGTCATTATTATTATTAAGTGTTATTGTGTGTTATTGACAACAACTCGATTCAAATTAAACTCATATTACTGGGAAAATAAGAATAACACAGTTTCATAATAATGAGCTAAACTTTGTTTTTAATTATGTTCATTCTTTCACATATTTGATCATATTTATTTATTCGTTATTGAACATTTTGTAGCACCATAGAAAAATATGTTTTTGTACTTTAGAGGCTAAAGGCTAAAATTAAAGACTGGATACGAAATGTCTGTTTTTTTGGTCCTATGACCTTCAGCTGGAGGACAAGTAGATATAGACTGAGTTTCCATTTTGGGGTGAGCTCCTCCATTTAAAGAACAGTTCACACTTCCTTAATATTTTCTGTTATTCATGACTTTTATCTCTATTAATCTCTACCGGTACATTTCTGGCTCGTCTATAAATGGGATGCATCATCTATTTTGGCATTTCCCTGCATGTCCTGAACCTTTTAAGTGACATTTACCACCCATATACCTCGGTTAGATCTCCCAAAGACTAAAATGAGCTCCTGATTTTGAAAGTCATCCCCGCTGAGGAGGAGATGCAGAACAAGAGACGATAAAGTAGAGCCGAGCTGACAGGGAATCCATACTCTGCAGGTCTGTTCTCTGCAGGCGGGAGGGCAGCGGATTTCACCTCCGTCACAGTCTGACATTTTCAAGACAGTGCAGCAGAGGAACGCCTGCATGTATGACTCAGCGGAGGGTGATTGTTAAAGAGCACCGGACTGTCAGCACAGAGCTTGAGAGTCACAGTATATCATATCATACTGTGTCATATTCTTATGGCGTCTTGTTCGATGTACAGTACATTTAAAGATGATGTAAAATTGGTTCATATTCTGTATTCTGGGATTCAGTGCAGCTGCTAGGACACAACAGGTGTGTCTCAGACACTAAAATAAACTGTGATGTGTTGCCAGATCTGTCATTTACTCCTTTATGGCATCATTTGATAGTTAAAGTTTGTCATCTTTTTACCACAATTCATGAAAAACTATCCAGACAGAACAGAAAAGTTTCGGCTGTTTCTTTTAATCCATTTTATATCCCCTATCCTAAGATTTTTGTAGATTTTAAAGTCAGATTTTCAAACGTTTTTAACAGTTAAAAGAACGGACAGATATATTCTTTGTTGTCGTTTTAATATAAAATAATAATACAGAGCCTTAATGATAGTTCACAGTAGAGAGCAGGAGGGATACAATAGGACAAAGGCTCCCTGGGCTGCAGCTAACTAAATATTTTTATTATCAATTAATCTTCAATTCAATTAATCTTTTATATACGTGTATAAATCTAACATGTAAGTGACATCTTGACATCCAACCCAAAGATATTCAATTTACACTGACGTATAAACAAAGAAAAATAGCAAATCCTCACATTTTGAGAGGCTTTGCTTTACCTAAACGATGGATCGATTATCAGAACTGATGACATTTCTGTCAATGGACAAACTGGCCCCAACTGCTGTCACACATCTGTCTAACACCACTGTAACACCAGTACGTCATTTAACTTTTACAGATGTGACATCGCAGAGGCAACAAGCGGTAAACATGGCTAAAAAAAACAAAGTGCCTTCAGCTGCAGTTTCTTCCAAAACCCTCTGAATGTCCCCTCAGAAACCCCCCGTGCCTTCACAGACGTCTACATTACCTACAGGAACTGACAGATTCTCTAAAACCCTGATTATTGGATATAATATGTGTGTGCAACAACCATTAGAACAACAGATTTCCTAGACGTTGTCGGGATTTAGATTTTTAAAAGAAGATAATTTGTCATTTTCCTCTCAATGATCATTAAATGAGTTAATATGAGATGATCTGTTTCACTACAACATGCTTTTAAAATGCACAGAAAGCAGACAAACACAGACACCGTGTGCCAAACAGACCAGAGCGCTGCGCACGGTGAGGACAGGTGACAGGAAGCGGCGGCGCGGCGGACACACAGGCGTCACCTCTCGCTCGTTCTCTACCGGCTTCCACTCACTCGCACATGAACACAGAGCCGTTCGGTGACAAGACCAAGGATGGCGATGCGGTGAGCTGAGAGGAATCATGGGGTACATGAGGGGTGATGGAGGCCCTGTTGCCATGCAGCAGAGAGGCCATTCAGAGCCACGGTTACCACGGTTACTACGGTCATCATCATAACATTACCACTGTACCGAGGTTAGAGAAACATGCACCACCTTTTTGGGCTTCACTCCTCGCTGCGTGGTCGAAGGAAAGAAGGGAAGGAAGTGAGGAAGGAAGGGAGGGAGGGTTGAAGTTAAAGGTCAAACGTTTGTCAGAGGCATGCTTAGAGGTGACGGGGGGGGACCGCAGTGAGTCGGCGCTCTTCGTCGGTGACCTCAATCAAATAACACAGTGCACATATTTCATTTCACTTTCACACACACACATTTCTTCATTCAGTTCACATAAAAGATCCAATTTAAAATGTTTCAAACGTGAACGATGAGTTATTAAATCAGTGTCTCTCTTCACTGTGAAGAATAAATAATATTCTTATGAATCTGCTGCATAGATTTGATTTTTTTTCCTCCTCAACACATTTACAGCTCCGGGAAATGAGAATCTTTTTACAATTAGTTTTTCACATTTTTGTGTTTTATCACAGGGACAAACTAATAAAAATGCAAACCAAGAGCTCTTATAAATTAAACATACTGAGCACTTCTGTACAATGTCGAATTTAATGAGGAGAGACGATAATGAAGGTGTTTACATACTTAAAGTGTCCATATAACTATTTACTGTTACATTTATACTTTCTTACATGTGCAACTGTCTAATTCTAATATTTCTGTTTTTAAAAAACCACCATGTCTCTCTTTCTTCCTCTTAATCTTTCTCTTGAAGAATGAGACTGAATAAAATAAAATAAAATACAGGTCACTAACCGATGGGTCTGTGAAACATACAGTAAATGTCAGCTGTAACATTATGAACATGCTGACATTTGAATCTGAATCCTGTGACATCTGACCGGATATGATAAAAGCTGATGATCAGACATTTGGGATTACAGTATGTCGGATTCTCCGCAGCTTTAGAAGTTAATAGATTTTAAGTGTGGCTGTTAAAACTCCACATTTTGTATTTGTTACATAAAATGAGGTCAACAAACTTTATTTAGTTCATAAAAAATGAATAAATTATAGTGTTTCCACTTGTTAAATTAAAGAAAAGCATCCTACAGCTACTTTCGATCTTCCATCCTCCAAAATTAACTTTACTGCATATATAATAAGATTTTTATTACTATTATTATTATTCTACACATTAAGTTCAAGGTTTACTAGGATATTTTTTAGAAGATATTATCTACTGAGAAGATGGCAGCTGTGACTCAGCATAAGTTTCTTTTTTTTTTGATTTCCTCGAATAGTGAAAGAAATCTTGAAAAATAAATATAAAATTATAATTTCTACCCATGATTATGACTTGGGGGATAATAGATTTTAGTCACTACTCTTTTCTGGACATTGTGGCTGATGGGTGACTAAATGCGATGCTATTAATCTAAAATATTCTTAATAAAGTCCAGACTCATATTATCCATATCCATATATAGTGCAGTCAGCTGGATCTCTGCATTATAAAATGTAGAATTAATGAAAACATTTAAAATTTAGCTTTGATTTAAAAATTTTAAAAGTTGAGAATTATTGAATTATTATTAAATTATTATAATAGTTATTTTAATCCCATGCTTTTACTGCATACTTGTACAACCGGTGAGCACAACAGCAAAACTAATACAAAGCATGAAATCTAATTATTGGTAATTATCAGATTTTTTTGTCCACAAAATAACTCAATCGTGGCTGAACACCGAGCTCAATAGAGCAAAAATAAACGAGTAATACAGTAGAGTAATAACTAAAGCTTCCTACTTTATTTTAATTCAAACAGTTGATCTCAAGGGACTTCTTGTATTTGTTTCACTTAATAAATCATCTGTCGCTGTAGCACAACAGACAGTTAGTGTATTTATAAGTAAACATCGCCCTCTGCTGGTCGGATGTGAAAACAGAAAACTTCAGCTGTCGATGTAAGAAAATCTCATTTTGTTCAGTTTGTATAAATTGGTAAATTCACATATTCTGGGATTATTTATGATTATTTAAAAGAAATCTGTAATTAAATTATGGAGGAAGATTATGTGCATTTATGAAGGAAAGAGTAATAAAAAGTAATATATGATCTCTAGACCATTCTCCACCCTTTAACAGGCATGTATAAAAGAAGAATTAATAGTTTATAATATTTAACTTTATGTATATTACTTCTTTTTACGGTAAATTACTAAATTGTCAGCATGTCACAGATAGAAATTTACATTTAATGCACTGAGAGACTTTTCATACCTCTTATAACACCATATTGGGCAAAATAAATGCACCTAATCATAAAAAATGCTAAATATAAATGTCAATAAACTCATTGAGGGGCTGCCAAGCATCTTCACACACAACTACAACTAACAAAACCTGTAAAAAAAGGAAGAGTTTTCTTTTTAAAGGCAGTCTGAAATGGATGAACTGAACTCTCAGCAGTTGCAGGTGTTGCATTACCTCCTCACAGTCAACACACAGGGTTTACTTTAGATAATATAGAGAGTGTGTGTGTGTGTCTGTGTGTGTGTGTGTGTGTGTGTGTGTGTGTGTGTGTGTGTGTGTGTGTGTGTGTGTGTGTGTGAGTGTGAGAGTGTAAAAGTCCAGGTGTGTGCTGCCGTATCTGCTTCTGACTTCCTGCAGGGGAACTTTGTGTTGTGACTCACCAGTTTAGTGGACTTGGGCGTCTCCAGGATCTCTGAGGAGATAAAAAAAAAGAAGAAAAAGGCAAACAAAGAAAATGAGAGACAATCTTTCATATTATCATCAATGTTTACAGTCTTTTTACAAGGTATAAAGTCCCACAAAGATCCTGGAGCAAACAGATTAAAGTCAACACTGATAGCAGACTGTTAGAGACACGGTGGATAAACTGCACGAACCACAAACACCTCTCTGACATTAATTTCTGTGTCCATTTTCTCCCTTCAGATGATACTGGAAGAAAGCGACTGTTACTTGTAGCAGCAGAACAACGTTAAACACACAGAGAAAGAAAGAGAGAGAAATCCACATCTTGTAAGATCAGTAATAATAAATGTATTATCTCAATCTTCCTCTCGTATGCCGGGGGGGGTATCAAGGAGTAAGAACCAGAGGGATGTGAGTGAAATCTGAGCAACTTTACAGGAGAGCCAAAACAAAAAATGCCCCTATATGTCCTGACTTTGTTTATTAAATTAAATCTTTAATATTAAAACCTCATAAACACGTGGATGACGATAAACTTCATGAACAATATTTTGACTTTTTTTTTGGAAGAGCCTCATAAAGTTCAGTGTTTGGTTTCTGATTAATAACTCTGGATTCACGAGAGCCATTTTGCCAGTAGAAAGAGCTCATCAAGATATATATAAATATATAAAAATATAATTCTCATCCAAAATGTCACATACACCCCTCTGGTTCTCACCCTTAGAAATAAAATCTGTTTAATAAACACTGTGAAAGAGTCCATTTTAAGACATCAGATTAGAGCTGGGAATGATGAGATTTAAATTATGAATGCTATAATGTTGAGATAAACAGCTGCTAGGGACTAATATTAACCAGTTATAGGATATTACAGATGAAGTGATTTCACTTCGCCATAAATATGGCGTCTTTTATAGTTTTTTAAGAGAGAAAAAGGCTTGAAATCGTAAATCAGATACTTTATTGTGAGGCCGTATTGTCCAGCTCTATATCAGATCAGTCTATAAAAACTGTATTTCTCCTCACAGTGTGACAGGAGCTAAAGAAGTTAAACAACCTTTGTACAACCACAGTAACAATCAGACCAGGACTCCCTCTTTATAGAATATTTTAAAGTTTCATTCATGTCAACTACAGATAAATAAATTACATGTGACAATTACATCAGAGAGTTGCAGCTTAACATCCTGTCATTAAATTCTTGTACATGTCTGCAGCAGAAATCACTCTCTAATAACTTTTATATGATGGTTAATTATTAAAGTGGAATAAGTTTTAGCCTGTGATTTTTTTTTTTTCTCTTTTTTTAATGTGAAGAAACATCTCCTGTAACACATCTGAATCACCTCCCGAGTCTCATTCTGTTCCTGAAACAACAACTCTGCCCCAATGAAGTGAACAAGTGTGTCACCGCTTTAACTCCCCATCTCTCTGCGCCAGGAAGGGGACAAACTGAATTCAATGCACCAACCGAAACCGCCGCCTCCCTGTTTGATGTAGCGGCAGTCAGGCGTTACCATGGAAACAGAGTGCAGCCACTGTTAGCTCCATCCTCCAGAGGATAAAAACATATTGGTGACCAGATGTGGAAAGTTTAGGCAATTTCTTTTTCTCGTGTCAAACAGTAGAGAAAGAGGATAATAATTCTGTATTTTATCTATTTATGGTACATTTAAATCTCTCTTTGATCAGGTAGAATAAAAAAAGGGGATTTTATACACAGTAAGAGATATATTTAAAGCTGTTCTGGAGCTGTCAACACAATATTCCTCAGCAGAAGTGTTGCTAACGGCCTTTGTGGTGAGATTACTGTGGGTTTAATTTTGTCCTATCCTGCAGTCCTTATTGAGAGTGAATTATGATGTTGTTAGCTGGTAATTGTACCCAAAACAAGTTTAAGTACTTTGCTGATTTCCATTATAATTTTGTCTCTCATCTCCTCTTCCCAAAAAGAGAGACAAACGCGTCAACACCAAACAAGTCGTGTTTACTCTTACCTGAGTCAAAAGAAACATGTTTGCTGTCAACAAGAATTCAGATGACCTGTTGTTATTAAGTTCAGTTTAACATTTACAGAACATTTAACCCTTAAAAGCTTTACTGGATCAGGAGTGCACACAGAGGGGGCTCAAACCAACAACCTTAGCAGTGCTGGTGCCACACTCTGCTTGACTGAAACCACACAGTGTCCCTGTAATGAGATATTGAGGCACATTTATATTTCAGGCCTTTAGCAGAAACTCTAGACCACAGGGACATACATTGGGTGAGCAGATGGAGTTACACTGCCTTGCTTAAGGGCGTGTATACACTGATACAGAAATGAGGCCTCATCTCATATGAAAATGACCTTTACAGATGCCAAAATAATCAGGTTTATTCATGTGTAAAGGTCGGCACAATGTGAAATGACTTGTCCATTGGCAATTTTCTGTGGTGGTCCCAGTAATAAACGTTAGAAATGCAGTTTCAGAACAAAACTTATTGAACGTATTCTAATTATAACTAATTATCCATTAACTCCCTCTGCTCTTTCATTCGTTTCTCTCTGCGGGATGTCTCTTGTTTTTCTGTGACTCACTCTGTATTGAGTGTCTTTGTCAGAGCGATGTTATTTGGGGTGCTTTAACTGCACGCTCTCCCTCAGGCCTCGCTGTTCATGAAGAGCTGGTTTCTCTCCTACTCTGCTGGACTGTTACAGCGCATATAACCATCGTCTTTACTTCAGCAGTAGGCTTTATGTTGTTTACCAGTTTCACTCCCTCATGGTGAATATCAGGTATTGTATCTGTTGGCACATTGGCAAGGTATGGACTGGTTAGGGATGTGGGTGTGTGTGTGGGCATGGACCACATCCTGATTTTCCACTGGCAATAGCCTCAGAAGGCGAAGCGTGTAAGCAAAAGAAGGTTATTTACTCCAATACTCAACCGACCGATGCAGTTACTTTAGCATTCATGGCGCTGCCTGACATTGCTGCAGTCCGGCCAAAAAAGTGAATGTTTCGTTTAAAAAGGACCATCGTCAGCACAGGTTGCGAATGTAGATTTTGATGTAAAAGGTGTTTTGCAGGACGCTTGGTAACTCACCTGGTAGATGAAGTCTTTACTGCAGCCGGCCCTTTGCTGCATTTCACCCATTAACCTATCAATGTTTACCTGTCCTATCAAAATAAAGGCGTAAAAAGCCCCCCAAAAAGGTAAAAAAACGCAGGTGTTTTGCATCACCAGTACCAGATGAGGATGTTTATGAAATGGATTCAAGAACAAAAATCCTTTCACAACTGTTGTAGCAAAGAGCCCTCACTACTGTGAGAAGTGAGTCAGCATCAGTTTTTATTAACGTTACAAAAAGATGAATTGTTTACCTGCATGCAGTCACGTTGCTGAATAGAGCTGCATGTTTAATGTTCTGAGCATGAACGTCCCTTCGACAAGCTCCATTTTAAAAAGGTCAGGATCGACATGTTTGCACTTTGTCTGAGCAAATTCCCTTTTTTCTTTTTTTACTTATAAAACACCAGCAGAATACTGAAAACCACCGGTTGAATGATGACCAAGGACAGAACCATAACCATCTGAATGTGTGTGTCCTTACCACGTTTTGGGACCTTGCCAGTGCCGGGCTCAGGTGTCTCTGGAGACGTTGTGTCCGCCCCATCATCAACCAGCTGGATCTGAGACACAGAGACGCAGAGACAGACAGAAAGACAGCAAGAGACAGTGAGTCACGTCTTCTGAAACATCAACTATCTTATTCATCAGCAGAGCTGGAAGAGAGGAAGCGACAGATGTTAAAGGGGAGCCACGAAAAACAAAATTGCCTTGATTATCGATGTTCATTCAAATATAGCACTCCCAAAGTGAGTCGTAATTGTCTCTAAATCTCCATAGCAACCTTTAAAACCGCAGTGCAGGGACAGTCAGGGTCAGACAGTCTTTTAAGCCAAGCGGGAGACATAATGAAGAGGATTAGTAATACGACACCTAATCGATACGGAAGCTGACCCATGTGTGTGTCTGTACCTGCACAACTGGGTCACAGGCAGCATCAAAGTGGGCCTTGTGTAAGAACCACTCAAACCAATATAGATTTGTTATTAAGTGTCAAGTGCAAGTGATTTAAGACAACTTGACAACCAGTTTTCTTGAATTAAGAATTGTCTTTAGTGCCAACATTGGGTCCAGGCCTCATGTAGTACAACTCATCTCACAGCGGGGAAAAAACCACCAGCAAGATTATTCTGCATAAATCTGTGTTTCAAGTATATTGAAATCAAAATGAAAGTAAAATAAATGAAAAACAAATGGCCTGAGCTGCCTCACGGTTTGCCAGCTGACTGAACCCTTTTATTGGCACGGGTATTTTGGCACGAGAGCTTCTACAATTTATTAGTTGCTGCGAATATTCTCACGCTCCAATCGGTGCATCTGGGTCTTCGTGCAGGTCGCTGCTCGACCTCGGTTGCACTCAACGATGTAACATCACCTGTAATGTAATTCTCTTGTCCTTCTCTGTGTCACATTCCCTCTCATTTAGGTCTTGGCACTAATGCCGTAGCTTTTTATTTTTGCATCTAACTTGCAGACTATTTTTTACTTCATTTTAGTCAAATTGTTGGTCCCCTTATGCCACTAGTGTTCTGTCTGTGCAGGCAGCCTTACACATCAAGGGGTGTCGATTATGCAACTAGTCAAATCTCACAATGACAACCACACAAATCCTCATCCACTCATCCACATTTGTCCAGTTGAAACATTTGAAACACAAAAGATAAAACAGGTTTAGGATTAAGAAATGGTCTTCGCAGGAGGAGGCCCAATGGGCCTAAGACGTTTAAAAGGTGTCCTGTGGAGATTTGATCTCTGTGTTGTTAGTCTCATGCACGCACGCGACTGCATGTCCGCACACTTTACTGACAATGGTTTCACACTATATCACTGATTGACAGGTGGCAGTAATGTGCCAAGAAATGCTGCAATGTGCCAGCAAAGTGAGGGGAGAGGAAGACTGCTAGCTAGTTAACATGCATGTCAACAAAGCTGGATTTAAAAATGTTTTATGAGGATGGAAATGCATTCGACATGTTCATTAGACCTCAAAGATACACAAACATTTAACTCTACTGTCTGTGCTCTGTGTGAGTGTTTGTTTACTGCTTGTACATGTTGAGAGCTTCGTAACAACATGAGATATCTGACTAAAACCTGCCACAATGAGAAAGTAATAGGAGTTTATTAAATGCACATCAACTTTAAGCAGTGACACAAACAACTCTAATATTTCCCATATTGGTTTTTTTTTTTTTTTCCTCTGGATGTATTTGACTGTCCCCTCCAGGCCCTTACAGGTAATCTCTGATCACTGTAACAGCCTTGGAGGCTTTGCAGTATTATCTGGGAGACAAAAATAAAGCTGTTTTTCATCTGAAAACAACAAAGCAGTAGAAAAACTGCTGGCACCATTCAGACAGCAGAGAGAAATACCAACCCCCACACAAACCCACTGCGTCAAATAAAAAGAAAAACACAATCTCAAACATCTTACAAAATGAAACACTAAACAATCAATAGATGGGAGGTTGTACCGGAGACAATGGCATCATCCTCTGATTCAGGTTTCTATAGCACAGACACATCAAAGCATTTAGGATCTGTACTGAAATAGTTCTGTAGTCACCTGCGACTGCCTCACAAATATCCCGCGATTCTCCTCGCAGGTGAAGTAGCGCTTGCCCTGCACGGTGCCGTCGTTCTTGCCCTTGGCCTCGTCCAGGATGACGCCCACCCATTTTCCGGAGGCAAAGAGCGTGTTGCCGATGTAGGCCACCGTGCCGCGCTGACCCTTCCCGATCACCTCCACCAGGGAGCCCACTTTGACGGGCCGCCCACCCCCGTCCGAGCTCATCCTGCTGCTGCCGCTGCTGGTGGTCTGGGTGGGATACACACACACACACACACACACAAGAGTGTTAAAACAGGAATTCATGTTCACATCAACACTACTGGAAGGCTTACTGGTCAGAGGGAGTCTGTGAAATCAGTTGCCTAATGTGGTCTGTGGCTTTGGAGGAACTTTTTGTCTGAGTCTGAGTCTCTCACCTTGGGCTTGGTGATAACAAATTTACAGAAATCCTACGTTACAAACTGGAGAAAGTGGAGTTGGAGAGTGTAGGAACGCTAAGAACTAAGTGAGGACATCCTGGCACCAGAAGCACCATATTTAACTATTCTTTTATTTAAAATGTGCATCACAAGTTCCCCATCTTTATGGAAGTGCAATACTAAATGGCTGTACCCTTTGGGGTGGTCTCTTTGACCCAGGCGACGACCCCTGTGGCTGACAAATAAAGCCAATGCGAAACTGCAGTTCCTCAAATGGCCACTTGAGGCTGGCTACAGGAAGTGATCAATCTCCGTAAGGTCCCATATTGAACTTAACAGCAGAAATAAACATGTTTACAACCTGGTACAAAAAACAGTTGTGATCTCCATCGCTAACTTTCCCAGTTCATGACAACTGCAGAGGGAGTGAATGTTTATATAACTCACTCGTTTAAGTTACATTAAGGCTTAAAGTGATGCCTAATTAGGCTTTGAACATTATAAATGGGATTTAAACGTCAAGTGTTTGATTTCTGCCACTAGGGGGGTTTCTCACATCAAAACATGTTGGAAAAAATATATATAACATAGTAGTTCTGGTTGTTTTTAGACATTTTGATGCGGAAATGTTACATATTGTACATTTAAGATGATGGTTTAAAGGATTTTGTAGTTTTATGTTACTGTTATGATCCTGGCTCTCTGGTCCATGTGTCATTCTGCTTGTTTTCTGAGGTTGGATCAGTGCACAAAAGTTTCTCTGCATTTACCAAACGTCTATTGAAACACTTACACTTACACCAAATGCATCACCGACTGCCTCCGGAGATAGTATGAGGCAATCAGATTATAACTTGTCCTAAGTGCATTTATAGTTGTACATACTCTGTGCTTGAAACTTGGACTTGGTTTCAATCCGTGATTAAAATTTAAAAGGTTAAACTATCTGAATGGTTAGATGCACGCAATAAATCATTATTTCAGCCCTTTTAAATGGCATACACAGGTTTTATCAGCATTAATGCACAAGATATTTTATTGATAACGTTTACTAAATCATTCTGTAAATGTTAACAGCTTGTAAAACATTGTTGGTGTTCAGTTTCTCTTACAGCACAGTCTGATGCCAATCTGATCACCCTACACTTGCAAGAGTTAAGTGAGTCATTGTTTTACAATAACCACCTTCTGACGTGATAAATAAATGACTTTAGAGCTGTCAGACAGTAATAACTACAGTTGCAAAGCTTCACATCCTGAAGCTGTTCACTGGACATTTGCATTAACAGGTCTTTAACAGGACCATGTCAGCACATAGTGGCTAGAGAGCAAAATGTAGTTTTAGTCTCATTCTGACCTACTGAGCTGTTCAGGACCACACACACAAAAGAAAAAAAGCAAAGGCCTCGTTCCTGCACTCTCTAAATGTCAATGAATGCTTTTAAACAGCAGTGCTTTGCTTTTTAGCTGAGGAGCCAAATTTTTGTGATAAATCCATGGCAACAATCAGAAAACGTTTTCAACCGGGGGGCACATTTTTTACACGAGCTGCAATATATTTCTGCAATCAAATAATCCTGCATAACCCAATTTTACTGTGTGATGTCCTAGAACAGATGGTGACTCAGCAGAACAGAGAGGAACAGATATTATTACCCAGTGAGAGAAACATGGTCTGACTCTCCTTCAGCTTACTGTAAACACACTATCTCTTATATGTGCTGTCGTTTAACTTTAACAATACAGGAAACCTCTGCGGTGGACAGTGAACCAAAACAAGACAGACAAACAGCAACATAAGGGCATTTTTAAATGTGCTAATCTGTCCCATCCTCTGCAGGTTTCTGTTGTATTTCTACATTTTTAAACCTGTTTACAATTTATAAATATACCTTTTATTAACTCAGACAAAACTCCCTACAAATATTAATCAAAAACTTCAATAAATTACTTTTGTATCAATAAGTTCCTTGGTATTCTTTGGATATCAATATTGACCTCATGTGAGCCAATATTCTTTATTTTTTTACATAAACACGTAATAAAAACGTTTGATACCTGCCAGTTTTTGACACTTTTTGATACTGTTGATATCCAAACTTTATTTTAAATTGTGAACATTTTACCATTAAAAAAATAAACTGTTATGGTGACACTGATTCCTAAAGTACCTAAAAACATACTGTTTACATTTCTCTGCTGCAACTCGCAACCTGTTCCTTACCGGTACCGGCCTCCACATACACTAACAATATCTGCAATAAGCTAATATCGGTTCATTTATTGGCTGAATCGGCTCAGCCAATGTTTCGGTTTAACCCTAACGACCATAACATCACACTACAAATTCCACCATCCAGTGAGGGATCATATTTTTATCCTCCTTGGCCTGTTCCTGTGTACTCTCATAAAGTCTATAACGACAGAGTGCTGGATCCTAAATGTGTTAAATCATAAAACGAAAGACTGGGACAGCACTTCCCCTCTTTTAACTTTTTAATGGCGCCACACGGACGTTTCGGGCGAGACGGCCTTCGTTTTTTCTACGAGTGGTCAGCTGATATTGGTTTTTCACTGGCTGATGCCGGTGCCAATATTTCTAGAGCAGTACTGCTGATTTTAAAACAAAGAAAAGTCATGTATACCTTCATTATTCCATGCAGAGTCCATATATAAATATACATGGTTATATAGCCAGTAACATGTTGTTTTATACAGATTTTACATTAATTAATGAAACACAAAAATACATTAGTTTATGCTCCAGATTTCATAACGTAGTATTCGCTACAGTACATCAGAAGAGACGTCACTTAACTGTATTATTATAACATAATTTATTACAGAATAATACAGTTTTAGATTAGATTTGATGTCATTTAGGAGAAAAGTGTTAACGTTTAGAAAAGACGATGGTTACTGAGGAAGGTTATAAGACAGAGCTCAAAACTTTTTCACCACTTTCCCAAAACTCACATCGTCCCACAGCAGCCCCGCTACAAAAGCTGCCTGCAGATATGTTAGGTTTATCGGCCTCGTGAGCGCAGGCGTCGGCTGATAATCGGCCCAATTAATCAGTCTAAATACACGCTGAAGGAGGGCGTCCTCCCCCGAGTGGCGAAATGAATAAGTTAACTTTGTTTCCCAGGTTCTCAGTGAAGACAGCAGTAACATGGAAAGCAATACAAAGGGATTGGCCGTTCCAGGAGGAAGTAAAAACAATCAATATGTAATATGTGGTTTAAATGGGAACGTACAGGCCTTAACAGTCATCCATACAGCACAAGGTTGGGGACATTAAATCTTTAAAAAAGTAAAGGTTGGAATGTGGTAACATAAAGAGTGTTTTGTTAAACTTAAGCTCAAAGACGGTGTCACTTCTTAAGAGGCCATTATCAGCGATTTACGTCTCTCAACTGTAGCCAAGGATTTACTGCTCACAATACAGACTGTATATATATATATATATATATATTTATATGTGTCTATATATTATATTCATGGAAACCAAACGGTTCTCTGCTCAGGCATAACTTACAGCTACAATATCCGTTTCTTTCTCTACCAAAATATCTTCAATATATTCAAACATTTTGTTGGCAAAAACATGGAAAGAGATATTTTAACTCGCTGGTGTGCAGCAAATGCATCCTTGAGCTTTTTCTACGTCACAGTCGAGTCCTCCGATCTTTTATTCAAGCTTTAACATCTACTTAAAGACATCAGTCACTTCAGATTCATAACAGAAGCAGGAATCGTTGGTTTACGGTGCTTCGGGGCGTCTGCACAGCTCAAATGCACCTGTCAACAATCTGCAATCAAACATCCATTGGGGTTTTAAAATTCATGCCTTCATTAAAGTCATAAAATAATTAAAACAAGATGAGTTCGCCTGGCTCCAGCTAACATACTGTAATGAAGCATTCAGTGTTGTTCAGTCATTTGCCATGTGCTGGAAGCAGAGAGGACCCGAGGAGGACGTGCTGAATTATTTAGTGCCACTCTACTCTTAAAAACACACGCAAGCTCACACCGAATACGATGCTAAAAGAAGACGAAAACAGTGATACAGCCTCATTTTTCTGCACCGTAAAACTCTCACAATGCTCTGAGGAAGGCGCTGATGAAACTTGAAGACGGTTGCTGTTTTCTCAAAAAAAAAAAAAGTAAGCTACCGAAACGCTGCCATGCACATGGTTTTAAAAGGATTGTCACCATGTAACGCGGGCTAATTTACAAAGCATATAATCTAAGGGCTATTGTTGGTAAGTAAGGGAGCTCTCAGTGATCTGGAGAAAAAGAAAAGAGTAGCTGAAAGGTATAAAATCTAAGCAGCGAGCACTGATGTCATCCCTCCTGGTGACTGGGAAGCTGCCTGACTCAGAGACGGATGACAAACAGGAAGTCTTCTGGGGCTCGAGGATTGTCCTGTGGTGTGTCCAGTGTCTTGCTGACAACAAAAAAGCCTTAACAAAACCTACTACCTGCCCTGTCATGTATCATCTCCTACTTTACAGGTCCGAGGTGTCACAGAGGGTCTGAACCTTCAACACCACAGCAGCAATGTTGAACCCGGAGGGGGCATCTGAGCCGAACAAAGAGGCGACAATCCAGACAGAGGAATGTAGCCCTGAAATGGATTCGAAACCCTCCTATTCAAAGTGGAAATCGACATGGAACAGATGACAGAGTGAAACTAATTGAACAGACGTAGCAGCAACAATGACGCACCGATCTGGACTAACTTAAAAACACCAGTCCGGCCCGTTCATTCAACCAGTATCTGGGGATGTATTAACACCTTGTGCACACTCACCCGGCTGTATGTGCTCCTTCGAGTCTGTGACATGTTTCCGAGCTGCCCCCCAAACCGCCTGTCTTGTCTGAAGGAGAGTGTTATTGGGGTGAGCCAGACAGACAGAAGGGGGTCTGGGAGAGGGGTGGCGGAGAGTCAGGGGGGGGTGGGAGTTTCGGTGATGCTGCCGGAGCGTCTCCCTCTATCCTCTCTCTTTCCTCGCCGTCTCTTTACAGAATCACACCATCCCTCTCCTGATCCTCGCAGCGCAGCCTGAGCCCTCAAAAACTCCCCGTCCCTTTTCCTCTCTGCTGCTGCCAGAAGGAAAAGCCGGGCGGGAGCTCCTCCTTTTTTGTTTCTTTTTTTTTTTTGGCTCTGTCAGAAAGTTTCTGAGCAGGCAGACGGTGCCAATCCCAAGCCCTCCGATGATGAATAGATCAGAAGGGGAAAACAGAAGAGCAAGAGAAGAGAGGGGGGGAAAAAACAGCCAGGCTCTCTGGTCTGCTGCGAGTGCATCAGCTGAGCGGCAGCACTGCGCTGCGCTAGTGTCTGCGCTGGCTTCTGCAGGAGGGAGGGTGGTTTAGGCCCAGACTGAGGCACTGGGTCCTAAAGCCTGCAAACATGCCTCTCAAAAGCTTCTCAAAATAAACTTGACAGTCATTATTCCCGAGCATGTTCTCCTGATTTCATACGATGCAGTGGTTTGGAGTTGGTGTGGACTTCTTCAGGACTGCCCTCTGTAGCTGATCAATGAGCAGTTTAAGTCCTGATAAGACAGATCATTAAAGCACAAAACCCTATAATAAGCACTAGAGTTGCAAAGGGTAAATAAGTCAACAAAAACAACTCCTTTAAAAGCGCCCAGATGTGTCCTTAAAAACTCTCCTCTCCTTTGCACTGCAGTATACGTCAGATTACTGTCAAATTCAATTCCTGTCTTCGGCTAAAAGTGTGAACAGTCTGGAAATTAAAAAAAGCAGAAAGAACGCAGGCAGTAAGCATTTTTCCAACCAAAAGGGAGGGGAAGCGAACCAGTTCAACTCAATCCAATGCCGTTTCATTGTGGTTGAACACAAAAGGCCCAGGTGACGCTCTGTAATGCGGCACACTGTAAGCAAAAAGCCAGCAGATTGCATTCGGTCCCCGCCTGATGCTGTGGCCCATCACAGAGCAAAGGATTAGCTCTCCTTTATCAGCTTTTATCAGCTGCCTGGCTGGGCCTTTTTCTTTTTTTTTTTTTTAACTCTCTCTATTTTGTGTGTTGTCATCTTTTTGCGATGCAAGCAAACGCTGCGGGGTTTCTGTGGAAAAAGCTCTCAGCTTAGAGGCTGATGAGAGATGTTGTAAGAGTTTTGCATTTCAGTGTCAGAACAAAAGAAACCCAGCCTTCAGGAAAAGATATTTCCCCTGATAATGCATCGCTCATAAAGCTTCAGGAAGCAAGCATGGACCAGGACAACACAATATAGGCACAGTGTTACCCCTACACACTTATTGAGGCTGTATATATGTTTTTGGCCCCAGAGCCGAGATAAAACTCCCAAGATTGCGTTTAAAGTCTAGAAAGACTTAAGATTTCAGGCGTGGGAGAGTTAAACACAGTTGGGGATGTTTAGGGATACAAAATAAACCTCTGCAGTCTCTTTGCACCCTTTTATGCAAATGACGAAGGCAGAACCAAAAGAAGAGAGAGGGTGCTGGGGATTTGTGGGAGGAAGGGGAGAGGTGGGGAGGTGGGGAGGTGGGGTGGGGAGTCCTTATCTTCTCTACTGAAGGAATAATAGACAACCAGCAGACAGCCAAAATCAAAGAACTGCCTCGTTACAGAAAATGAGGACAATGGCAGAGGAAGAGGCGTCACCGGCTCAGCAGCCCACTGCTGCGTGCCTTTTCAGAACCAGTCCAACAGAGGTGACACACACAGAGGAGGAACAGCAACGACCACACTGCACCTCAGCCGGTCTGCAGGTCCAGGGAGGAACAGATCGACGTCACTGAACAAAGGTAAAACACGTCTATGTCCTTGAGGCTGGCATTGATTGAGATTATGTAGGAGAAATGTGGTTTAAGTTTTGGCAGGCGTGAAAAGAGATCGTGTCGACGTAGATAGTTGAATCAAAGGGGGCTGAAAGGCAAACTGCTGTGTCAGGAGTCATTAAGGTGTCTTAATAATGTCACAAAGGTAAAGATTTCTTTACAAATGCTGCAAATTACAACTAGTTTTTATAAGAAATTGATGTTTAATCTGATTTTTTTATGTCAAAAATAATGATAAATGCTTAATGTTAGCCTCCAGATCCTAAAGTGATGTCTTTATATTGATTATGACTAACAGAAAACAAAAGATATGAAACTCATCAAGCAACTTATATTTTTTTTTTACCTGATAAATGGTTTAAACTCTTCATCAATTAAAAGTGCAATCAATTCTTTAAGGACTGATTTCAGCACTGGTTTAATTTAACTAACTAAAGTGTGTTTAATCCATATAAAAAAACCACAGGACTGATCATATAAACCTTTAATAATCTGTATTTCTTACTGTAAATGTGGTGTCCAATACCCAAAGATATTAAGTTCATGATCATTACACTAAGAAAAATAGCAAGTATTGATCATTTGAGCAGCCAGAACTAGAGAATTTTTGGCATTTATTTTTTAAAAATGACTTATTGAATTGATTTTCTGTCACTCTACAGTGAGTTGTAACCATGTAGCCCACATAAATCCGATATTTAATTGTAAGCCTTAGCAGTTTATTAATAAATAAACAATTTTGATAGTAAAGAAATTGCGTTTCAGTCACTAAATGTGACAATCTGCTGCTTTTATGAGTGAATTATTGTAAATTCAACATATTTACGTCTATAAATATGTATATGCACATGTTTGTCAGACAATCAATCGATTTGAGGAGATTTTTGTGATTAAATAATTCAATAAATAACCATTAGATGAATTAATAATGACAATAGCTTTCCTTACAATAGTGGATAAACTCTAATTATGGGTTGGGCCTCCTCTCCACTACATGCATGCTAATGACATCCAGCCCTGGTCTCAGCACTGTACCATGCATGCAGGAATAAAATAGGTCATCCATAGAAAACAGTGGCAGAGCAGCTTCATCCCAGGATTTAATTTCAGCGTGCTTCAAATAAGCATGAAAGTGCACAATTTAACTGCACAGTCAACAAAATAAAAAAAAAAACCTTAAAGAATATAAACAAAAAAAAAAAAAACTATGTGAAAGCATGTAAGAGCTAAATGTGTAATTTGGTGCCATCTAGTGAGTTTAAAGCCTAGAAACCACTGCTCCAAAGACATCCCACTGCCTTATTGACCTGAATTATGTTATTCCAGTGATTTATTTAACATTACGAGCCTCTTTTAACCCCTAAAAACACTTATATAACCCTAATGTTTCGCCTGTTATACCTGGTGGGAATCAAGATAAATCACAGCATGGGTGTGGCTGCAGCCTGATATGACATTTTTCCCCCCAACCAACAGATTTAACCAAATTGGATTTGGAAATCAGGAAACAACAATGTGGAGTGGAGATTAATTAATATAAACCAGAAATAAAGCCCCATTCATCCCCATTAGGGCTGCATATCTGGCTCCACACCGCCTCCATAATCACCAACCAGAGCTTATTAAATACGTGTAATGGCCTCGACTCTGTAATTAGTCGTTTTTAAATGTATAAATGTTGGTTTTTTATCAGCTGTGGTATTAAATAAAAGAGCCACTTCTTCAGGCTGTCAGTTGGGACACTCCCTGACCAGCTAGCAGGAGTAGCGGTTAGCATCGGTCGGTTATTCCTCAATAAAAAACTCTTTAAAAAACGAGATAATTTTAATAAAAACACACATTTCTTTCTAGAAAGGTGTGTGTGTGTGTTTTAAATTCACCCCGCGACTGTCCACGTGAGCTGTGTGTGTTTAATCTTACCTGTTAAGGTGTCCTTAAAAAATAAATCCCGGCTAACGAGCTCAGCTTCGCCCCCTAACATCCATCCATGGAGGTCTGACCGGGGCACATCCGTCCTGAGGTGTCCGAGCTGGTGCCTGTCCCAGCCGGCCTCACGTACCCCGAGGAGCCGAGGAGGAGCCCGGTGGTGGATGTCAGGTTGTAATGTAAAATGTATTAACTGTATTCATTGGTTGGTATATTAGATAACAGCTGGTTAAAAACACAGACAAAAAAAGGTAAATTATTTATTTTTTTATTATTTAATTTAATTATTAATTTTGTGCATTAAAGGCAATTCCTCTTAAAAATGTCTTTTTTTTTTTTTTTTACTTAATGAAGGTATGTACAAGCTGGGTAAATATGTTTATATTTATTATGTTAAAAAAAAAAAAATTAAGAGGTAATAAAACAGCAAAAAAATCCGCTCATGTGTCTTGTGTTTTTTTTTTACCCATTTTTGTGATATATTTTATGTACTTTTTAATTTTTATGTGTGTTCTGTTTCATCTTATCACCTGGCTGTAAGATAAACGTATCCTTGGGCACAATTTAGTTTAATAAGGCCAAAAAGACTCAGTCTTTCTCCAGGGCATTGAGCTGAAACTTAATGTATGTGTAGAGATTATATATTAGATCTGTACAACCTCACAACTTGTGAAGCACCAGTCTGGAACATCCTGTATGCAAAACGAACCCCCAGAGAAGAAACCTCAGCTCTGCTCAAACCCGTCAATATCTGATTCAGTTCCCAGCAGGTTCCTCTCGCCTCCCCCCCCTTGGGCCACAACCTCCGTCTCGCTCTCATAAAGAAGAGACTCGTTCTTCCCGTTTGGCCGAACAGGTGCCTGATCTCTTTTTAGGGCTTCCAGCAGAAACAATGTGTGGTTAAAGAAAAGATGAAATACGTAAAGCCCTACGGGGAACTGGGAAATAGTTTCCCAGCCACATTACATGCTTTAGTTCTGGTATGAACAAATCTGACAATAGATAAATCACTGAGAGATATAACAAAGCTCATAAGCAGGAAAGAAGGAACTGAAGATGTGGGTGTATTTTTAGATGTAACAGTGAAGCAATGAAGCATAATTACTGCAAAAGCTGTTAGTAAAAACCCTAAAATCAGACATATAATTTATCTAAAGCAGGTTGGAGTTCACAGATTTCTCTCTACTGACGCCGACACATCGTATCGATCCGACGCCACGGCTCTCTTCCTTCCTGTGTGAAACTTATTGGAGTCATTTCTGAGTAAGGGAAGATGAGGCCATGAGGGATTAGAGGTCCAGTGTGCAGGATTTAGTGGCATTTAGGGGGGTGTAGTTTCAGATTAAAACTCACTTCCCTTCCAGGCATCAGGGAGGAACGATGGAGGCCACAAAACCCGTGTGAAAAGTCCCAATCTACAGTCAGAAACATGTAATGTAATAAAATTAATGTGGAACTTAAAAGTGATCGTGAACAACAACAAACAAACAAACAAATAAATAAATAAATAAATAAAGAGGACTACAGAACTTGTAGGAGCACGTTCAGATCTAACGATTTTATTCTGACTGTCACGTAGAAATCAAATCATTTACAAAATTAAATAATCAAATGAATTTCAAGAAGCTTAATTCGACACAAACAGAATGACCTCGGACATAACAGATATTTCTATCAACTATTAAAAAAAAAAAAAAGGTTTCTAATAATAATCAATCAATCAATCTGTCGTTTGTGTGTGTGTAACAATGTCTGACCTTTTACTGTAAGTGTGTGTAGTAAACAGTTCCTCTTGTGGATACTGTCACATTAACTGTGGCGGTTTGGTTGCCTTTAACTACAATGCATGCTGGGTAAACGTTAAGCGTAGACACTGGGTGAGTGGATGGTGCCGTCGCCCTGTAACGCCACACAGCCTCAGTCCCTTTTCCCGTCTCTCTGTAAATCGAGTCTGTACTCAAACAAAGTGAAGTTCGTGAGTTTGGCGGCGAGCTCGGGAATGACGAACTCTCTGATCTTCTCGAAGCCCATGTGCTCGTACAGCTTCTGAGCGTCCGTCTGCACCACGGAGGTGTACAGGACGACCGCCGCGTAACCCCGGTCTCGAGTAAAATCAGCCACCGTCCGACACAAAGCCTTGGCGATGCCCATGCCGCGGTGGCTGCGGCGTACAGACATGCGTTTCAACTCCAGGCACCCGGGCGCGTTCTCGGCAGGGAGGCAAGCCACCGAGCCGACCACCCGTCCTTCACTCTCAGCCACCCAGAAACACGAGTCCTTCTGCTTCAGGTAGGTCTCGCCGATGTCGTTGAGGTCCTTCTTGAGGGACGTGTCGATGTATCTGTTGAACATGTAGACGACCAACTGCCGGGCCGCGGCCATGACGAGGGTGACGGCCAGGATGGGGAGCAGGAAGGACTTGGAGCTCGTCATGAGAGCGCAGAACAGGCACATGAGCACCATTTGGGTGGGCGGCTGTTTCAGAAGGTGCATGAAGGACGACGGCACGTGCTCGCTCATCCCCAGGGTGAAGATCTCCTTCACACCCTCGGCGTCGTCGGCCTGATACTTCCGGATCTCGATATCGGCCATGGTTCAGCCCTGGTTTTTAAAAAGAGAAAGAGGTCAAAATGTGATGAAACAAAGACATGTTTTGTTTCTTTTTCAGAGTCACGGTGTGTTGAAACTTGTTCCTGTATCTCTCAACTGTACTCAGTGCCACACATTGTACTGGAGCTGAAGAAGCACTTCCATAATGTAATGTGTGAAACTTTAAACTTTTGCTTTTTCACAGGAAATAATTTGAGATTTTTTACATGTTAAAAACATAATTATGTCGTATTCTGGGAAGCTATTAGACCAATAAACCTGGCACAGACAACACACAGGCTGATTTAAACTAGACTTTTTTCACTTATGTAACATTGTCTTTTATCCTTTTTTTTAATAAACTCAACATTAAAGATTGTCTTTAATGTTTAAGTGTCTTTATTTATAAGATAGATTCATACTCTGGAGCAGTTTCAAAAACCTACTTTCAAGCAAACTCACAGGTTAATTCTCACCCAACTCCCCAATCTTCCTAAAGAGATCAATCTTCAATATGTTTTAGGGGGAATTATGTAATAGCTTTTTAATAATTGGCAAAAAAAAAATGTCTGTTTCTTCTATAAAATATTACAAAAGATGCTTAAAGGGGACATTTAAGTGCTGCTTTATAACTGTAACACACGGGTATAAACGGGGTTTAAACCAACAAAAACAGGCTGTAATATGAATCCTAACTTTCCTCTCTATTGACCAAGTGTAACAAGCACTCATTAAACATCAAACAGTGAATATTAAGAGCATAAACATCGTAAATCCTCCAAGAAAAACGTTCAGAAACGTGACTTTCATCGCTCGTTTGTTAGCATCGGCGGCGCTACCTAGCCCCTCAAAGCTAGCTGAGATTACATTGTTCCGGGTCGATTAGCTCCGATATTGTCCGGAGGATTACAAAAAGAGTAAATAAAGAAAGACTTACGTGTTTTATTTTAACGGTTGCCGGCGGTGTGTGGACGTGGTGAGCGCGCAAAAGTTCCCACGAAGTCAAAAACGTCTCATTTCATTTGTGTACATCCCCAAACATCGGGTGTGCTGCATTCAAGGTGCGGTCTAAAGAATGGGAAAATTAAACACCCGCTCATTCTGGTGTGAAATCTCGTTGGATTAAACTACATCCATTTTGCTCTGAGATCATTGAAACCTGTGTAAATATCACTGTGAAACCGACATGAGTCAAGTGTTTTTTCCCCGCTTTGCTGCTCGTAAATTACCACGGATCTAGATAATTACGAGCCACACGGTGTGCGTGAACGCATCTTGCACCACTTCCTGTGCAATGCTGATTGGCTGCCGCTTGCTGACGCTGTGTGTGTGCGTGGTCAGGCTGCAGAGGGAGAAAGGTCACATTCACAGGTAATAGTTTGTTATTGGTGTAAAGACACAATTTAATCAATATTTTACCCTTTTTTTTTATCATTCAGTGAACTGATGACCCCTGACAATACATATTTTATAGGTAATTCATATTACATCACAATAACAGTAGAAAACAACTGATAAACTTTATATTAAACCCAAACTTTGAACTTAATAACTGCAGGAATTTGTGTAAAACAAGTTTGAGCAGATTTATTTCCAGTGAATATTAATCAGATTAGTCTTCCTGATATTTTTGTCTGTGTTGTTTATTTTTTTAACAATCATACATACTTAATAATAATCTTTTTTTTACAAAATCAGTGTTTGAAATGCTGACATATAGGCTTACTGTGTAGATTTTCTCACACACCTTAATGTAAAAAAGGCTTTGTGACCCTTCTCTGAAGCTTTGGCGACCCCCAGTGGTGGGCCCAACCCTCTGGTTGGGAACCACTGCTCAACAGAAATGTTTCCAATCCTTTTTATCTGGTGACCCCTTAAATAAAACCAATGTCTACCTGCAAGCCCACCACTTGTATGTCTACAGGTTGTTACCACTTCAACCAAAAAGAGATTTTCTTCCTGTTTTAATTGAACATTTATTAAAAGACCCCAAAAAGGAATCCAATAATTCACAAGAGAAAAGGCTAAAAGACTAAAATAAATATAATTTTGTCTCCCTTTTCTATCTCATTTATCATTTTACAACCCTTCAGATTTATCTTGCCACTCCCTGGTTGGGAATTTATTATTTTATAAATAAGATATCCACACAATACTATGTGTGATCTGTTTTTTTTTTTGGTTTTTTTTACCTTTACAAGTAATAAAAAATTAAATGAAAAACAAAATTACATAAAAATCTTTAATACACAAAATATTTTGAAAATAATTTCTAAACTTTACCAGCTGGTTTTGTAAAGTAAAATTTGATAGTCTGATTTTGAAACACAGACTAAAGTGAAGAAACAAAGGTCAAAAGATTCAAGTACATTACTGAAAATTGCACATATTGTACATAATTGGTCCATTTTTTTACTGTTGAAAAGTTTCTTTAATTCTGTCTTTGGTATTTCTGGTATTCCATGTTGGTTATTGTACTAATCAAACAGCCACTGACAGAAGCTTTCAATGTAATAAAACCCTGAGGGGAACAGCTCAAACAATGCATAATGTAATTAATATACGGAGACCTCCGACGTAGAGTAAACACCACCTGGTGACAAAGCTCATCAAAGTTCACGTCATTTGTAGTCGTAGTGGTTATTTTTGTTATATTTTACAATCGGAGTCCCACTGGTTTCATTATTAACATCTTCACATTGTCTAAAGTTTGACAGACAGCATCATATATTCTATATTCAATAAAGAACCAGTGACGGTCAGAGAGGTCACAAAACTCAGACATCAAACTAATAATAACACAGCTTATGTTATACTAAAGAACCAGTGAGGTACAATAAATGTTAGATATTTCACACTAAATGAAGACTGAAAAAATAATTTATTGTCTCCTTAAAACAAATTTGACTAGAGTTCATACATCAAATGATTGTAAAAAATCTTCCCTTCTTATACGGAGTAAACGCTCCCCTAAATTAGCATATAAAAGCATTGTTTTGTTTTGTACAAAATGTTACATTCACGTTCCCGCCCAGCCGAGTGAGCAGAGACGTAAGCAGCTCCTTTATTTATTTATTTTTCTTTCCAGTTTTGTCTGCCTCCGTCTTCCCTCCCCCTTTCTAGCCCAGGTTGATGTCGCCCGCGAACATGGTGATCAGCAGTATGATGGTGAACCCGGTGAGCAGCCCAGCATTCTGGATCAGGAAGAAGATGATCTTGGTGGAGGTCCGCTTCTCTTCCCGTGCTATGCTGTCCATCTCCGGGAACTGGGACAAAAGAAAAAGGACAATCAGATATCTGTCTCGTGCACAATCCTTTAACAGACATACACTGACCTAATTGTTCTCGAGAGTCAACATAAAGGGAAGTTATAGTATTTAAACAAGAAGTGTGAATCTGTTGGCTTGTGTCTGGCAATAAAACGAGAAATATCCTCATTAACTGACTGCTGATTGACCTTCTGCGGGTCAAAAAGAGGTCATAATTTAAGCCTTAATACAAAGCATATTTTTCTTAATGTCAACAAATCCCATGAAAATACCAAAACCAACAATGAACTGATCCTTCGAACAATAATTCCCAGTGTTCCTCTGTGCACACTAACAATATAAATCTGAGGGTTGATTAACAAGTTAGGAACAAACACATTTTTTCTCCTCTATAATATTTTTACACTTGATTGATTGATAAAGAGAAAGTAGTTCTTACATTTAACTGCTCACAACAAGGTCTGTGGATTATCTTGTGTAACCTAGGCTTGATTTATAGAAAGCTAAAGTTTTTTAAATGTATTTTTTGGCGCTTTTTGAGCATCATCTGGTCCCATATTATCATTCATCTCTACAGTTAATATCTCCAAAACTCAGGAACACACACAAAAACAATCTAGACAGATAAATAGCACTACAGGTAAGAGGAAAAGTATGTATTTTTAAAGTTGGGGTGATCTATCCCTATAAAGATTTACATCAACCATGTAGAATAACTCTAAAAGTAGAGTGGATTGGCAATCTACACATGCAGTAGTATCCTCAGGTATTTTACAGTCGAACTCACCATGTCTGCCAACGCAATGTACAGGAACATTCCTCCTGCGATGGCGAAGATTGCATTTGGGGCAAAGTTGCTCCCGAGCAGGATGCCAAAGACGAGACCGACGTAACACGACACCGCTGACAGCAGGTTGAAGAAAATGGCTTGTGGGACGCTCATACCAGCATTCAGCAGGATAACAAAGTCACCTGCACAGGAACAAAACACAAAGGTTGATAAGTTGAAAGGACAGTTTGAATATTATTTTAAAAGCCATTTTTCTCTTTAAAATAGTTAGTAGTTATGTAATATAACAGATTGCTTAAAAGACTTTTTGATTTCACTTTAAACCGAGACACTGATATTGTTTACCAGCTCATCCTGTTACAGGATTTCGTTGGATTAAAGAACATTAATCTGATGACGATTGCTGAAACTTGTGTCAACTGTAAAACAACCCTGATATAATCAAAGTGACACGCTGCTGAGGTGAAGTATTTTTCCCACTGGGCTGCTCATAATTTTACCACAAATTAAGACAACTACGAGCCGGATGTTGAACGCAGCTTACGCATCTTCCTTGCATGAGATATTGATTTCACTTAAAACCAAGAAACTGATAGTATTTCTGTAATAAAACATCCAGCAACCCAAATGTTGTGTTTAACAATGCAGTTAATAAGACTTCTACACCAAACCACAAAAGGTTAGTGTGATTAGGTTATACAGACCTTTTATTTAAAACACCCTCAGCACCTATTCTTCTCACTTATATAAATATTAAGTGATGCTTCCTGCTATGAGTTTCAACATTCCTCAGGTAGAAACAATCTCTCTCTAATGGTAATTTCATCTTTTGTGTGTATTGGACTTCATACTCAAAGGTGTTTCTAATATTGTCCACCTCATTTACATAGATGGCCTCAAAGGTGCAAGAATAACTTTATTGACACCTCTCTGTTTCTTACATGACCTGTATTACATTATATTACTTTATTGTATTCAGTGTATGAAAACTAGTCCTGGGAGATCAATGATTTGGTGCAATTCTGCAGCGTGTCAACGGAGGTCAGTAAAGATCATAGATTTTAGTTAGAGTAAAAAGATAACCTGCTTTTAATCCCTTCAAATCCAGTTTTCTTTCCTCTTAAATTACTTTATTATGTGTATTATTATTATTATTATTATTATTATTATTATTATTATTATTATGTGTGAGGTTCTTCTGGCTCTTCAATGAAGCTATGTGAGGTTCACACTGATTTAAAAATTCAAACTTGAGACTTTCTTTATGCCTGTATTAGGTATTAGGCCATCAAATGGAAATAGTATAGATGTCTTGTGTCATTATGTACACATTTCCCCAAAATTCAGTCTGAATTATTTGGTAATTTGGGAACTTTTCAGATCTGTGGGTTTCTATGGAAGCCCTGAAAAGGCAAGTGAGAAAAAAACATTCTGGTGATACATTTACTAAATGATCTAAATTGTTTTATCTCCTGAGTTTATGAATTAAGAAAAGTAATGGAAAAAATTCAGTAATGTTTATTTTTTCATCTAAAAAACAGGTAGTAAAAAAAAAGTTTTAATATTTGTTTCTAACCTACTTTTCTTTTTATCTGTTGAAGTGTTTGTTGTTGTAATTCTCATTCTGGCCACAAGAGGCAGAAGTGCATCACTACAACATGTTCTAAAAAGGACTAAAAGCATCTTCATGTTTTCTTGAGTGAGTTTTAATTTCTCTTATAATCTGATTAAAATAAAAATCTCTAGCCAAAAGAAAGAAATGACACTAATGTTACACAACTTGCTGACATATCTGTACATTGTATTTACAATGAATGAAGAAAATCACCTGAAAGAAGCCAAAAACTCCTATTTTCACCAGTTTTAACAGGCGAGAAAACAATTTACATCAGAAAACTGATCACCAGAAAGAAAAATCTCTAACAAGCCTCTCTGGGCTTCTGTAGGTTTGAGTAATGTTTGACAGTACAAGGTTGTAATGTTGTAATGACCCCCACATGAGGGTGAACAGGGTTGAGGACTCACTCACCCAGCTCATGGGGAAACTCCTCACATACGATGGCGGTGGACGTACTGAACCCGGTCAGTACCGACACAGTGAACGAGGCACCGATGGCTAAACCGTCAATGAAGTTGTGCAGCGCGTCGCTCAGAGTTATCATCCACGCCACCGTCTTGATGTTGGAGATGCGTTGCCCACGCAGCCAGTAGCACATCACGGCAGACGCCTGCACTTCCTGGAAGACAGACGGGGACAGGTTGAAGACAAACAACTCATGCTACTGTTCGATTACACCAACGAAGAATCTTATAGCATGTGTGGATTTAGTGAGACAGAAAGATAACACACGCACTGACACCTGTATGTTTAAACCTAAAGTTCAAATCAGCCAGAAAACGGAGGACAAAGTTGAACATTTGGCTTTTGGCAGCTGTTCAATACCATGTAAAGGGATTTTCTCATCAATATTACAAACTAGAAAGCAATGAATTGCTTGCTTAACTGTTTTAATGTGGAAGCTTATTAAAAAACTTATATTTAAAAGTAGATTTGTGTGTCTGCAGCCCTGCTAGCAGCTCTGGATACAGCAGGTAAATCAGTGCTTTAAGATAAATGCCTGCTTACAATGACAATGTTATATTGATGTTTATTTGCACTGTGACCAAGATACTAAAACTTGGTGACTGTTCGTAAATGATCTTAAACCCAATTGTAGCTCTGTAGCTCTACTGAGGATGACGGTAATGTGTTTAATTAATAAACCAAAGTATGAAACAAGAACAATTTTGACCTGGTGTTTTGATTAAAGCCTCACATGACTGTTAAGTGACATATTTTATAGATATTTCATATTATATTCAAAACTGTACAATTAAACAACTGCAAGACGTGTAAAACGAGTGAAACTGATACATTTTGAACAGATTAGTTCCTGTTTCCAGTCATAAATACTTACTAGGCTTCTTTTTTCTAACAAATTCAGACTTTTCTTGTCCCTGACTCTTGGCCATTCTTTTATTAGGCAATCTACTTAACATTTTTTTCACAGAAATAAACCAAATACTGAGAAATTGGCATACTATGTAAATATTTTACGTTTTCTAGCACCCCTTAAAATCAAGAAAGCGACCCCCCTGTGAAGCCTTGGCGATCCCTAGTGGGGGTCCAGACCCCTAGGCTGAGAACCACTGGGTTAAAGCATCACCAAAGTTATTATAATTCATCTTGAGGGGGACATGAAGTCTGGCACAAAACCTGATGGTGGTGCTACAGGTAAGTCTGGGGATCTTGAATGTTTGAACCAAAGTGAAATCCAAAGAGTCACGAACACGATTAAATAAAGACTTTGAGGAAATCTTACTTACTAAAGGGCTTTTTATCAACAGAGCGTGTCCATCTTTGAACCACAAAATGTAACAGATAAGCCCGACCGATGATCAAATACAGGAAATATTTTCCCCTAAATGAATGTGCAGCATTCGCAACGAAACTCTTCAATTACAAATATAATGGCACGAGTGTTTTTAATGGGAAACCTGAGAAACAGGCGCACATAAACAGAGCATTTGGGAGCTCGGTTGAAGATACTCTGCAGTGACAAAACGTCCCTTTTATTAGCCATGGACCAAACAAGGAGTCTTTGTGCTCACGCCAGACAATTCCAGCATTTACCAGGAGGGGAAGGATCTGAGACCTTCAGCTTGGTTTCACTGCTCGATCCCCTCTGTGACAGCGGCATGTCTGTTTGTTTAGTATTTTTGATCCCTTCAAAGCCAGACTCCTCCATAGGACACAAGAGATTTTACTGTTAAATATTAACAGCAGCTCTAAATGCCCTACATGTGCTCCTGATAACAGCTCAATAAATGACTCCAAAGCATCTGAGCTTGCAGAGAACCTAAAGAAGTGTGTCCGAACCGCAATAAAACATCACCTCCTTCCGGCCACTTCATCCTGTTTGGAGATATTTTGTAATACCGTTTAGGTCTGCAGGATTTTACTCTTTGCTGACCGATAAGATGTTTAAATTACAGTCGTGAATCTTGATTGAATTCCGGTCATGTGTTGGTTTTTTTGTGATAGTGGCGCCTGCAAATCTCTGTCGAGCACGCAATTACTTAAGATAAGACTTCCAGAAAAACTCACTGTTTATAGCTTAAAGACTTACCTACTTATTAGATAAAAGACGATTGAGTACAAGGTTGACTGCTGTGTAGGTTAATGTGACATGTGCGCAGAGGGAGTTGATCAATCCCAAGAATGTGGCCTGTTTAATTCACCCTCGTTATTTTATTACTGTTACAGATGACGTGAGTGCGCACTGTTACCTGAGAAGGTGTCACGATAGGACTTAGGGGTTCTGGGTTCGGGCTGCTCTTGTCTGTGGCGATGGTGCTGATGCTGGTCAAAACGATGGAGTCCTTTTTTTCCAGTATGTCTCCGTTGTGGAGGGAGTTTTCTTGAAGTGGCTCAGCAGGAGTGAAGTGGCTGTGGCCATGCTGGAGGCAATGGAGACACAGGAGTCAGATAAACAGGAGAGAGTGGATGTATAATAATGAATTGACCCCTTCTAAGTCTTACTCTGTGCTTCAACTACAGTTGAAACCTCTGTTAACTTTGTCCTTTCCTGGACTTTACTTAGATATGCTATGTGCTAGGCCAGGTTTAAGCACCAGTGTGAAGGATTTAGTGGCATATAGCAGTGAAGTTGCACTCTGAAACCAACTGGACACACCTCGCATCTGTGTTTGACGAATGAGAACAGGATGTGGAGAAACTACGGTGGCTGTAAAACTTGGCGGTTCAACATGTCCGTCGACAAAAACGACTCATTCTAAGGTGACAAAAACACAAGGATTCCTAGATAGAGGTGATTTTACACTAATAAAAAAAAATACGTAAATGTTACACACGGGACCTTTAAAAGATAAATGTGGCATACAGATAGCCACAGCGGTGCTTTGAGCTTTATTCTAATATTTTGACTTTCACCGACAGCTTTAATCAAATTCTGTTTTCTGCTGGCTAAAAAAACTTAAAGGTAAAGATATATGCTGTCATATAAATCTTATATTTACTGAAGGTCACAAACCCTGTGAACCTGACCCTCGTGCAAAATGATTAAAACATAAATAATGTACGTGACTCCCGTATTGGATGTGTCCTCATTATAGTCACTAATTAGCCAATAAATCAGACGTATTAATGGAAGTTATACAACCGGAATAAATGATATCACTCACAGCAGTAAAAGAAAAGTGCTTTGCACCTGATAAACCGACTCACTGCACTGTTATCTTACCTCATGCTCTACCCCGAGAGCCATTTTCAGGACCTTCTCCATGAAGAAAAGGATGTAAAACCCTCCAAATATTCCGACTGCATTCGCCACGTAGTTATCAGTTTTGGGATCAAAACCCAGAGCCTGTGGATTAACAGGAGAATGTCAGTGTTAGTTATACAATACCGCCCTTTTATCAAGCTCTAAAACATACTCAAAACAGGCATTTATTTGACTCCATTTAACCCACTGCACCTCTCACAAACCTCTGGTATGAGCTGAAGCACAGCGTTGGAGAAGAGGGTCCCGATGGCCAGGCCGATGAAGTAGGTCAGCACTTTGGGGAAGTAGGACTTCTTGGTGAAGGGGATCAGCAGGAGACCGAGCAGAGACGCCAGGTTGATCACAGTGACCGCCAGAAACCCGTAACCCCACACTGTCAGGGCAGAAATTAAAGAATAAACAGTTACTTTACATTATAATGCTACAGACGATGTTGTTGACATATTTAATGCTTTAGGCTCATTTCTGTGGCGTGTTTGAGAAGTGACGTCATCTTTAAGCTCTTTATTTATTCAACTACAGTTAAATACAGTATCACCTCTTATCTTTTCATGTCTTCTATTCATTAGAAAGTAATTGTTGAGGAGCCTACGTGAGCTCATTCTGTACTTTTTTTTGTTGTTGGAATGTGTTTAAAGCAACAAATGTAAAATATTTCATGAAGTGGGATAAAACTACAGCAGCTGTAGAGGTTTTAAGGTCATGCAAATTGAGTCTGTGAGGTAGGACTTCCTCTCAGGTTGCATTCACAATCCGGCCTCGCTCGCCAATATCAGCAGACCCTAAACAACAAACATAAACCAAAGAGCAGCCAGATGAGCCTCTGCCTGTAAGGCTGAACTGAGGGTCCAGCTCTTAGATAACAGTGATTGAAGGTAGAAGACTTTGTGTTGTGGTTGTACTGAACAACCTGATCCTTGTGGAAAAAGTCTGAAAATACAGTTTCATGGTTTGGATGGTAAAATGAATTGATTAGTGAAGGAACTGCTCACTCCTCAGACACTCTTAGCACACAACAAATGTCTTCTATTTATTATAATTTATTGTTATAAACACGTAGCCCTATAGCTCTGAGGTAAAGTGAGCAAGCAAAGACCACAGATGAGATGATTTTACTGTGTGAAAGAAACTAAAACGTAGAAATTAACAACATAACAGACCACAAAAAGTATCCACAACCACCCAGCACCATTTGCCCCCTCCATCATGGAAGATCTGCACCTTGAAAACCTACATTATGTCCTATTTATCTTTATATATATATATGACAAACAAGACATTTTTTTTGGTAACACAACGCTATTTATTTGCAGAGGAGGAATTCTGTTCACAGAGACCGGTGAAGAAACAGCGTGCATCGCGATCAGCACTCGTGAACAACAGTCACAGTTGGCCGTAACTGTGTGTCAACAGCACCGAGGAGGAGCGTTCGACGGTGAATCAGAGAGGTCAGTGGCTCTGTGAGTCAATCCAGGACATTGTGGAGAGTTATGGCTCCTCCACAGGAGATGACCGTGTTGTTTTTTTATTTGTGGACATTTTTATCTGATAGTCATGAGTGGAAACAGATAAGTAAGACTGAGAAACAGAGACCTGAGACAAAAGTCCAGATTCAAGTGTGGTGATCCAGGACTTACATACATTTTCATTTACAACCCGTCAATCAGAGCAGCTCTGATGTACCGGATGAACCGCTATAAACGGTTTAAACTTCCTGTATGATATGAATTGTTTTATATGCTGCCATTCTAGTGCATATCTGAAACAACTGCTGGGACTCTTTTGATTCCTGTGCAACAGAACGTTTGAGAAATATCTACTTAAATACTTTGTTTTTACGTCAGTTTATAGTGTTTATACAGCTATTGTAAAGTATTTTGTTGGTTATTGGTTCTGTTTTTACTACATTTGCACAATAGAAATGGTTTATATTCTGCAAGACGGCATCAAAATGTTTTATGTACTCCTGACAGTAGACTAAGCCACCACTATTAAACCATATTAAAACTTTTTCAGTGTATTCTGCTGTGGAATTAAACCTTAAATATTAATTTTACTAACTCGTGCTGCCTGTTGTCTTTATATATACCTCCATGTTCAAGTGTTTCCAGTTTTGCTTTCTGGTGGTGAAAACAGAAACTTAAACAGACTCAGATTCAAACGTCATCCTTGACCTTGGAAACAGCAAAACGAGGTCAAATTTAGTGACACTTCTGGAGCTTTTTATCCTATCACACAGTCTTCTTCAGTATGTACTTTGTTCAGTTGTCATGGAATTGTGGTTTTTCTGAGCACTTTAAGGACTTAAAAGGGTTAAAAGTTGGCAAAATAATCTTAAATCTTGTTCTTAAAGGCACAAAACAATTGAAATAAATTCCATGAAAAGACACAAGTGCACAGAGAAAATTGAAATTATTATTTAACCAACTTTTGCAGGATCAGTTTTCAATTACTGTTCCATATCGTTATTTCCTGCTTTGGTTGAGATTTATACTTAAGAGCCAGAAGTATCAGGATATGTGGGATAACAAAAATGGGGGAAAACAGTAAATCTGACATCATATTTAAACTAAAATAAAACATTTTTCATACTTTTTCAAACTATTTGTGGTATTTTTTAAACTTAACAACCCCTGGAAATTCCCCGATTTCCTTTATTCACAGATATTTAGTTTACTGACTTTATGTTGCAGTAATAAACTAATAAAAATATAAGAATCTAAAAACAGAAAATCTATGTAATTACTATGTTTCCTGTCATTTAAAGAGTCTAAAAGGAGATAGTTGTTCAGCGTCACAGGTTTTAATGGTTAGTTAAAGTTAGAAAAGACGACCTCCGGCAGCTCTGAGGCCGGATTTGAACCCTTGACTTCACAGCTGAATCAAAAGAAACTTCACATCCTCTTGTTGTTGTTGTTGTTGTTGTTTGTTTAAGGTTTTACAAGCAAGAATAAATTGGCAGCCAGTTGTCTTTAAGGAGCGTCGTCCACCCACCAACACTGTGTGATAATCTCACCGTGGGATAGAAGCACTGCCAGACCTCATTCAAGGCAACAAACCGGCATGACCTGTGAATTATTTGAGTTGCGGGGGGGTCTCAACAAATAAACCAGTGTAGTGATGAAGCAACTCACCAGTGTAGTCCAGAGGGGGCTTGGGCGTGGGAGTGACGTAGGGGCAGGAGGGCAGCAGCACCTGGGTCAACAGAGCGGGGCAGATCTCCCCAAGATGTCCCACAGTCAGCTGACTGACATTACTGAACCCAAAGTGGGACAAGATCTCCTCGGCTGAGGGACACTGAGGGACAGAAAGACGTTATTAGACATGTTTTTAAATCTCTCTTCTGCCTCTTTAATGTTCCTTTCACTCATATCTTCCTTTATATGTTTTTATTTTAAGTATTCTTGTATAAAATGTGATGTGTAAGTTGAGTTTTATTATTATTATTGTAGGCAGGTGATCAAATAGGAACCATTAATAACATTTATTATGAAGTTAGCCCAAAGTGCAGCAGAGAAGAGTAACAGTTATACACAGATTAATGTTATTATAAAGCTTATTCAACACAGAAATGCTTTTGAATGCATTGTTGTAAATAAAAAGCAAAAACTATTAGCAACAAAACAAATAAATTATGGAAAAATGACATAAAATATGCATAAGAAAACACATATTTGGTTAAAAATAAGCATTTAACTACAAACGCCAGTCAGAAAATATAAAAATATATTAAAGTATCTATAACTATATAATGTAAAAAAAAAAAAAAAAAAAGAAAAGATATATAACAATTTAAGAAGTGAGTTATAAGTGAGTTCTGGTTATAAACTACGACCACATGTATAAGAAATCAGTTCTAAAGTCATTCAGTTTTATTTCTGTAATAGGTTTAAACAGTAAAAAGTAATAAAAAGTAATAAATATAAATAGTTCTGACCTCTTTGTTTGCCAGCGGGTTTCCTTCAGTTATTGACTCAGACCTCCTGGCTGAGATTAGCAGCAGTAAATCATCCAGATTCTCCGTTGTGATGGATGAATTCTCCCCATAAAAGTGTAAAATATTCTCCAGGAACCCTTGTCCATCCCCGCCGACCACACGCACACTCTGGGACTTTGGAATAAAAATCAAAACGCACCCAATAAAACATCTTAAATTAAACATTTTGGCTTCAGTGAACTAATCTGCTTCTTTTTTCTCTTCTGCTCCTCTGGAAAGCTGCTTCACTCAGAACACAGACATCAGGATGTCCCTGCAATTTGTAGGCAGTCCACAATCAGATCCATGGCTCAGCCGGGAGCAGGAATCGCCTTTGTCCCTTTCATGTTTTCACCCTCCCTCAGAACCTGATTAACTTATTTTTTGGGGAGCAGCAGTGTGTCTCCTGATGAGCTCTGAGTGGATCTATGAGGACTGTCGGAGCTGGATCGGGTTCAAAGATCAGACTGCAGAGGCATGAAGGGGGGGAAAAAATGGAGGTGACCGACCGCGTGCACTCAATGCTTTCTTTTGTGACTGACTTTCTCACTTGGCATGCAACGTGCTCACACACACACACACACACACACACACACACACACACACACACACACACACACACACACTTGTAAAAGGGTCTCCTCCTGTGTGTGTGTGTGTGTGTGTGTGTGTGTGTGTTTGTGTGTGAAAGGTGACTGTGTGAATTGGGACAAACATGCCGGCTGTATAACTCAGTGTGAGTCAGTGTACAGCTGCGTCTCCGGTTCAATTATGAAAACAGCTGGAAGTTAAAAACACCATTAACACGTGAGGTTGTGTTTAAATGTCTCTGTCGCCACCTTGTGGCCGCTGGTGGTCAACGCAGTTTTAAAGAGCCAAACAAAGATTACAGCAAAGTATGTAATAATAATAATAATAATAATAATAATGATATAATAATAATAATAATAATAATAATAATAATAATAATAATGTGTATAACGTCCGGCAACACTTGTAGTCACAGTCACTTTGCACTATTTAATACCTGTACTGTGTTGTTTTACATACATATATATGTATATACGGTATCCTATATTTCCTCTAAACTATTTTTACTATATCTTGTATTTTTCGCTTCTTTTTTTTAGTTATTGTGTATTTCTATAAGTTTATCTTCTCTTATTTTAAACTTTATTTATACAGCACTTTTCAAAACAAAGTAAAAAACAGTTGCCTTACATGGTCGGTGCCAGGATTAAAAATATTTCAGGAGTCAGACAATTAAAATCATATAGAAGTGAGGTAACACTGGGGCAAATAATTTTAAACAGTTAAAAAGATACAAAATACATAGAGGATTTTTTTTTTTAACACACTGTACACAATACTATTTGTTTTCAATGTATTTACACAAAAATAAACATACAGCACAAGAACAAGGACAACAAAGTTGAACAAACATAGATAAACACAAACATAGAACTATTATATACACACAACTTAACAGTATATATGTGACTACATGTTCAGTGAGCAGGATTTATATATGACAATGAATTCAGACCAGTTTTCTTTTTAAATTAAAGCTTTAATAAGTGTTTATTACTTAAAGGGAGACTCCAGCGCCTGAGTGTTGCACTCCTATGAGGTTGGAGGATGTGTGAGTAACCCTAATAATCATAATGAGTTGGATGCTAGATTTTTCCATAACAGCGTCCATTAATAGTTTGTTTCAGTAGTGGAATGTAACTAAGAAATATACTTATATATATATATATATATATATATATATATATATATATATATATATATATATTCCCATTAAATAAAAAGACTTTTACTTGAAACTATCAGTACTTTTATTTAAGAAAAAGATGTGAATTATTCCTCCATCAGCCACAGAAAATATTATACAAATGTCTGAGTAAGTATTCCTCATAACGACTTAATTTCATATGTAAAATCTTAGTCTTACTCTGTTAATTAAGGTTTTTATTGTATACAAATTATTATTACTTCAGTTTATTGTTTAGTTTTTATCTCCTTTAAATATTCCCGTCACTGTTTTTATCCTTTTTGGGTCTTTATCTGTCTTATGTGCACACAGATAACACACATAATTCTCTCCACTGAGGATCAATAAAGTCTGATTTTTATAAGCACGACTGATGTAATTAGTACTTTTTTTTAACACGGATGATCAACAGAATAAAATAATTCAATGTCAAAAAGAAAGCTTCACACATTTATTTCAACTGTGTACAAATATAAAACATATGTTGGACAGTAATGTACAAACACATCCACGATGTCAAGTATTAATCTTTGTTCAGTGAATTATCTCAGAGATGTGCAAATATAGCAAAACACACAAAGAAAAATATTTTTTTAAGTTCACAAAAACACAATAATCTGTAAAATCAAACCCAGTTTGGATTCAATGATCCCTGTTCAGAACAGCAAACAACTGATCAGTGCCGGACGTGATCTTAGAGTTTGATTAATGTCGTTGTCAATACTGGAAATGTATTGTCCTGATAGTGAAAGAGCAATCAATTAATCATCAGTTTCAGTAGCTATAGATCTAAGACGTGGGAGATTAAGAGGTCTGAAACCAGGCTCATATTGGCCTGTTCAACCTTTATCAATATTGTATTGATCGTTACACTTATCATTCCTTTATCTGGTGGATTTTGTGTGAACGAGTGCTTCAAGTAAAACCCCACCGTGTCCCTGATATTGATTTAATACAGTGGGTTAACCCGTTGTTGCAAACACACCTAAAATAATGTCCTTTGTTTTAATGTCCCACGATGGACTAACTGACATTTTATGAGGCTTTTCTGTTGATTGTTTGGAAAAAGAACAAGTTTAAACATTTAGAAAAATATTCAACTTCATCAGTTTCAGTACAAAAATATCTTTCTGACGCTCAAGAATCCACCAACCTCAGTCACAGTATCTCTTTAAAAGACACATTTAGAGAACAGAACCTGTTCAGCTACAATAAGGTCCCACTTTGTCCTTCTGTGGACTGATCTCAGGTCAGTATACGTCCCTTAAAGATGTGACGGTGAGGGATCTGGAGAGTTCAGCGACACTGGTGGGACGCCATGCGGTAAAACTGACCGTCCTGTTTCTAGAAGCCATCAGGAAGCCGTTGGAGCTGAAGCGTCCGGGAATGTTTCCCACGTCGAGCCACACAAAAGGAGCCACCGAGGCAGAGTGAAGGGTAACGGTGTAGCCGGTCTTATCCTCCTGTACCTCGGCCTGCAGGGAAACACACAGACACTGTGTTTGTAACGAGTGAAACGTGACGCAATCGACCGCAAGTAAACAACATTTTTTAAGTGTCCACTTTAGTCCAAGTCTGATTAACGATGTGTTTGTTCCTTTCTCACTCTCTTAACACATTTCCTGTCTGTATCTCTACTAACACTCTACTAATGAGGGCAAAAAATGCCACTCAAAAAAAGTCAGATCAACATTGAAAATACAGTTTTTTGATTAAATGATTTGGAATTTATTTGTCTCTCTCTGAAATTCATTACCTCAGTTTATCAGCTGAATAAAGGTGAAGCTCAGGAATCAGGAGAGTCATCTATTATTGTAAAGAATTACCTTTATCTGGCCGCTATTGCTTCAGGCTTGTTCATCTTAGACGAAATATATTTTAAATGCTGTCTAAAGAGCCCTGGAAACTCAGTTTTATTATATTTTTGTTAACTTGTCTCTGCAGTGCACAGAAGCTAGACTTTAAAGTCATCTTATTCTGCCACATCAAGGATCCTAGATCCAAGTTTGTTCATTAACTTAACCCAATGTCATTGTTGAAAAGTATCCCTGCCATCCAGTAACTTTATTATCATCTATGTGTGTCACACTTTCCATTAATGGACTCACATCACTGCTTCCATACAATGCTTAATCTCTGTATAAATAAATAAATAAATAAATAAATAAATAAATAAATAAATAAGGGAGATTGCAACAATGTGTCTCACTGTGATGTTTGGTCTCTGGAGTCCCTGAGCGTCTTTGGGTGAGCAGAGGAAGTGGTGGTTGGTGGGACCCTGTTGGCCGCTGCTGTCCTCCAGGTGGAAGGTGAGCAGGCAGGTGAGGCGGGTGCAGCGTCCACATCCTGCCAGCAGGGCGGCGACCGGCTGTTTGAAAATGGCCGCGGCGCTGCCTCCGGGGACCGGGAGCGGGTCTGACTTCAACGTGCAGACCGGATCCAGATCAGTCCACGAGTACACGGTCACCTGATCGACAAAAGAACCTGTTTCTGCTGATGTATCAGAACAATATCGAACACACACATTTATACAGAATCAACCAGTTATAAAGTTAAAATTTAGAGTTAATATTAATTAGTGTTTACATTTCTAAATTGTATGCAAGGCTGAGCAAAAATATATAGTTTTTATTAGAATCATATGATAATGTGGATAAAGGGACTTTTTTTAAAGCTAAATTAATGATAAACTTTCTCACTGAAACAAACTTATTTATTTTTTATTATTATTAATAATACTACATGTAATTTATAGTGTGCTTTTCAAGAAACTCAAAGACATTACATAAGTTAAAAGGAAAAGATAAAGTTAATAAAAACAACACACTAAGAAATTATAGCTATATCTACAATTTTATTTTGCTATGCAGTGTAATACTTAAGCTGCATTTAATTGCAACCATTATTCTGCCCTTGAAATAAAGTGATAAATGAAGCAAACAAACAAAAATAATTGGTTTAGATAGTTTACTTTAAGTGTTTAGTGCTAATAATTTTGTGTGTCCAGGATTGAACCTTAAAATCTCAGTCTCATATAAACTCATATCACATGTTAGCAGCTTAAATCTAAAAATATATAGTACAGGTCATCAAAACCCACATTGTTAAAACTCTAATGGTAAAAGTACTTTTGGAAACTGTCTATCTATTTTTTTTTAATGAATGTCTGCACTGACAACCTTAAAAAAAAGAGGTTAACAGGAACTACACAGGGAGGAAATGAGAACCAAAGTAATGTATGAAACAGTGACAACAATGACATACCTGCTTTGTTATCCTGTTTTTATATTAATTTGTTATATTTTATTCTGGTTTCACTGTCTGCACTGCAAACACCTTCTCTGTCTTACTGAGTTGGAGAGATGCACTTCCAGTTTGTACTTTGGAGTTTTAACTGACTTATTGTAAGTTGTTTGGACAAAGGCGCCTGCAAAACGAATGTAATGTAACAACACAGTTTACCAATGACAACTTACCACAGCTCTGAGCTTCAGGTCGCGACTGAGGTCTGAGACGGCGTAGATGAACAACGTGTCGTCATCCTCAAAGCCGACAGGAAGGACGGCGGCAAAGAAGCTCTGTGCAAAATAATGCAGCATTTTCCATTTCCCACCAAACTCTGCACACACAGACACACAAGGACATAATATGTGATTAGTTTTGCAACAGTGACCTCTAATTATAAGCAAGAAGTTATTAAATTGATCATAAACCTCCATTTTCCCAATG